GAAATCAGCTACCGCTTGTCCTTTGACAGCCGTTCTCGGCTCATACGTTATGTCAAATGAGCTTAACTCTATGGCCCATTTTGTCATTCTGCCCGAGAGTTCTGGCTTGTGCATAAGCATTCTGATTGGAAAAGTTGTTAGGACAACTATAGGGTGGGATTCGAAATAATGCCTTAACTTTCTTTTTGCGTTTACGAGTGAAAGTATCACCCGTTCGGCCTTCGAGTACCTTCGTTCTGCCTCGGTCATTGTCTTACTGACATAAAACACCGGGTGTTGCACCCCTTCCTTGCAACGAATCAGAACGACACTTGTCGCAACACTAGATACTCCGAGATATAGATATAATTTCTCTTCTGGATCCGGGGCTGACAGGATTGGTGGATTCTGCATATATTCCTTCAAATGGGTTAATGCTTGTGGTTGTTCATCCCCCCAGACCTGTCTTCCATGACTCCGGATCATGTCAAAGAACGGCTTGCAGCGGTCTGACAACTTAGAAATGAATCGACTTAATGCAGCTATTCGTCCTGTGAGGGCTTGCACTTCTTTGATCGTCTTTGGCTCGGCATTCTTAATCAAAGCCTCTGCTTAAGCAGGGCTAGCTTCGATGCCTCTGCGATTGACCACGTGTCCCAAAAATTGACCGGAACTCACACCGAACGAGCACTTGGTTGGATTGAGCCTCATCCCATATCGCCTCAGCATATCAAATACATCTTGCAGATGTTTCAGATGATCATCCTTCTTCCTACTCTTTACCACCATATTATCAATATAAGCTTCCACAATCTTTCCTATTTGATCCTTAAAAATTTTGCTAACAAGCCTTTGATAAGTTGCTCCCGCGTTTTTCAGTCCGAAAGGCATAACTTTGTAACAGTATATCCCTCGCTCGGTAACAAAAGAAGTTTTTTCTTCATCTGCCGGGTCCATAGGGATCTGATTATAACCTGAATAAGCGTCCAGAAAGGTTAAACGCTCATACCCGGTGGTGGCATCTACCATTTGATCAATCTTAGGCAGCGGGAAGCTATCCTTCGGACAGGCTTTGTTCAAATTGGTGAAATCAATGCATACTCGCCATTTCCCATTCTTCTTCTGCACGACAACGACGTTGGACAACCAATCAGGATAGTGCACTTTTCTGATGAATCCCGCATCGAGCAACCTATCAACCTCCTCGGCTATGATCTGGTTACGTTCTGGAGCAAACCTTCGTTGCTTCTGCATTACTGGTTTGAAATTGGGATTGACATTCAAAGAATGACAGGATACGGAGGGATTAATTCCAGGCATGTCTAGGTGACTCCATACAAATACATCGGCATTGTGAGACAAGAAGTCAATTAGCTTCTGCTGCTCTTCCCTGGTCAGTCTTACTCCTACTCTGGTAGTTTGCTCTGGCTTGGACTGATCGATCTGCACATCCAGAAGGGGCTCTTCGGTCAAGTCAACTGGCTCCTCCACCCTATTCTGCTTGGGTGGAGGTTCCTGTAATTGCTATCTTGGGCTCGCCGAACGGATGGGCGCCTTCCCTTTCCCAGCATATTTTAGTGTGACGGAATAACACTCTTTGGCTGCAACATGATCCCCATGAATGTCTATCACCTTATTTCCATCGGGTCCGAGGCACCTCATGACCTGATGCAGAGTTGAGGGCACACCTTGGACTTTGTGAATCCATCATCTTCCCATCAGGAGATTGTACGAGGGGTGAATCTCCACAACCACAAAAGTTTCCATAAGAGCTCGTTCTGCAGATTGAACTTCTACTTCCACCATACCGATGGGCTCCACCCTCTTACCATCAAATCCTAACAGGGGATTTCCAGTGGGCTTGAGCCTCTCTGGTTTAATCTCAAGCCGATCAAATGTGTCATTTAGCATGACATTCGCACTACTTCAGGGATCGATCAGAACTCTGCGCACCAGGCAGTTCGCCACTGTCAAGCTGACTACCAACGGATCTTCATGGGGGATTTGAACACGCAGCAGGTCTGTCCTGTCGAACTTTATCTGTATCGATGTGATCTGTTGGTGCAGAGTATTCACACTGCTGACCCTTTTCTTCATCTACGCCTGCCGTAGGCGCATTCGGAGTAGCTCATTTGAGTCTTCGCTAGGCTCGGGTCGACCGTGAATAGCATTGATTATACGAACTGGCTGTGAATTATGGAAGTTTTGCTTCTAACTTCTTTTTACTTGCTCCATCGGTCGATTCTGCTCTATCGCCGAGCCTTGGACATAACTCGCGAACTCCCCTCTAGCTATCAACATCTCCACTTGCCTTCTCAAATTCCTGCATTCGTTAGTCTGATGACCGAAATCGGAATGGAAAGCACAATGTTTAGTCTGATCCCTCTGTTCGAGGGGTTGCCTAATTGGCAGTGGTGGATGAAACTTATCTTTGTTCTCCTGATATAGCCTCGCCAGAGTGACCTTCAACGGAGTGATTAGCTCTTCCTCCCTGGACCTCTTTTCTGCCTTCCAGGAGGTCTGACGTTACGGCTGAGCCTGCTTCTGCCTGATCTTTGCCTTCGACTTTTCCTCGGTCGACACGACCGACGCTGTCCAAGCATTGGCTGCCTCCTCTTCTTCCAGGCGCACAAAGCCATCGGCTCTTTCATTGAGTTCATCCATAGTCGTTGGCGTGTTCACTACCAGACTGGTATGGAACGGAGTGCCACGTGTCATGGCCAACTTGAAGGCTTGAACTGCTGTAGAAGGGTGGCATTCAATCACCATACTCTTAGTGAGCTTAAACCTGGTGAGAAAAGCCTGGAGACGTCCATCCACAGGGTGGCTTATGAACCGATCGCACAGGTTCCGGAAGCTATCAATCGAGCCCCTAGGCAAGTTCTTGAACCAGCTAAGCGCCGGTCCGGCTAGACTTGTAGGGAAACATTTGCACATTAAAGAGTCGTTCTCCGTATTCAAAGCCATCTTCAACTGGATATGGTACACATGATCGATCGGATCGGTTGTTCCGTCAAACAGAATAAAGACTGGCATGGCAAACTTCCTTGGATGCGGAGCATTCAGGATCTCATCAGTAAATGGTGAATTAACTGTCTGAGCCGCGGATTGGAGTGCTTCATTCTCTCTCTGGAGCCCAGCGGTAGCTCTATGAGCTACAGATCTGCTCTCCGAACCGCGATGAGTGAGTGTAGCCATAGAGGGCCGGTAAGACGGATCGAATGACCGTTCCTCAATGAGCTCTCTTTGCCAAGGCGATACAACTCGGCGGCGATCAACCTCTATCACTTCCTCTCGGTTGAACCTTTCCTGATGCGGATCGAATGTCATGGCTTCGTTCTGTCTGATCTGCTCATGTCGCAGATCAACGTGAGTTGATCCTTCGTGATCCTCAACTCGACGAACATTTGGCGGCAAATCGTCCATCCTCCTTTCATCACGGTGGAGAGCTGACTGATTGTTCTAGTCCTGCTCGCCTTGATGTACGATATTAGATTGAATACCTCTTTCACCGGCCGGAAGTGGACGTGGAACCGCCAACATTTGCTGATACTGTATTCCAGCTTTCAATTCTGCATTCTCTCTTTTGAGAGCTTCGATCAAGTTCATCAACTCCTCAAGCTTCGTTTGCTGGACAGCCTCCATCGGATTGGAGCTTTCACCTATCATTATTCTTTAATGGAGTAAAGGCATTAATCTCAAGTTCTTGAGTAGATCTGAGCTTCGTGAACGCGAATTTTTCAGATCTGGACTCGAATTCTCTGAGTTATGCTTACGGTTGACGAGATCTGAATTCTCCGAATTCTAAATCCGTCAGATCTGGCCGCAATCGAACAACTTGTTGTTGCGTAGATCTGAAGCCACTTCCGTCAAAGCAACAGAACTAAAATTCCTCCAGAATATGTCACAATCTTTCAGATCTGGATCCAACTCCCAAAGATCGAGTTTCGTCTTCACGAATTGGTCTGAATCCACGCGATATTGATCAATGATCAATCAATCTTCAACGATTCCCACAGACGGCGCCAATTGAAGACGCAAGTAATTCATTTCCATTTTCTATCTCTAGAATTCTTACACTTCAACAGAATCAATCTCTCTCCCCATTACTTCCCATATTTATAGGTATTTACAAACATTAATGGGTTGCTAGATCTGGTCCCGTTCCTCTGTGGGCTTTGGTCATCTTCGATGGGCTATTCGCGTTCGGCCCATATGGCAGTATTTCTTTATGGGCTGGACCCAGCTGCTCGGATCGGATGCCATGTTCGCGGGTCATATCCGGCCCATATTACTTCTGGCCTCCTCATTCACATATTAATGTGTTTGGTTATAAAGTCCTTCGGCTATTAAATAATTTCAAATTTACATAAATACCCTTATAATATTTACCTATATTATTAGGTTTGACACAATACTGAATTATATTAACAACCGTATTTTTTATCCAAAAAAATATTTGTAACACTTTAATGAACAATTAGGTAGAAAACTTCTACCACTAAAAATGTTAATTATTATTTTGATAATAAATTCCAAATGAAATATAATGTAAAGAGTGCATTATAATTCAACTCTAAATAAATCAATATATATACATTGATAAAAAATCAAATGATGATAAGTAGCAAGAAAGAGGATTAATATGTTATAATACACATTCATAATATTAAATTGATTGAAAAAATCATGTATTAAATATAGGAGAAAAATAAAATTATTTAAAAGGAAAATAAAAGATTCCAAGTATATCAATTTGGTAAAACAAATGAATTGTGCTATGATGCACAAAAAATCAAGTCTAACCTGAGTCCAAGTTTTACAAGTTATGAACGGTGTAAAGAATTTGTAGAAATTGAAAATTTTGAGAGAGATATGAAGGGTTGAAAGAGAGAAGCATGTATATATAGAGCTGTGCTATTAAGAGAACGGGAAACTTGTTGAATAGGAATGTCAATTCGAATTTTTTCATAAGAATTCTTAAACTTTCCAAATGAATTTTTAAATTACAATTCAAGAAAAAAAAAAAAAAAAAAAAAATCTTAAACTACAAAATATACCATCTTTATTAGTCCAAAGAAATTTTAGAGAGATAGAGATGAACTTATAGATCTAGGGCTATGGCAAATTGGGGAAGGAGAAACACTCAATTTCATTTTTCTACACTCTTAATCACCATGAAATTTAGCTTACATTCCATATTAATATATGAAATAAGAGAATAGTACGAATTCTTTGTGTACTTCTCCCCCAATTTCATAAATAAATATGATCGGTCTTAAAATTCTAAACTCTTAATTTTCTCCGGCAGAAATCCAACTACTAGAGGGCTGAGTAACTATCTGTTAGCGGAACTCCGACGAGAAAGAATAGCAAGTTTGAAATACTTCGTCATCCCTCAAGAGATCGCAGTATGAGATTCCTTTTGTAACCAAATGCCTTTGCAATTGTGGGCTGGGTAAGTATCTTCTGCAGCGAAACTCCTGCAACCAGAAAAAAGAGTAGGGTCAGGTGAAAGACTCTTTCCCATCTAGGACGTCGTCATTCCTATTTGCAAATAGCAGAGACGGAGCAGAGAAGAAAGGTTAATTTGGAAATATATTATAATTTGTAGGGTTAAAATTGTCATCACAATATTTATCACTTACCTGCCTCATTGGCTTCCCGAGAATGGGATTTCAGAAGCTTATTTTTGTGGCTTTCCTTGAACGGGCTTTCAAAGGTCTGGGTTTTAAAGAAGCCTGTTCAAAAATATTTGTCAAACACTCACTTTTTTAGTGGAATCACTTCCTAGGATTAGAAGCCCATTTTGGAGCTCCAGAAAGCCACGCCAAACAGGGCCTTAATTTTCATCGGACTTCCAAAAATATTTCTAAAATTTATACTTTCACCTTGAATTTTCACATCATGAAACTATTTTTTTAGTCATGCTACTTGGGCCTGCAATTTCAACTAAAATATTGGCCCAAATTCATCCAGAGGTTACGATCACTTCGGCCCAGCAGTTCCGTCAAAATATATATATATATTTTTCTTAAATTTATTATTATTATTATTATTATTTTCATTCCAAGAAAAACTCACTCACACAATTTTATTTTTTTATTTTTTTATTTTTGGGCTACAACCGGCTGGAACCCTTAAATCTAAACCTAAATTGTAAAACTATTGCAAATTTCAAGGTGTATCACATCTTGATGTACAATAACAGTGTTTTAAGACACCATTATCTCTGTCTTAAAATAAATGTCTCTTTTCAAAACTATAACTTACAAATTCTGAGTCATATACAGTTTCTCAAAAAAGACATTATTTTTTTAACAGAGGAAGTAATCAGCAGACGGAATCAGAAAGCTACACATCAAGGTCATAACAGTTTCTCAGAAGCAACATAAGAACAAGGCAGCACAAACAACAAAGCAAACTACGGCCCCAAAACCAGAAAACAGAAGAAATTCCATAAGGAGAAAACACAATGACCAAGAATTAAACCATCGCAGGAAGCACCAAAAAAGAGAATTTGCAAGCTTAACCTCCACAAAAAGCAACCCATCTTAAACCAATTCAACTGAATACAGGATCTCTTTGAATTTGGAGGAAACTTCCCAAGAGAAAAGACCCAAAGACTAACAGCATTGAAAATATTTTAAGTATCTGAACCAACATCCTTATGGTCATTAGAAAATTTCCTATCTTTCATCTCTTATCAAATATAATAGAAAGAAAGAGTTTCAAGTTTCAACAGAATAGCTTATAGACATTTCCCTTCAAATAATAAAGAGACCCATCTAATAATATGATATCCCAGGAATTAAGCTGAAGTTGAGCAAACAAAATCTTAAATTTAGAGTAGAGAAAATTCTTAAAAGAAAAAGGACAACTGAAAAAAAAGATGCTCATGATCTTCCAAATAAATTCTGCACGATATTGCACCATAACCAAGGAGTTTATCTAGTCTATATTGAATGGCAAGCCACAATCTGAAGGTGAACGTGGGCATGACCGTATTCCACAATCTGAAGGTGAACCAGGGCATGACCGTGTTCCCTGTTTGAGCGTTTTCTAATACAACTTTACTTATCATAAAAATTAAAAATAAAAATAAAAAAGGGCACATTGCTAGAGCACCACAAAAGATGAGAGCCCATATAACCTTGTTTAGAGGGGTTTCAAAAAAGACCGAGCATGAAATGTGGAAAAGGAACCTGCCGAAGGAATCCATTAGAAAGAATGAGGCTAAGAATATTAAAACTGCTACGATCGGGGAGATTACCGAGTAATGACAGAATGAGGGGATCAAGGAAGAGATATAGACCAATTCCAATTATCGATCCTAAGAATTTTTCACACCTTTGAATTCCGTGATAAGCCTGAAGATAAAATTTCAATCATCATAGTTCAGAATTTTTTTACTGAAAGGATAGAAAGGAGATTATAAAGTTCATGTACATTATTATTTTACCTTAATATATGGACTTTCTCAATCTTTGCAGACTACTTGTTCCCTCATGCTGTCAATCTCAAATTTGAAAATCAGGCTGGTAAGCTACAAATCAATTCAATTTAGGTTAAACAAAACTCTGCATCAGACAAACTTCTCTTTTTCTTTGCTAGTTAATAGTGTACAGGGAAAACTACAGTATCCCTTGAATATCATAGTATGAGCAACAAAGGTAATTTGACAATTGATGATAATAAAATAATATGAAACTGAGACTAACCCCACAGCAGAGATATATGAGCCTCTTGAAACCAAGACAGAAAATAAAAGGAGACACCATCCTAACCACCCAACTCTCCCCCGTATTAGGGAGAAAAGAAAAAACATATATATTTCCAAGCTGAATATGTTTATACCAATTAGAATTGTATAGCATCATTCATAACAAAAAGAGATCGCAAGATGAAGATTGTTAAAACAGACTTGTAGAGCATCATTCGTAGAAAAAAGAGATCACTAGATGAAGCTTGTTAAAACATACTTGTACAGCATCATTCATAGCAAATAGAGATCACTAGATGAAGCTTGTTAAAACAGACTTGTAGCATCATCGTAGCAAAAAAAGACAGCTACATGAAGCTTCTTAAAACAGTAACTTCACAAGTCTTGGAGCCCCTAGGAAACATAAATACTTTCTTGCAAACCCTGGAATCCTCATTGGAGGCATAAGTCACAAATTCCCTCAGAACTCTTGAATTCTTCAAGAAATACTTTGCCATTTGCATCCCATCTCTCCTCCCATGGAAACGTCCAATTCTAATTACCTTGAGATGAAACAACAAACAAGAAGGCACATTCACAGGCGCATACCAGCGGCATGTCTGGTTTTCCGTACCTAGATCTTGTAAAAGACCCTAATCAAAAAAGAAATATAAATAGTACCAAATGTCACATAATTACTCAAGTATTTCATTTCTTTTCCATCAAAATAAAGTCGTTTAAATCAAAACATTTAAGTGCTTTACCGCAAAGATTAGAGTTTCCAGTTGTGGCGAGCTCTCAAGAAAATCGAGTAGCATTTGCCATCCAATCCATCTATCTTCGAGATCCAAATAAATTAAATGGGGAAACTTTGGCAATGGATACCTGCGCAACCCAAAGGTCTTCATGCAAAAGGAAAACCCAAATTATTAGATATACAAATCATTAACAGCCACACCAATAAGAAGAATAAATAAATAAAGCCAACTAACCAGTACAGAAGAACCAGATAAATAAAGTCTCTGAACTTTAGATATTCCCTCAACAAATTTTGCTATAGAAAGTTCTAATAGAGATTGATCACGAACAGGGCTGCTTGTTTCCGGAATGCAGCTTAATAAATTAATCTTGGCGTTGACAATAGAATTTAAGTTATTTAGTGAATAGTCTACGGCTACATAATCATCGTAATCAAAGTGTTGAAGATTTGGTGTGTTAAGCACAACCTTGTACTTGCAATCAATAGTCAACTCCTCACCAGTCTCACAATATATAATCAACCTCTTGAGAGCAGGAGCAAAAATGTTAAACACAGTAATTTCTCCCCACAGGCATCCTTTTATAGACAAATCTTCAAGCAAAGGGCAGCTAGAAAACAACCTTTTAACAGATTCATCATCTGAGAATTCTATTGAATCAAGACACAGGATTTTAAGGTTGTGTAGACGAACCAATGTAGGAACATTACGTAAAAAAAAAAACCAACCAGTTCGAGTGATACCAGAGTAGTACAAGTAAAAAGCTCACTAGGACTAGGCATCTTGATATATTCCATATAGAAGAAAAGATGAAGTTCACGGACATTACGTGACAATGCAGCAACAATCCATGAATGAAGATGTGAATCATCGTATGTTTCATGACATTTCATATGGAATTTCTGCAAATCCGATACATGAAGTGTGAGAACTCTGTCGACTAAGTCTATGAAGCATACTTCGTCTGACCAGTAATTGTCTCTCCAATCATCAAAGTCGAGATTAGGTACGTATGTCCAGAGATGTTTCCATTTCGTGGACAAGACCGTAGTTTGCACCACAATTTTTGTTGGAAGGAAGGAGATGATGTGGCGGATGAGACTGCTGGGTAAGTTGCTAATCAAGTCTGCTTCACCTTCTTCAACAGGCTTTAGGAGCTTTGAATTTGAATCCATGAATGTTTGTATTTTGTGGGTTGTTTGTTGTTTCGCTGATTTTCTAAATTGACATCAGGTTGGAATTAGAAACGCGAAAATGGAGAAGAACCTTCGCGGCGGTGCAAGGACGGGGAAGGATTTGGGTTCCCAATTCCAAACAAGGGTTTCTATCATCGATTTTTTGGGAAAGTTGTTACACTACTTATTAAGTTCCTTGTTCTTTTTCTTTTTTTATTTCTTTTAGGAACAATAACTGCTATAAAATTTTATATTGAAAGGATAAAAATCTTCTCTTCTTTTTTTCAGTTAAGTTCAATTTTCAATTAATATCTACAGTAACATTTTTTCAATACTGGCTCATATAAATTAGGGTGAATTATATTAAACCCGTTGATTTGTAGCTTTTTTTTTTTTATCACCTATTACGAAAAATACTCCTACCAAGTCAAGAAAGTTTTATCCAATTCGTCCAATTATATATAAATATAAAATAATAATATTATATATAATACAGGTACATATATATAATTGATCGAATTGCATAACATTCCTGAATTGAGGGGGTATTTTAGTAAAAGCAACTCCCACAATTAGTTGAAAGAAATTGTTGAGAAAAAAAAAATAAAAAAATAATGAAAAATTACAACAAAACAGTGCAAGTCAGTATGCAATTCAGCTTATAAATTATCAGTTTATCACACACCTTTTTATCTCTGATTTGTGATTGGTATTAATTTATTTTGACAATAAAGAGAATATAGGAAAAATAACTTAAAAAATTCTAAATATTTGACAAATTAATGAAATGGCCTATTTGTACTGAAATTATCTTGACATCTTTGAAAAAGTTCCATTATTTCCTTTCATGTGTAATAAATTCTTGAACCATCAATGAATTATCTAAATTGTTTCCAATTCTTTTTCTACTTCAAATTTAAAAAGAAAATGTAAATTTCGAGATGTTAATTTGTATAAATTCAAGAATATGTTAGAAAATAAGGCATAAAAATAGTTTATTTTTTTTTTCTTGTAAATCTATTTTTTCAAACTAAATGAAATTTTAAAAGGCATAAAAAATAGTATGATTTTTTTCTCTTTTAAATCTATTTTTTTAAACTAATTGAAATATATTAATTTCAAAAAAAGATTTTTTTTTTTTTTTTTTTAATTAATACTCACACACATGTCTTCACTAAGACTCAAATCCCTAACCTTCCTTTAAATAATAGAAGTTTGATTTTCTTTTTGATTTGTTTGATTCAATCAAATTTCATATGATAGTTTCAATCAATGAATTATTTGTCTTTACTCTATAATTTATGTTTCAACTTTCAATTGTAAATTAATTTACTATATTGTGAGACTGAAAAAATAAATAAATAATAAAATAAAATAAAAATCTTTCAAGTGACCTGTGTTTCTGTACAAGTAAGAATCTCATTTCATTTTATAATATTTTTTTAAAAAAATGCTGTTCACAATGATTGAGTCTATATGTACAGTCAACTCAATCCACCACAAACTAGAGGATATTAAACTGTCACCCAAAGTTGACTATGGATAATATACTATAGATTAATTGTTTAGGACGCTAGAGCAGGGAATCCAAATTATTTTATTATATTTTATTTTCTTACAAATAGCTCATATCAAAATAGATTAATTGATTTTGAAATTAGTTACAAAGAAAGATTATTGTTTTGCTAGTTACCTAATTAAGCAAGATTACGGTTTTGTTTGATTACCTTACTTACTAAAAAAAATTTAAAATCATAAAATCACATTTTCCTTTTAAAACCATGCATAAACTCAAGTAAGATTAAAAAAATTTAAACTAACAAATTTTATCAAGTTAAACCCACTCATGATTAACTTGTGAAATATTAAATTTGACTTTACTACTTAATATTATATTAAAGTTTATGATTATTATTTTATAATTATAAAAACACCCCAATCTTCTTCTCAAGTTCTTTAAAAGTTAAATTTGACATAATATAATTTTTAATTAACATTTTTGTAAACACTTTCGCTATTTTTATAATTTTAAAATAATAATTTAAAATTTTAATTTAATATTAATTAATAATAAAATCAAATTTGACCTTTCATACCTAATAAGTTTATACACGATTTGAAAAGTAAAGGTAATTTTTTATTTTAAAAAAAGTATAATAATAAATAAATAAATAAAAACACCGTTTTGTTTTAAAAGAATATATATGTCGAGTCTCACAGAAGGCCAATACTTTTTTTTTTTTTCCTTTTCTTTTTCCTTTTAATTTAATATTTTTGATCACATCCTTCATTTAATTATTTTCCATTTTATATTTCAGTCGCTTGCTTCTTTCACTGAAAAGTGAGAGCCATTACAACCCTCCAACTCCTTTCAATTTCGTTTGGAGTACTTCATCACCTCCAACCAGGTCCAACTCCTTCCATGTGTATATATGTATATGTATCTATCTCTATACATCTATCATATACGATGTGTTTTGGTTGGCTAATCATAACATCTAGGTATTTTATTTCGTAGTTATATTGATAATTGAAAATCATTCAAAGGGTTTTTTTTATCATTGAGCGAAGACTGAATCGAATTTCACATAAATTTCTTCAATTCTGTAACCTCTTATGTTCATTGTGTTCTCATTATCTCAATTTGAATTATGGATTTGAACGACATTGCTTAACTTCATACAGTTCATTCTTCAAATTTATTAGGGAAGCTCATAAGAGGAATGATGTGGGCAATTATAAGGCGAAAAGTTGCTTCTGGTAGCTCGTCAGCTTCGGTCAGTCCAATACACTATAATAAATATATAATTATATGCTGTTCTGTACTCATACGTCGGCATGTGTATAGAATAGCTACTTCTCCTAAAATTATGATTTATTGCGTCTCTTTCAGGGCATACAACAGTCATTGGGGAGAATTCGACCGGCAATGATGACACCAGCGTCGCGGAGTTACATTGCTACTACCAGAGTCAACAAGGTAGTTTTTGGTATTATTTATTCCATATTTCAATGTCGTGCTGATAAATTTAGATTTTTGTTAATAGAAAATATTTTTGATCTGGGATGTCCTGACTTTTGTTTTTTGTTTTTGCCTATTAGTGAATTTTATACATGCTAACATATCCTGAAAGTTTTGCTGAGATGAAAGCAAATTTTGTGATATTTTACGTCGTTCTTCCTATATTTGGCTAAATTTATGACTTTGCCACCCAGTTGGTCCTTCTTAAAATCATGGCGATTTGATCTCTGAATCTCAGTTGGCTGTGGTGAGGTGCAATTTTTTTAAACTATTATCTGTTGGGAACTGGGGGAATTGTGAGAAGTACTCACGTGGAATATTCTGTAGAACTTGAAGTTTGCTAGCATTTCCAGGGAAGGTGGTCGAGCGTTCTCCATGTCTCATCTCCAGTGCCAATTCATTGGCATTCTTCTGATCCTTCTGGGCCTTAATGTTGTATAAAATTCTATATTCTTTTTGGAAATATTTTGGGGTAGTGAGGAGTCTAAAGATTTTTCATACTGCTTAACATTGTTTGAACTGAGTTTATGCTACCATCTCAACTCAACTAAACCTCATATCATCTCAACTCAACTGAGTTTATTTCATCATTTGATTCTGTCCGGATGCATATCTTTATTTACTCCATCAAACCATGTTAATTTAGTCTTTCTCTTCTCGTAGCATTACCATTAATAGCCATATCATTTTAGTTGGCTTCCCCTTATATTTCAGATGGTTCTACTTCCACTATCTCATGAATGTATTATTTCTAATTTTTATTTTTCTAGTCTTACCCATTTCAACATCTCCATTTTCACCATACTCATTTTAGGAGCACGTTGTTTTTTATTCGTCCAAATTATGTCCCAAATGGTTGGTCTACTAAATGTTGTATAGAATTTTACTTTCCGAATTTGGAGGTAAACATCAATCTTACAAGAATGTCTGAAGTGCTCTTCCACTTAAATCGTCCCATTTTAATTAAATGAGCTATATTTTCTCCAATCTGTCCCTCCCTGTGAATAATCAAGCATAGGTAACAAAATTTGGACAAAAATATAAATGTACAAAAATTATGCATAAATTTTTGTAGGCATGCTTTATTAACCCTCCTACTTATCATATTGTCTATAAGTTCCATGTCTTTACATATCAATATTATATTTTCTTTCACAAACTTAGGCCTAGTATTTTGGCCTAATCTCTTTACTGCACTTGACTAAAATAACATAAGAACCCTTTTCCACTTTTCACTGTAGCTAGCCGCTAATGAGACGTCCCTTGCCAATGTCTCAAAGCATGGAGAATGTCTAATATTTACTTGAATATTATTAACAGTCATGATCATAAGGGGTGTGAACTCTCCTTTTCTCAGGCTTGAGACTAGCTGCATAAAGATAAGACACGTGGACTTTCACTTAATTTAAAACTGTTAATCATCTCTATCACCTTTCACTAGAGGCCCCAAAATTCTCATAAAAAGGCACTTTATATGTTTACGAAGCATGGGTCACAATATTGAACAGTTAACTTAAACCAGATTCCTTCAATATGTTTGTTTATAGCCCATGTTTCCTCTGTTTCTCAGTGCTGTGTTAGATTTCCACTGTCTCAGTGCTCTGTTAGACTTCAAACTATAGTATGCTTGGTTGTCCTTCACCATAAAAATTACTTTGTTAAGGGCACTTGTGCAGACACCAATTCTTGGAAGAGGAGCAAAACTTGTGCAACACTTTCGTTTCCATGGTAAGTTGGATAAATTTTATGTTAGTCAATAATATTACATCCCTTCCCTTCTGGAAGAGTTAATATTTAATGTGAACTTTTTCCTCTTATGTTACTGATTCTTTTGTAATTTCCGTGATTACAGGTTGTGAAGTGAATTTGAAGCTTGTAAGGTTAGTAACACTTTCTGATTTCTTCTTTTGATTATTATTATTTTTTGTTGTTGTTTTTTCATTGATTTTTTTGGGTTTAATGCTGAAATGTTTGAATATCAAAGTTCTATGAGACATTAAACTCTTAGCGAAGATTAGGTTTCGAAACATATACCAATTTTTTAATAAACTAACCAGAAGAAGAGATTTTGGAAGAGAAGGAGAAGAGTTGTTCTAGTGCTTAAAGCATATGTTGTGATCTCGTGTTATATTAAGTTGTTAGTATTTTCTCTTACTTAAATATTTTTCTGGTTTACAGAGTATCATTTTTAACAAAAGATTTCCCCATCCAGATGCAGAGTAGATCATTCTCTTCAGACAATGGTGTGATATTTTCATGTCATTCCCAGTATTTTTACTGCTTTGAACATGTCTCTTAAACCTTTTTCATATATCCATTGACTCAAGTTCTCCTTTTCTCTAATGAAGGTGATCTTGTTGATGCTGTTGTGCCTTTTATGGGTGAATCTATTACTGATGGCACTCTAGCAAAGTTTTTGAAGAGTATGTTTCTCGACAAAGCTGATTGATTTCTTCTGAAATGTTCCATTTTTGTGCTTGTAAAGTTGTGTATGATAGATTTTGTGCTCATTAAATCTCCTTGGGACTCATTCTGTGACATATTGGGTGCAGACCCTGGTGATCATGTACAAATTGATGAACCAATTGCCCAAGTTGAAACTGATAAGGTACTCTCTGGAAAGTGTCTTTAATTTAGATGTCCTGTTTCTGGACCATTGATGAATATCATGATCAGGATTGAATGGTTTTCATATGCTTCAATCAGGTGACAATTGATGTTGCAAGCCCTGAATCTGGTATCATCCAAAAGGTAGAGTTTTAGTGGGGACTAAATCATTACATACAGATTTAAAAGTTCATTTTCATTCCACCTTGCTTCCTCCTAGTAACCCATATGTTTCCAAATATATAATGTTTGCCCATATAATATTTGTTAGTTTGTGGCCAAAGAAGGTGATACTGTGGAACCAGGAACAAAGATAGCTGTCATTTCAAGGTCTGCTGAAGCTGTGACACATGTAGCTCCATCAGAGAAGGCTCCTAGCAAGGCGGCATCTGTGCCAGCTCCTGCAGAAAAGGAGGTGGACAAGCTGATGCCCAAAGCAGAAACTTCTCTATCCAAGGAGACACCTAAGGGAAAACCCAAAACACCTTCTCCACCACCTAAACCCAGGGCCACGGAACCTCAACTTCCCCCAAAGGAAAGGGAACGAAGAGTAAGTATTATGATTCTAATAATTTACTAAATAATAAACTCCGGGGAGTAGGAATGATACCATTTCTGTTTCTCCTTTTTTCTTATTCTTTTTTATTTATTGCAATTTATTCTTCTTCCAGGTTCCGATGACAAGACTCAGGAAACGTGTGGCAACACGTTTGAAAGACTCACAAAATACTTTTGCAATGTTGACTACATTCAATGAAGTTGATATGTAAGTTATTTGTTTTATCAACCTAGAATGTCAATTTATGTGGTTGCCAGTCATTAATGAACTACTAGATCTTTCTTGTGGTCCATTTAATATCTCCCAGTGTTTTGAAGTTCCATCTATATATTATTTTGAGATATGCAATGTGATAATTTTTTGCATGATTCAACAAAAATTTTGGCTTTCATCTTATATAGTGTATATGCTCTTTTTCACCATAAACTTTTAAATTGTTATTGACTTATTGGCTCATTTTTCCTTTGGTGTGATGTTCTTAAATTCTTATTTAATTTAGGACTAATTTGATGAAGCTCCGTTCTGAATACAAAGATGCCTTTTTAGAGAAGCATGGAGTCAAGTTAGGACTTATGTCCGGATTTGTCAAAGTATGTCTCATCTTTTTTATTATTCTACGCCTTACATAAACAGTTGGACACATGCATTTGTGCTTGCATGTTGGTGCACCTATTTTTCATTTTTTCAATCACGACTCGTTAATTTGTTTCAGGCTGCTGTTAGTGGGCTTCAGAATCAGCCAATCATTAATGCTGTCATTGATGGGGATGACATCATTTATAGAGATTGCGTTGATATTAGTATTGCTGTTGGTACACCAAAGGTCAGTAGCTAATCCAGTTGTTTTAAATGCCTCATGACTGATGATGGGACATTAAGGTGTCCATGATAATTGAAGTAATCCATTGTGATTTTTAATGTTGTTCAAACATACAGTTTGGTAGTATTATGGAGATGTCACCATATTCACCATATTTGCTAAGAATGATGTATATTTTTCTATTTGCACCACTAGTTAATAAAATGTGACAATGTAGTTTAATTGTTATGGTAGGTGAGAGTATTGGAAAGACAAAATTTATATCTGTTTTTTTCAATGGTTCATGGTATAACAATCTTATCTCTATGTTTGCCAAAATTTTAACTATTTGCTAAGTTATGTATTTTTTATTTTTTCATTCTTTTTTCCTGCAACTAGAAGAAAACATTATTTACTAGTTTCACGTGATACTTGCAATTAAAAGTATCCATAGTTGGTTTTTGCCTGACATTGTAAAGAAAAGTAATGACTTGGTCAATCAAACAATGAATATTGTTTGTACCATGTGCTAATTACATTTTCTGTGATATATATAGTTAGTAATAAAATAAAATAGAAACTTCATTTTCTGTAGATTTCTCTCTCTCTTTCTCTCTCTCTCTCTCTCTCTCTCTCTCTCTCATATAGGGAGTAAACAAGCCAGAATGAGGGCTAAATATAGTGTTCAAACTCCCAAGGGGACTTAAAGTCATTCATAATTGATCACCAGCAACGCGACTTAAGCTAGCCAGCTGGCATCTTAATCATGTGTTCCATGTTTCCCGCAGTTAGAGCTTACTAGAATCTGTAAGAAATGGTGCTTACCAAAATTAGAGTAATAATACTAATATTAATGATGATGATAACCTACAAGAAAGACACAACTCTGGATATATATTTTGTGTTTCCTTCACACTACCTCTTTATTTTGATTCTTTGACATAATAATTGTCAACATTTTCATACCAGTTAACTGAATTCTTTTGTGTTTGTCATATTTCTACAATTTTTTTACAGTTTAACTAAAAACTAAATGTTTTTTTTATGACAGTTTTTCACCATTATTATTATTGTTATTTAACCTTGGCAAGAAACTCACACACCCACACTTCGCCTCTATGAGGACATGAACCCAAACCTTTCACTTTGGTGGTATATTATTATTAGGGTAAATTACACTTACCTCCCTTGGGGTTTGGACAAATTTCACATGGGTGGAGCGTTTGAGGTTTATTACTCTGACCTCCCTTAAGACTATAAAAAGTCAATTATACCCTTATATGTAATATATTTTTATAATACAAAATACATTATAAAATCTAAAAAAAATCAAATTTCTATCTCATATCTCTTATTACTTTCTCTCTCCTCTCCACCACCGTTATCCCCTCCTAAAAAAAATATTGTAAATAAAAAATATTAATAATAAGTGTAAGGGCAACTTGGTCATTTTATGAATTTTTTTTTACAAGTTTTGATGGAGGGGGGGTGGCTGAGCATACACCCAAACCTCAAGGGAGATCAAAGTAATAAATCTGAAACGCTCCACTTGTGTGAGATTTGCCCAAACCTCAGGGAGGTTAGTGTAATTTGCCCTTATTATTATTATTATTATTTTTTTTTGGGGGGGGGGGGGGGGGGGGGGGAATATTTTTTGAAGTGATTATTTTGGTGTGTGGTCTAATACATTTATATATTGACAGATCTTTTATAGAAAATTAAGTTTACTGCATTGTTCAATATTCTATATCGCCTTGCATTATTTGATTGTGGGGAGACCCCTACTAGCATTTTTGGCTCTTGGAGATGTCTCTTTTATAAACCAACTTTTCATGGTTGTTAATTTGTTATGTCTTATTTTTTTTTTGGTTCCCTGTGTAGCAATCTCAGTTCCTGGTCTAGAGTGGGCGTGTAATGGGAGTTTTGGAATGGGGACGTGGTGCATTTTTTTGTTGTTTTTCCTCTCTCTCTCTCTCTCTCTCTCTCTCTCTCTTTAACACAATCAGCAGCATTTCCTCTTTGTGTTTCCTGTATGATTCTCATATTGTTGTGTTGACATTTGGAGCTGCTATTGACTTTACATCAAGTTTGCTTTTTTCTCTTCATTAGTATATACCTTTGAGTCTCTTCCTCTGTGTTTCTTCTCCAAGGGTCTTGTTGTCCCGGTTATTCGCAATGCTGACGGAATGAACTTTGCTGAGATAGAGAAGGAGATCAACACCCTTGCAAAGAAGGCAAATGATGGCTCTATATCAATTGACGAGATGGCTGGCGGGTCATTCACAATATCAAATGGCGGTGTTTATGGAAGCCTATTAAGTACCCCGATCATTAATCCACCACAGGTATGATGTTGTACAGACCTGTATTTCTTCTTTCCTGTTATGTGACCTTGTGCAAATACTGAACGAATACACTTTTCTGCCGGATTATTTTATGAACTTCTTAGCACACTTTTTACATATTTGGGACTCATTGATCTAATTGATCTAAAGTTCGCAAGTTGGTACTGGAAAAACTAGGTTTCAAAAATTATTCTAGGAACTTAAACTACAGTCCCATGTGGCCAAGAAGATTGATCTATGTAGTTGATAAAATTTCCATAATTGAAGGAGAATGTCTTTGTCACTGATAAGAGTGCATGCACATATAAATAATTTATTTATATGTGTACAAGGACACACACACACACACGTATGCTGGTTGCTTGCCTGGAATGACTAGTTCTGCAGGTGTGCATGTGTTTTTTGTTTTATTTTGCAGATATCCAATAATGTTGCATGTGACATTACAATTACAATGATACATGTCATCCAACAGTTCCAGTGCCTTGACAGGGATTTTATGTTTCCATTTGAAAAAACTGCGTTTATTAGTTTTTTATTTTTTTCTTTCAGTCGGCAATCCTGGGCATGCATTCCATAGTGAACCGTCCAATGGTTGTTCAGGGTGAAGTTGCGTCAAGGCCAATGATGTACATTGCACTAACTTATGACCATAGGCTGATTGATGGAAGAGAGGCTGTCTTCTTCTTGCGCCGCATCAAAGATGTTGTGGAGGACCCTCGGAGGCTGCTTCTTGACATATGAAGACTGCAGAGTCAACTTCACCATTTTTCTTGTTGGTAATCTTGAAATTTGGTATACTCGGTTTTGCTCAAGATGCATAATGTTTATATCCTAAAGTTAGAACTTAATGAGGTTATGTTGTCCAGCATTAAGTGGTTCGGTTGTTACCCACAGTGATCGAGTTTTCGGATGAGAGTTAACTGATTACTGCATACTTCCCTAATATGACAACAAGGGTTCTAGTCTGTGTTCTGTTCGGAAGCCAGAGGGCACTTGAATGAAAAATGAATCATCGGTGGTTCGAGTTTGTTTAGTGGCAGTAAGGCCCTCAAAGAAAAATGAATGATTTGGTTGCTGATATGAATTTTTCGGTACGGTTCTTAAAGAAAACCTGTTTACCACCCGCATTTCATGAATTATGGACTTAAATCAAGTTATTAAGAATTTGTTTCTGCTTGAAGTTAAGTTCTGTTTTACAGTAAACTGTATAACGCCTGTGAAGCCTGGGATTGAAGCAATAATTGTATGAAGAAATACGAAGTTAGGGCATGGACTATGGAGTGAAATTTTGTAACATTCCTTTGATTGTGAAGAGGTTAAAATTAAGCTTTGTGAAAAATGAGGAAAATTTTGAATTTCAAAACTTCCACTATTACCAGTTTTGACGAGTGATTTGTAAGTTAAATGGAGAGAACTTTGAAAGATCTTTCCATATATTTCCTTGATGTACTGATTTTATTGTTTTCATGTTCTTTAAAAGAACATTTTTCCAAAGCAGTAATAGTGTTTGAATCTGACCATTTTTCCAAACCAGTAGTAGTGTCTGAATCTGACCTTGTGATTTGTTTTAAATTGTCTTCCAGCTCGTGTTATTGGTGTTCTAGGATCACTGAACACCACCAACTCTAATGATATGATTCTGCATTTGATGCTTGTACAATTTTATGATTTAGCCCTGCTGTTTAAAATAACTGTACGCTTTTTGGGATTGGATCAAAATTATCTGTCTATAGTCATATTATCTTATATCACTGTCTCATCACGAGCCCACCTCCAAGGAGAATAGCAACTCCACAAGCAGGGATTAACGTACTTGCTTGGTGTGAACTGTACTACTCCTGCATAAGCAGGATTAACTGGAGCTTTCGCCAAACCGTGGCGCACACTGGCCCACCCACAGCAGAAAATATTGTCCTCTTTTAACGCCTGCCAAGAGTCGAAACCCGACCTGGTTAGGCCACTGGAACGAGTATGTATAATACTTTACCTTCACTTTTTTCATATAACGTGGGATCATAACACCCGTCAGTGTGATAGATCACTTAGTGTCTCACATCCATATACGTCACACCCGTCCATGTAAGTTGTCACATTCATGGCCGGGGCTCACAAAATTCCAAGTTTCAAATTTCTTATGCTTTGTAAGTTTATCAATCTCAACAGCTTGGTGATACGGTACTGGATATAATTTTTTTTTGGGTACAAAGTACTTTCAATGACGACCCATCATGTAAATTTCCTCACAATTTAAACGTTGGCACTTGCTTTGCAAGATCCATACGTCATGAATTGACAGTGATTTTGAACCCTACTTTCTGTTTCCATATTCAGTCTAAGGCTCAATATTCTAATGCCATTTGAGTGATATCTCAAAATTGTTCAGTGTTAGTAATATTGCTACATATTGTCTTATCAAATTACATCCTCATATCAACCCCCTAAATTTCGAGTTGCCTAGCACAACCAAAATAAGCCAGTTACTTCAGAAAAATGAACATAGGTAAGGGTTCAATTCAACAAATTGAACTTAATTTATTGCAACCGATCATTGTAACAAACTATTAATTATTCTGAGGGGTGGATTATGAAGTGTTGTAAGAGCATTCGGCGCGGCACTCTCTTTAGAGTATATCTGTGTCAGTTAGGAGAGAGAAGTGGACGGTATGGTGAGAGAAGTGGAGTATCTGTCTTGTGGGACCGACAACCATTATCTAAGCCCTTGTCCACAGATAGAGCTGCCTTTGGAGAACACTCTATTTTTTTTTTCCTATGTTTAATCAATCTGAAGGGAAAAAAGCAAAAGGCAGCAACGGTAATAAAAATAAAACGGTTACTTCCAAACGTTCCATTAAATTCAAACGGTAATAAAAATAAAACGGTTATATTTTTTGGCTATAAATACTAAATTTCATCTTCAATAATTTTCATCTTCAATAATTCTCTCTCAATATTTTTTTTTAACAGTCATCTATATGGATCCTCAACCTCCATTCTATAACCCCCATCTCGACCAATCTCATAATTCCGAATTACCACCGCAATCCAATTATAATGTGGATTCTTCAATTTTTTTTCAATCTGAAAATCCATCTCAACCCCAATACTCTTATTTCTCATTCCAACCTACTCAATACCAACCCGTACCACATCCCCAATTCAAACCTCATTACCAATTACAACCTTGTCAATACCAACCATCTCAATCCCAATCATCTCAGTTCTAACCACCTCACTCCCAACCTTCTCAGTCCCAACATTCTCAATCCCAACCATCTGAATCCAACGTAATTCTAGGTGTTTGAAAACAAATTGGTCCATTGAAGAAGATGAAGCATTATGCAAAGCATGGGTTAACATTGGGGAAGATCCAATAACGGGTTCGAATGAGAAACAAATCACGTATTGGGGACAAGTTCGTGAAAATTTTATTCGGCAACCAGGGGGCATGACGTCCCGAAATGTACCAGGTTTGCAAAATCGTTTCTCACACATTAAAGCAAAAATGGGAAAAATTTTTGGATATTACAAACAGATCCAACATCATACTCCCAGTGGCTTCAACGCTGAAGATGCAGTAAGTTTTTACTTTTTAAATTTTAAAATTTTTTTTTTTTATTCGCAATCTAACTAATTTCATTTATTTTTTATTTTTTATAGCTCATTGAAGCAAGAAATTTATTTAAAACGTCAGAAAATGAGCCATTTAAGTTGGACCACTGTTGGTGTATTTTAAAGAATTCGTCAAAATGGAATTTGACTTCCAACAGCAATGACAAAGGGAAACACAAAAGAGCAGTGGAGATCGATATGAATGAGCCTGGGGATTGGTCAGAAACTGTTCAACCTCATTCGTCAACAGTTCAAACCAATCCATCTACTCCGTCAACACCTGGAATATCAACACCAGGTTCAGTAAACCTTGGCGACGACGATTCGCCTGTAATTAGTGTTGAAAGTTCGCATGGCATTGTACGATCTCCTGGACGAAAAGCATCTAAGAAGGGTTGCAAAAAAAATAAAGAGGAGGTACAACATAACTTATTTCTAGAACAATTTAAAGATTTTACCCATCAAAGTAAGTTGATGAATGCCTTGGCAGTCGAATCTCAAAAAATGAAATTGAAAGCTACATTCGATTTAGGCTTGGAGAAAGAGCATACAAAAAGAATGGAGATTGAAGTGCAAAAAGAAATGAAAAAGTTGGAATTTGAGCAGAAGCAACTTGATTTTGAAAGAGAAATGATGCTTAAAAATCCAAATGATGCTCCAACAGCAGCAACAAAAGCATGGATCATTTATCAACAAAATGAAATTTATGCACGTTTCAGTAAAAGGGGTAGTTTGTGAAGCTATGTAGTGTAATTTTCTTTTTCTACCTATGGGAAGATAATGTAATGTAATTTTCTTTTTCTATCTGTGGGAAGTTAATGTAATGTAATTTTCTTTTTTCTATCTATGGGAAGTTAATGTAATTTTTATTTATATATGTAATGGATATTTCTTTAAATCATAATTTCTTTAAATTTCTTAATAAATCTAATCGAAACAAATAATTTTTAAAATATTGTTTATTCATCAGCAATATGAAAATTACATTTTATTCTACTACAACAAATTTAAACATCTTCATTACCAAATTGATTCCACAAATGTTCCATGAGATCTATCCTAAGATCGGCATTGTCTGATCTATTACGAATCCTACTTAGGCGAGAGGAAATGTGTGCCGCCAACATTGATGGGTTTCGAATGTAATGTGGAAGGGAGATTGGGTCATCTGTCAGAGGTGTCCATTGCAAAATGTGTTGGCCCTCGTCTTCAATGATTATATTGTGTAATATGATGTACGTTCTCATTATCTTGTTTAGATCTTATGTATTCCAATAAAGTACCGGTTAATGCGTTATAGCCCACCTCATTTGCAACACGCCGAACGCCTGTTCTATATCCTTCCTAACAGCTTCTTGTTTGTTAGCAAATAATTTCTTTTGACTGTTGTTGGGTGCGGGATGGTCTGCATCAAAGTTGCCCACTTGGGATATATACCATCAGATAGGTAATACCCCATTGTACGCCGATGCCCATTCACCACGTAATTAACTGGAGGCATTAAACCATTGATCATGCTCTTGAATACTGGGGAATGGTCTAGAACATCCAAGTCATTATGTGAACCAGCCATACTAAAGAAAGTATGCCAGATCCACAGATTTTTCGATGCAACAGCCTCCAATATGAGGGTAGGTTTATGGCTTCTTCCCGTGTGCGTGCCATGCCATGCTATGGGGTAGTTCTTCCATTCCTAATGCATACAATCTATAGAGCCAAGCATACCTGGAAAACCTCTCTCTTCCCCTTCTCGAAGCAGACATGCAATGTCGTCTGCATTTGGTGAGCGTTGGTACTGCTCCGCATATACAGCAATTATAGCATCACAAAACCTCTTCAAGCTTTCAATCGCAATGCGCTTAGAAATCTTTATATACTCGTCACAAAGATTAGCTGAAATTCCATATGCGAGTATACGGATTGCAGCAGTCATCTTCTATATAGGAGTGAACCATTTACAACCGAAGGCATCGGGTTTCTGGATGAATCATTCGTCATATGTTGTAACACCGTTCAAAATGCGAAGAAACAACTCTTGTCACATCCGAAACCTTCTACGAAATATGTTTGGTGGATAAATCGGATTTTCAGCAAAGTAATCTTGGAATAGCCGTTATGCTGCCTCCTCTCGATCACGTTTAATATACTTTCTCTTACGAGGTTGAAAGAATGCCCGCACCCTATCAGGCGATAATAATCTACTCACATCGTTCATTCTTTTTCGATAGATTTCAAAAATATCTTCCCCATCTGAATCTGACGAATTCAATAGAGAAATAGACTCAGAGACGGGTATATCTCGTGACGATGAAGCCATTGTTTTTTTGTATAAGAAATATGAAGACTCAAAGAATAGAGAATGGGATTGAGAATGCACAGAAGTAGACTTGATAATTGAAAGAAGATAGAATTGAAAAAAGATAGAATTGAAAAAAGATAGAATTGGTGGTTTATATAGAGATTGAAAGAACAAATAATAGACTTGAGAATGCAAAGAAGTGAATTTCATAATGGAAAGAAGATAAAATGAGTGGTTTATATAGAAATTGAAATATATCCGTTGGGAATATAGTCGTTAGAATATAGCCGTTGAGAAGAAGACAAAAAATTATTAAATTCAAATTCAAATTTTTTATTTTATTTTAAAATTAAATTAATAAAATAATAAATAGAGAATGAGATAATTGGGTTCCACACCATGGAACATATTGATTAAAAAAATAGAGTACCGCATTATCACTTTTTAACTTACGTGGCACTCTACTTTTTTAAAAGTAGATAGATAACTTGTGTTGCCCACACCACTTGCTCTAAAAAATGGACAAAAAAAAATATATATATATATAAGCAAGAGATAGTGTATTTTGGGCTCCTAATAAGATACTCCGTATTGTCCAATAAGATTAACCATTTCTTGAGTTGGGCCCAGTTTGCAGTAGTTGCGGTACTGAAAACGACATTGGACTTGTTGGACCTTACTTTGCCAAGAACGCCAAACATTAGCAGCCAGAAAAATTTTCATTTGAGATTCATACGAAGAAGCTCCAGCGCCATTCATAAAATTCGTGGCCCCAATTCATATACATATAATTCATATAATACGATATCCCCCATTATCCGGATTCTTGTTCATTCTGTTCTTATTGTTAATTGTTCATACTCTCCTTTGATTCTCAGCTGAGATCATATATACAAAACTAAGCTTGTTTTGTTGTCTTCTTTTTTCCTAAATTTTTCAGATGGGATCATCCAAACCCTAATAAGGTGAGCACTGCTGTCTTCTCTTAATTTCTCTATCTAGATACACACATGTATTTGTTGCTAATATTATGATCAGCTTAATTTCCGAAAAAAAAAAAATAATAATAATACGACCAGCTTGTTCCACTCTGGCTTAATTTGGAGGACTTTAGTGTTCAAACTTACCGATTACAATTGGAATGATGTGAACTTTGACAGAACTGATGTGAATATTACAATTAAAAATCTACCATCTCTGTATGTGTATGTTGCCTCGTTGGTTGTGTAAATTTCTTCTGTAATTTTACATCTGGGAAGAAAAGTTCACATTAGGGAAGTAATGTTCTGTTTTTATTTTTTATTTTTATTTATTTATTTTCTATTTTTTAAGCAAGCTGAATAATATTAAAAAAAAAAAAACAAACCCAATACATAGTTACATTTGTGAAGCAAAGTTTTGGATACTGCTGCGGACGATGCTTTCATATTCTTATGCTTGCTCTAGTACATATATTTTACTGTTGTGATCTCAAAAGTTGAATCTCATCACTACTAATGATGTGGGGTGTAAACCTTTTGGTTTTTAGGTTTTAAAGTTTTGAAGAATATAATATTTGAGAAACATAGTTAAACAGAGCGAGAGAGAATAGAATTATGTACATATTTGCATATGGTACTACCATTTTTAGTCAGAAGAAGTTTGGTTAGTGTGAATTATCAAGAAAGAAATACTGGTTCATGTTCACTGAAGATTATGCATAGAATGACGAGGACAGTCAGACCATGTGTCAATCACGAAACATTTTAAATTATAGGCTGTATAGCCAAAAAACCATGGGCAGAAAAAATTTCAAACCTTGGGAAGGTGTGTTATTTGGATAGAGGCCTAAAACAGCACAAAGGAGGGTGCACCTTTGGCTATCCTTTGGCAAGTGTAAACCTTAATGCTTTTAGGCATTTATAGAACTCATTGCCCAGAGAGGTAGAGATTTAAGGGTGCTAAAAGTTCCTTTCACAATCTTGATTTTGTTTTTGGGTAATCTTTACATTGTTTACACCTAATATTCAAGTGTTCCATCTCCTATTGAAGGTAATATTATCATGGTTCAACTATGTTGACAATCCATACTCCGGGAGTCGGTAGCAAGTCTGGCATTTATTTGGATGCTGGCACCCTGCATGGGGCTACTCCCTGCAAGGTTCCATATGTTCCTCCCTTGATTAATACTCTAATTTCTCATATCCCTATAAGGGGTCCTCGTAATAAAGGTTTACATGGTTCCTCTTCCTCTTGGGAAAGCTGTGCTCGGCTTAAGATCCATTACCTGTCACATCAAACAGCTCCAAAGAGATGGCTGGTGAGCGGTACTACAATATTTACAGTAAATAAGACTTTTCACTTTTCATTAATATTTGGTTTTATTGAATGTTTACGTGCCATGTTGTTGTAACTGTTACAGTGCCAATTGCATGATTCTATTCCACCAGAAGATGAGTATCGTTCATCACGCAATATAGCAATCAGCTTGTTCAGGCGATACAGGAACTTTGCTGACCGTGGAGGAGGTGACAACCTAAAAGTATATTCAATATTTTGTTTCATTGGTTTTTGTGAGGTCATTCTGTTGTTGTTCTTAATTTACATGTTCTTTAATGGGCATTAGGAGTTTATTAGTGCTGGGGTAAATGCATATGCGCTGGGATGCACTGATGAAGGACTACGGAAAGAACTTACTGATATGAAAGAATCTGGTGTTGAAATTGAAGTAATGCAAACTTATGGTGGAAGCACCAGCCTGAAATCCAAGATTTTCTCCTCGGAGGTAAGTCACTCCTTTGCTAAACTTGAAGTGTTGACCAATATCAAATTTTAAGTGCCAGATGGGCAGGATTATTATCTATTGAAAAGGCATCGTATTATTGATAAAGAAAAACAACTACTCCGTATATAATTCTACCTAGACATGAAATTTGATTTGTGGGATCAATAAGTGATAACCAATGCTTCCTATTTCACATTGCAGGTTGACGAGTGTATTTTGTGGTTGAGCATTATATTCATCACGATATTGTGTACTCCACAACCAACCATAGTTCGATGGTCATCCACACCTCCTGTGTCAGATGAAATATTGCTTCAGTGGAAAGGCTTTTGTGCTATCATTGCAAATGCATACTATATGAGGGGAATGGCATGGTGAGAGTTTGTCGGATATTTGACTTGTTTTGTTAATTGCATTGGTCTTTGGTAACAACCATCCATATATTGTTCTATATAACAAAGATGACTCACAATAGAAATTCTTGCATCAAATGAAGCACTGAAACCTTTGTTGAGTTTCATTTTTCAAATTTTTTTTTTTTGGCAACAAGGGGACTAGAGCCCCTAACAGTTAGGTTGATAGTCTAAGTAGATACCACCTGGCTTAGTAGGGTGGTGGTCTACCAGCTCTGTTGACATTCTTTCTGTATGTTGTTCTCGTAGCCGATTGGATAACACTCATGTTTTCTTGTATTTACTAAGGCTTCCAGTGAAGACTCTCCAGCTAGAGCAAATGGCAGTGGTGGGCCGTGCTGAGGAACCATCAGTTGTTGCAAGCCGAATGAGATTAGTGTTTAGCACGCTTGAGGTTAGCTATATTTCCATACTTGAGATTAGTGCAAGCCGAATGAGATTAGTGTTGTTCATGAGTGAACAATGACAAACCAAGGTCTAATATACATTTACCATGCTTCTTTGGAAAGATGATCCAGTGATTCATCAATTTCCTGCAATAAGTTAATGTTCCTGTGTGAAAAAATAATTTTTCTGGGAACTATGGATCCCTAACTCATGAAAATAGTTCTGCTTCAGAATTCAGTGCAAGTACAAGGACACTAGAACATCCATGAGGTTTCTGAGAAACCATTGTGGTCAACTGGTCATAATCATCTTTATAATTATTATGATTCTGATTTCACACTGACTATACTTGAGAATAAAATACTTACATACCAGATATATAATTTATTTATTTATTTATACTTTGGCAAAATGACCTCACGTGCCTGTAATATATTGATATGATGATTTGTTCTGCTTGTGCAGGTTGTGAGTCCACAGTGGCCGAGAGTGTAGTGTGGATGGTTAAACATGAAAAGTGCATTCCCCTGGAATTTTACTTTGGGTTTACGACTTTACAGTAATCCGTAAAGTTGTAAATTAGTGTAGCATGATATTCTGCAACTGCTGTGTTTCTCCACAATGCACTGCAGATTTCTATTTAGAAGAATGTGGCTCTACTTGTACTCAACTATACTTTCATTTTTAATCTTAGATGCTAAGTTTGTTATTAGCATTCGTACTTCTCAATTTATTGGCTAATGTAATAAGGAACCATCATAGTAATTTACTTAAGTGAGAGATGGCCCGAAATAGATCTGAATCGTTGTTGATAACTCCAAGCAGTTTGATGTTCGTGCTTAGTTGAGTTGAGACTGAACAATGCATTAGAAAAACTTGTAGGTTAATTCGTTGATTGTGATCAAAAGAGGCTATCAACTTGTAACCTCAATATGGAAGTTACAAACTTTGTTACTTCAACAGTGTTGAAGCTCGCAAGAGCTTGATGAACTATGTTCTCCAGGTTAATAAAAATTTTGGAGAGCTAAACCAAGGAACGTTGGTTCCTTTTTCTTCTATTTTTTTTTCCTTCCTTTTCTTTTTGACCGATCAAATCAGTCAACTGCATCATCATCCAAACTAGTAAAAAATCTTCAAGAAATGGTTACACTTTGATTTCGTTTCATCACTACCAGCCAACTGAGCAACATAATTTGGCCATTTCATTAAATTCAAGAAAGGGGGGTTAAACACCTGCTAAATTATAGAAAATTACAGTTCAGAAGTATAGCATTTACTAGGAAATAATGCACTTCTATTACTTGCTCGCAGTATTTTACAATCAATCAAATGAAGAAATTAGACGTTTCAAAACTGAATGTCATAGGCTATACCATCACAAATCTGGAGAAGCAAGAAATGCAATGTTGCCTTTAAGCGTCTTCTGAGCACGCCATTGGATAGCACTAGCTGTTTCTGATGTTCCCATCTGTAAAATTAGTCAAAATCAGTTGTCAATAAATTTCCGCATTATAATAAATCATGATAACTAACTAAATTGATTAATCATCCAATAGATTATGGAATTGTATAATAATCAACCAGGAAGAAGTTACTAGATTACATCACCCATTTGAGTTGAAATTGTCCACAACTCAATGGCGTTCAACGGGGGTAACTAATCTGATGCGAATACACGCACAAGTGCGCATGGATGCTGATCCTAACAGAAAATATTGCAGTGCACAGAGAGTAATCTTGGACCACAAACATTTTCTTGCAAGGGTTGAACTATGGGTCTGGTTTTACAGAATAATCTAAATATGATAACCCATCCCGAGGGAAGCATTCTTTATGGAGATGTAGCACGCAAGTTTACCTTAATCTCCATAGAGTAATAATCTTGCCACAAGCTTGCATCCTGATCATAAGTTGTAAGTGCAGATTCATATAACTTCCGGACTCTTACAAGACACTCTTTATCACCAGCAGATGCAAGGTTCAATTCCAAGTCGATGCAATTTTTAAATATAGCAAGACCTGGATGGGGTAAAGCAAGAAACCTGCATTGAAAAGAGAAGCATAGTTGGAAACTTCGGAATCATCTGGTAAATTAGCATATATTAGAAAATCTAAAATTCAGTGCAAGACATATCTTCTAATTTTATCTAAATAATGTATCAAAGCATCTGAATTGCAGTGTTACACATGCTGTATGGCAATTCAACTATGACTATGACGAAGTCAATTGAACCAAAAGTTCAAAACTCCTCAAGATCTGGTTAGAAAAAAAAAAACTCGTCAATATCTAGAGGCTAGAGACGTACCGCTTATACATCTCTCTTGCACGCTGAATTCCATCCTTTTGAAGAACAAAATTTACAATGGCAGTAGAGAGGGAAAATCCACCGTCACTGCCACCAAATTGAGCCAATGAAACCAGGGATAGCTCCATCAGCTTGTCAAAATAACGTCTTTGATCAGAGAAAAATTTCAGGGCCTGCAGAACAAAATAACGTTAATAGGCATAGAAGTCCTAGCATTTTTACTATTATCTAGTTGTTTGTGACTGCTGTTAACATTGGAAAGATAGCTAATTAAACTAATAGTACAGACACTGGTCATCTTCTTCCGCCATTAATCATCAACAAGCTTTTGAACAAATTCCTCCACCAAATGACAATTGTAAATCGATCCTGGATTGGTCCATGTGGATAGAAGTGCTAAATTTGAAGTTGGTAACTTTCATGGAGACAACAATCTGGAAGCATTTCTTGGTTGGTTACAAAGCCTACAAAGCCCCTTCAAGTGTTATTGTTCTACAAATCAGAAGAAACTCTTCCTTGTAGAGGTATAAAATACAAAAGGGAAGAATGTTGCTATTAGATGACATGAAAACCGTTACAATTCCGTACTTCATACCATAGAATTACAGACAACGAGTTAACTTGAAATTAATCAATTGGTGCAAGAAACTATGTCTGTGGAAAGAGTACATTGGAAAGTTCCATAAATTAATTATGAGATTAACTTGAAATTATGCAATTGGTGCAAGAACTATGTCTGTGGAAAGAGTGCATTGGAAAGTTCCATAAATTAATTCTGAGATCAGAATTTCAGTGGAAGAAGATGTATAAATTCAGAGTAATTCTTGTGTTGTGCCATGGAAGTTGTATTTCAAGTCGCCTATCAGATGGAAGAAAAGAAGAAAGAAAATATTGAGAGATGTGATGGAACACACAATTCGAACTGAAAGAACTTTCATGAATGCGGATTGAGGTACATTGAATGACAAACCACAACACAAGGAAATTCTATGCTTCCAACGCAATAGCTAATTCTATTGCTAATAATTCTAATGAGCTAAGATGTCACAATGATCACCATTTGGATCATCTGCGTTTTAAGTGCCCTATTAACACAGTTGCCATAATCAAGAGGGAATGACCTAAAGTGTTCAGGTTCCTTTATTAAATTTTAAGAAGATTTCTGGGGGAAATAAAATCCTTTTAAATTCATGCTGCCAAATGTCATTCCATGTTTCTAAGTTTACATGATATTTCAGTAGGTGAGTTGCATGTTCTAACTATTACTTCAACTCTAGGCATAATTGCGACATTATTCATGTTCAGGACTTGCAAAAGTTGTCCCTTGGTTCAAACTGGAAGAACTATGTGGTTCAAAAGTTTAGGTAGATATTATTAGTATCCCAAACAAACGTAGTCAAAATAGCGACTGCTTCTTAAGCCATATTTTGGAGCTACAAAAGTCTAAGAGGCCAAGAATTTAAGATTCATAGAATTACAAAACCTGTAATAACTTTATTTGTGACATTCTGAATTCTGACAAAAGGGAAGGGAGAAAATGGGAGTATTGTTTGCATACCATGAGCCACAAGCTATCAGCTTCTGAAATCGCCACCTTTGTCAGAACATCTTTCAGGAGAAGAAAGATGGATTGCGGATCAGCTTTGTTTGAGTGAGATTTCTTTGCAATACATTTCATCTCTAGTGAGAGCCGTAAAACCCATAAACACACTGAATGTGAAAGTTTCCCATTGCAAAGCTTTTCTGACAGCTCCCTAGCTTCGTCCAACCTCCCCAGTTGCAAGTAAAATGAAATGTGTTGGCAAGCAAGATCTTCAGTAACACACCCCATGTTTTCAGCCCTTCCGTATACCGTCAACATATGTGAAATAGGATCTAAACTATGATCAGAAGTGCTCAAGATCACAGAACTTTGAGTTTCTCCATTTTTAGGAACAACAAAATCCATCAAAAACTTTGTGTACAGGTTAAACATCATGGCAGAAGGCACAAATTTTAAAGCCTTCTCATAGACCTACACGTGGAATAACAGAAAACATGATCATCAACCGTTTATATGTACACACAAAAACAACAATAATAATAGTCAACATTCATTTATGGAGAAGCATACTGATAAAACAACTCCAGAAGGAACAGAAAGCACAAGGCCTTTTAAACTGCGAAGAAAAAAAAAGAAAGTAATAGCAAACCTATTCATGCTCTAAGCCTCGGATAAATTTTAAATACTCACCTCAAGTGTGTATATTTTAGAAGAAACTGACATTTTAAAGTCTTTTAGATGACAAGATACCCAAAAGACAAATTACCCTTTCTACACCTCACACCAAAGGTGTTATTGCATTTAACCGTACAGGGGGAGAGGCTGCGTGGTTGGGTGGTTGCTAAAAAGGTATCTGAACTTAAATACATAACAAGAAACAAGCATTCCTTAACTATAAATTTTCTTTCCAAAAATGCTCTCAATTAACACAATTTATGTTCACGTCCTGAGCAATAGTTTACAGTTTACACAGTATATGAAGAATGCATAAACAATTGTGCATACATTGTCCTGAAGCGCAACAACCAAAATGAGCCAAAATAAGTACAAGTCACAACACATAAGAACAACAAAAGATATATACATGATTGAAAGTTTTCGGATTCACTGGGTAGAGTCCACACACATCAATCAGCAGTAACACTGCTCATCAAGGTTTAATGAGTTCACATGGTACCATACCTGAATTGCTTTGTGTAAATTACAAGGCATGATTTCTTTACCCATCTCCTGTCCACTGTTGGGATCAATACTTTCAAGTTTAGCAAGCCAATTCCAATATTCTACTTCGTTTGAAAAGTCTCTTTCCATGTCAGCCAATATCTCTTTTCTCATTTCTTCTGAATGTTCCAAATTTGTTGCTTCCAGTATCTCAAAAAGACGTGTTCTCAGGCTGAAACTAGAAGGGAGAGCTTCAACTGCACAGCTGTAAACATTTCGAAGAACATCCAAACCTTGTTCCCGAAACAAATCAAATTTCCTCTGAGATTCCCCATTTTGGGCCTCTGATGTTTCGTCATTCTCTCTTTTTTCACCTAATGCCATAAATAGTTCTTTGTTATCATCTCTCCATTGTTTCTCACCAACATCTGGATGATTATGAATCAATGTCCCCTCATCTTCTCCAAGAGCAACCCTCCTGGCCTTTAACTTATTAAAATATGTGAGTTCCATTCGGAGAAACTCCACCCATAGATCTTCTGAAGTTGGACAGACTCTCAAACCTTTCTGCATGAGTCCACGTGCAGCCACAGGATTTAAGTTATGGTCAAACTCCCAAGCAGCAGCATATATCCAAACCCCAGGAACTTTTGGGTGAAGCCTGGTCACCTGAGCAAGGACCTGCATAAAATTCAAATAATTGCATTGAAGAGTGAAATTCTCTGATTACAGTCTCCACAAGAGAAACATAATCAATTATCAATAGCTTAGGTCTAGTGATATCCCCAATAATTTTCAAGTGAAAATTTGAGAGTTCAAGTCCCCAAAATGGGAAATTCTAGTGTGTTGGTGACTTATCAAGCCAAAAAAAAAAAATCAATTACTCCAAATTCGGTGGACAACTAACTTAATTCAGAAACCACAATTTTTGTGGTACAGCGAACAGATATAGGTTATGACAGACACAGTCAAGTATGAAACTCAATTAATAAAAGTTAAATATAAAAAGATTAAATTAGGCATCTTAATACAACCAATACGTAACAACAAACGTAACAAAATCAATATCTAAATGTTCATATATATATAAGTAAGTACCTTCTTCATACGGCCATTCCTCCGTTGTCTACAAAACTCAAGATACTGAAACCAAAGCTCAATATCTCCCTTAAACCGGTTGGTGGCCAAGCGATAAATCTCAATAATCCTGGAAATAGAGGAAAAATCGGAAAGTGATTGCTTCATCTTCTTATTGCCCTGTTTCTTCAACTGGCGAGAGATGGCCTTCTTGCGAAGAAGGCGAAGAGCATCGAGCTGCTTCTCGTAGTCAATGTAGGCCAAGAAATCTTGCTTGAGAGGGCTCGGACGCTTGAGTCTGTATTCAAATTTTCGTCTCTGTTTCACGATCTCTGCTATCTCAAGGCGGGTGAACAGACCTCGACGTTCTAGATCGTCGAGCTCGTCCACCATGCGCTCAAGCCTGTACTGTACCACGTCCGCCATATTCGATCACTGGTGTGTGTGTGAGAGAGAGAGAGGGAGGAGAGAAGGGAGGAGACAGAAGACAGCTAGGTCGAGGGATGAACTGGCGGTGAACTCCGCTGTGGTGGACTCTTGCTCTCTGATTCCCAAACTAAAGAAGGGGGAGGGTTGAAAGGACAGCGCAAGTTAAGCTAAGTCTGGCTAATTGGTTAGGGCTTGGGTTTGAGGAGCTTAGATCGGACTGCAATAGTTGTATTTTGGTTTTTGGGTATGGGGATTGTCACCAAGCTTTTCTTTGGCCTGCTTGTTTATCTTCCTTTGTTTCCTCTGGGCCTTCTTTTTAACTCATTGCGTGAGGCCTGTATCTAACCAATTCAGGCTATCTACCTACCATGGTCCATATTAGTATAGAATTTGGTTATATACTACTACTATATAAATGTGTGTCTTTTTTTTTTTTGGATTAAAAAAAAATCTAAGAAGTCCTACTTTTATATTTTTTTACCACAAAACAGAATTTTATCGATCAAACGGAGGACAAATCCTCTTTAACACAAGGCAAGCCTTGGCCCAGTAGCATTACAAATCGTGGGAACAACCAAGAAGAAGGCTCACTGGAGCCCAATAAACAAACACCATATGGGTTGACTCAGGCGATAGACATCATTGTTGGCGCTCCGATCTATCAAGAGGTCTCGGCGGTGGACGTTGACACACGGAGGCGAACTCCATTCATCATCAATAGGTCTTGCAATTGGCGAGGCGGTGAAGGAACACGACATTAATTTAAGTCTGATTGTGTCAAGAACTGTGCGCAGGATCGCCAATGAAGAGACTCTTTTGTCTCGGTATAGTCGACGATTCCTTTCAATCCACACATTATACACGGTGGCAGCTAGAGAGCTTGCAGTTGGAGGCAATGTGGTTGGATGAACAACTCTTCTTCCTGTGTTGAGCTGCACAAGCAGCAATCAGATTGGGCAAAATGTAGAAGGCACAACGTGTTTGCGTAAATGACCAGACGGGAGCAACAAAAAACACTTGAAGGGGAGATGGTCGTGAAATTCAATGAGGGCATAGACTAAAACAATATTAGAATCATGCAGTATTGGCAGCTAAAAATCAGCTGGCTGATTAGACTATGACTTGGTGGCTGATCAGATAGTCTGCTGGTTAGGGGCGGTTTTTCCAGTCTTGCTGAAACTTGAGATGACTTATTGGTAATTTTTTTCTGACTAAATTCGTTTCAAATTTACAAGTTTGATTTAATATTTTAATTTTGCTTTGATGTTGGATTTTTTTTATCTTTTTTTTCAAACACTGACTGTTTGTGATCCTTGAATGCTTCTGCAAACCACCCCCTAGTTGGATCTCTCTTTGCATCTCAAAAAAATATGCATTAGACATAAATAGGAGAAGAGAAAAATATACAAAGTCATAGTTCTTCATTATTCTTGAAAAATACTACTTTTATAAATCCCTCGCTCCTGTATATAATTTGGGTTCCACAAAATATAAGTGAAAGGGTATAGAATATAGATACAGCTATTTGGGTTACAAAGTAGATTGTGCTCGACTTGCATGCATTTAACATTCATGTTATGATATAGGAGTAATTCATCAGCATCAAGAGCAACCAAAAATAGTGCATGGTACTAAGTTTGGAAAATTATTCCTGTGTCTCAAAGACTGAATTAATATTTAGAAACTATTAGAAATTTATTGGAAATAATTACACTCCAAATTGTATTCATTCATGCTTGAAACAAATAAATTTTCCTGACTACTGTACTAAAAAGACACAGTTTGTGATAAAAGTCTCATTCACATTCATTTTTTTGCACTGCTACACACGAGGCTTTCTTGGCTTGTTTGAAGTTGATAGGAAACTTGTCATACAAGCATATATGAGTACTCTAGGGTTGATCATCACCACTGCTATCAGCTTCATTGGCTCCATTTCCACCGTTTCCAACACCAAATCCAAATCCAATGCCCATACCAAAACCTATTCCAAGCCCGTTACTGCCACCAAAACCATTGCCGGCATCACCATCACCATTACCATGTCCATGATCACCACCACCTGTACCAAATCCACTACCCTCACCGTGTCCATACACTTTACCGTCACTACTGCTGCCTCCACCTCCGCCGCCTCTACCACCACCCCCTCCTCCTTTGCTACCTATGCCACCACCTACACCATAACCATTTCCGTGACCAGAGCCAATACTAGAACTGGTGCCACTGCCACCTCCACCACCACCACCTCCTCCTCCTCCACCACCACCACCAATGCCAACTCCACCACCAAAGCCACTACCATGACCGGACCCTCCACCACCGCTGCCACCACCGCCGCCACCACCACCACCACCTCCTCCTCCTCCAAAGCCACCACCATGTTTGTGTCCACTTTCACTACCACCACCAACACCAGCACCCGCACCGAATCCACTTCCGTATCCATAGTTTCCATTCATGCTGCTGTTGTCGCCAACTCCCCCAGAGCCTCCACCGCCGCCGCCTCCAGCTCCTCCTCCTGCACCACCACCTCCTACACCAACCCCAGCTCCAAATCCTTCACCATGACCAGACCCACCACCCACATTACCACCACCACCACGTCCTCCTCCACCCCCACCTCCCCCGCTTACACCTCCTCCACCACCATATCCTTCTCCACGTCCAGCTTCTCCGTCATCACTTCCTCCTCCTCCTCCTCCACCACCACCACCACCACCACCACCACCACCACTACTCCCCGACCCAAAACCTTGAGTAGTACCTTTGCCAAAAAAACTTCTGCAGCCACGCCAACCTCCATAGGAACAATAATCATCACCACTAGGAACACCATATCGACCCTCATCAGCATCCTCAGCACCAGTTATTTCACTCAATGGAATAACTACGCTCAGAAAAAGAAGAGCCATGTACAAACATTTAGCAGAAATTTCCATGGCTATGAGAACAAGCGAGGCTCAGTGGCTTGGTCCTATATGTAATGTTCTCCAACCTCTTCGGCCCTCTATTTGTAACCACACACACAATCGTGTGGCTAATTAGTGTGTTAAAAACAGTAGTATAATTGGCGGGAACACTGTCAAATTTATCTAACAAAAATATCTTTAAAAGACGAATCAAATTAATATATATATATATATATATATATATATATATATATATATATATATATTTCCCTATTTAATCAAAACCCACATGATAGTATACAAATTTGTTCAATATGATGATAAGAACAATATTATAATCAACATGAGATGGTGGAGTTGGTGATTTTATCTTAGCAAAGAATATATATATGTATGTATGTTATATGTATGTGTATATATATTTGAGAGATCTAGAGAGATCAAGAGCTCCATATTAAATATGTCATTCTGTCTAGTTAGTGGTCCATCTGTCACTGTGTCTTACTATGATTATTGAATTTGGAGTTCTTCTTGTGTATGGAAGCCACCATACCTTCCACAAAAGTGAACCAGTAGGATGAGAAAATGATAATGTGAAGCCATGTGAGGATTTGGGAGAAGAATTATTGCTATGTTTGGTATGTATATATAGTACTATATATATTGGCATGTGATACGTGTACTCATAGAGATGTATATCTAAACTGCAGCAATACCATGCATGTCACGAATGCTCCACCAACTAAGCAACTAGAATTGGTTGGTAAATATTGGACCACTGAAGACATGGCCACTTAGATCTGCTACTATGCCTGCCTCAATACATTTAACCTCATGCTGCCATGGTGAGAGCTAGCTAGCAACCATTGTACAATAGTATAACTGATCCTTTTCTAAAATACGTTCGATAGCAATTCCATTCTAGATTTCAACCTATTGTTTTCAATTAATTACTAAAAAGAAAATTTACAAATTTTTGAGTGAGCAAAACCCGTATTCATTAAAATACTTGATAGGTTTCCTGGCATGACCAACTTGGATTTGGCCTTCTTAGTGTACTGCCACTTCTCAAGGGGGCAGGTCACATGTTTGGCCAAATGACCCCAATTCCTCCGGCCTTCATGATAAATGCCCTACTAATTAATGGAAAGGCTTGCTTTTCCTGGATGGCATACAAAACTTTGACTCCCCTATTTTTAGCAAATTTTTTTGTTTAATCCCTGCTTCCAAATTTTTTTGTTTAATCCCTTCTTCTTCTTCTTAAAAAAAAAAAAAAAGTGCTATATATTGTTTGTTTTAGTGCATAAGTTGTATATTTGTTATCTTCATATCTATATATATACACTTCCAAAATGCATCAAACACTATATGTATTGTATATATACACAGAAAGAGCACCAAAACACAAGTAACACGTTCAAATCTTTTCCAAGATCATGTCTTTACTTGGTATTATACACTTGTCAGATATATTTTCTTCTCTAATTCATCTTCTTTTTTTCAGAGTCAATAGTTATGAGCTGCTTTATACGCCTTCTAATGGAGTGCAAACTGCTCCCACTACAGGAACTTTTAGTATTTGTTTCTCTCTCAAGTATGAGTTTTAAATTCTCTTAGTGGACTACAGAACTTAATTTCTGCTGGATGGCTTCATCATCTCATCATTTTGCAAATGTCTTTGCTTTTGTTATATATATATAATTGAACAATAATATTTTTACTGTATACTGTTTTAGGATTTTACACTCGAAGGATGACATAGAATTGGTTTTTGACAGAAAAACTAGCATCCAAACGTGATTCATATATGTATGGAGTTTAAGTGTTGATCAGTTGTTTTTTTGGTTTCAGGTGATGATCATGAAAATTTGAGCTTGTCAAATAGAAGTCTCATTTATTAGGAAAATTGATTTTCATCATCCAATTTTTTTATAATACACATCACAAATTTTTTTAATGACTCCACTTAATTTCGTATTATCACATGACAGTAGGGATAAATTGAGCTTTCCAAATAAAAAAATCTTACTTGTTATGGTCCCTTTTTAATTAAATTGTTTTTCCCCAACATTAAGATTTACTCTGTAGTGTGTACCATGTTCAATATCAGAATTTTATGCATACTAGCTCCTAGCCATTAGACCCCACCTTCCTCCAAACAATTATTATTTTTATTCATAGCGCATTTTGAATCTAAACTAATCTCTCTAGGGCACACAGTCCCTTTCAGTAAATTATTTTCTATTCTAATAATTATTAGATGTCCATCTTTTGATGGTAAGTTTTTAAGGGACATCCTTAAGTTGTTTAAATACATATATCACTAAGTTGTAAGATTTTAAAATTTAAAGATAATTATGAAAAGATAGATACATTTTGCTTTGACTTTTATGCTATATATGTAATCCATATTCTCAATTCACTTTTATGTATGATCAGGTTTTACACAGAATGTTTTGGGATGAAGCTGTTGAGGAAGAGAGATGTTCCAGAAGAGAAATACTCAAATGCCTTTCTTGGGTTTGGTTCAGAAGAGTCTCATTTCGTAGTGGAGTTAACATACAGTATGTTTAAACCAAACATTCCTGTTTTATTATGTAATTCAATCATACATAGCAGTAAATTCATTCTCTATGGTGCTTCTACGTGTGAACTAAAACAGTACATGATATAAAAAATTGTCAAGTTTCACTGCTTTAAGGACTCTAAAATGAAGTTATAAATTTGTATATGAAAAGTTACACCAGAAGAATATAACAAGCATGATAAAAAATAAAAATATGGGGCATCCATAAAAGAGAATATGGATTACATATATAGCATAGAGGTGATATTAATACTAATTTTTTACAAAGCAAATATTATATATAATTAATTATGAGAAAACTACGTATAAGTATAATTGAGTGTCTTAAATAACAAAATAGTCTATTTTAAAAGTTTATTTTTTATTTTAATTGAATTAAGCAAAATAATTACAAATGTATCAAGAATTGAGTAAATCTTTACACAATTTCTGAAGAATCCAATTAAGCGAATTGTGGAAGGAAGAGGGGAGGAAGATGAAGAAGAAGAAGAGGAAATCAAAGGATGAGAAATCGAGTTGGGTTCTATCGTTCGAATGGAAAGATTTGACGTTCAGAAAGCCTCCACCCGTACCTATAATTTGTAACAAGAAAAGGAACAAGAAAGAAGCAGATGATGATGAGAGTGGCCTATACCTAGTTTGTCAATAGCAGCCAATTGATCACAACCAAATAAAAAAATGGGTAGATTTGGATAATGATTTCTTCATCTTCTACTCTCTTGTCAAGTCGTCATCGGGATTCTTTCTTTTTCTTGAATTTGCGTGTGTGAATCTTTCTAATATGTGTGAAAAAATAAAAAATAAAAACTTTCTAGTATGGAAACCAGGAATGGAGGTGGAGCAATGGTACACACCCCATACTTTTACCTTTACGTCTGCGAAAGATAAAGGTTGTAAGTAAATGATTTCCACAAAGGTGGAGCAATGGTACACACACCCATAGTTTTATGTCTGCCAAAGATAAAGGAAACAAATAAACCAAAAAATGAAAATTGTTTAATTCAAAAAAATGAAAGAAGTAATAATTTTTGATGCGTATGTAAATTATTTTACTTATTTTAATCAAATTAAAAATTAAACTTATAAAAAAAATTTAACTCTATCTATGTGTAATTTTTCCTAATATTATTTAGTATTCATAAATTGGTTTCCATATGCTAGCTTGAACAATTCTCAATACGATAAACCGTAAATAATTTGATGTATATAAGGATCACTATATCATGATAGCATCTTTACAATTGCAATAGCAATAGATACACAAGAAGTTTCTATTGAAATATATTTATATATATATATAAGTTGGACCTAAAAAGAATAAAAATAAAAGGACTAGGATTGGACTATTGCCCTCCCACGTAACCTTGTTTCCCTGTATACTCCACAAACCTGCAATTCGATCGCTTCGTCACCCTATTACAGACAACGTTGCAAGCAATAGAGAAGCAAATAATTGACAAATTCCTCACCCTATTACACACAACGTGGTCAACAGAAAAAACTGAGTCAATAGAATTCAGCAACACTTACTTAAAAAATAAAAATAGGGTTCTTTTAATTTGTATATATGAACAAATGAATATACAAATGTCCAAATACAAAGGCGCTAGGAGAATTTGTAGACAGAAGCAAATTGAAATAGATTTTTTATGACTTGTAGGTAGGTTTAGAAAATTAAAGAGAGAGTGAGGAAGAGAAGAGGTTTAGAGAGAGACTGCAAGGGTGGGCTCGCATAGAAAAGAATGACAGGCTAAGAGAGAATGTACTGACAAATCTGATACCTAGCACGACATAGTTTCAAGATAACTAACATGGTGCTACCTCTTAATCATTCAACTTAAGAAAATGCTAGGGATGAGGATGACAAGACAAAATACCAAGGCGGAAGAGAGGGAGAGACATTTTACACAAAGATATGATGCAACCGAAGGAGTACGCCACGTTGATAGAAAAAGTTTGATACAAAAATGTGGATTTACATAGCTCCACTAAAAGTCGCAAGCCCTTTACATCATTTCGTCCATCATTTTTAGAAAACGGCACATCAAGTATCATAATCATAGCATTGAAAGACAACAAAAGGCAATTGACAATTCACCGTTCTCAAATACAATCGCTAGGCTGGACACTACAGCGGATGGATTGTTAATAGCAAGCCATAGTGATCACTAGGCAAAACAGGGAGCACCAATTTCTGAACCTCTTTTTTCATTTTCTTCTCCTTGCAATATGACACACCTGGTATTGCCTCCATCCCAATCATGTCTATTCCAGTTATCTTGAAATCATGCAAATTGCATAAAAATCTATCCAGTCGCTTTTGCAGAGTACGGTTTCCGGTCAACATCTTGTTGGACTTAGTATCATATGTCCATCCATTTTCTGCTGGCCTCAGCTTTAACCAAGCATCAATCCATCCATCAGGTAACGGATATTGACCATCCAACCTATCATCCCAGTTCATATCACCACAAAATATCACATTTGGATTTTTCTTTAGGAAGTTCAAGGCCTCCTTTGCCTGATCAACACGTTCCTTGCTGTACATCTGATCCCACTTGGGAGGACCTGGGCAGGGACTCTCAAGGTGGCTAGTGCCAACAACCAATGGCATGTCTGTCTGAACTTCAACCTCAGCAACACAAAGTTCTCTTCCCATTGCAGAATTGCGAAAGGGTTTACAGTTATAGGATTTCACTGGCAGTTTACTTAGCTGCAAATATTGGAGACGTAAGTTAAGATTTTCAGTATCTCCATTCACTGAGAAAAAGCTAAAATGAAGAACATGATCATGTAACAAACAGAGATTATATGGCCATTCAATTATTTTTGGAAGCAAGCATGAAATAAATAAAAAAAAATAGGCTACCCAAGGCACATTGCGAAAGCAGCAGGATGATTGGCTTTGCAAAATTTTTTGAGCAGTCACATAATGACGAAAGTGTGCGACAGACAAGAAAGCTTAATTCTATATTTCAGTAATTGATAAATTAGGCAGAATAAACATGTATTTGAGCATACCGCTGGTGGTATGTCCTCTACTTTCCAAGACGAACCAACCACTATATATATATGTATGTATGTATTTGGGTCAAATTCTTAGTAAGCTACGTGATAGGTGTAATAGGTAAGCAGCATATGCCAACATTGGTGTTGATGATCAGCCCAAATTAACCATTAAGACAACACAACTTCAATATATGAACACAAATATATATCTCAGGTGCCTAAAGCAGTGCATGTTTGCATGCCAGACTTGCCAGTGTATCCAACAAAACCTTCCAGAGATTCCCTTGATAGTTGGATTGCATTTCAAATTGATTATTGAATTTGAATCTTCACATAAGTCCAAAACATTTAAATTAACTTGAGATAATTTTTAAACCTGATTAACACACTCAAGTAAATTCATTAGCTCCACACTAAAATAGTTTGTAAACCTTGGGGCTAACACTATAAAAATGGCAATATTAGAAGAAAACCAGTGTTAATGGAACCATGAACTTAATTGGAAATATTTACTAAAATAGGACTTAGTTGTCCTAACAAAATTTTATAGGACTTATTGGTCCTTACAATTGAAACGTAGGAACAATAGGTAATTTTTCCAATCATTGTATCAGACAACATATTGTTCAGCCCCAATTAAGCATTGTGACACAGAAACTTCAATTTATGAACAGGAATATATATCTCAGTGCCTGAAACGTTGCAGGTTTGCATGCCAGTGTATCCAGCAAAAGCATCCAGAGATGCCCTTGATACATAAGCAGAAAGCATATTGATGAAGGCCCAAAAAGTATAAATAGGGGTAGGGGGTTACAATTTCCCCATCCCATTGGGGGCAGAAAACAAATCAACATCTTGATATGATACAGCCTTTTCTATTTTAGTTGGGAAAGAATGGCAAAGTCCATCCTAGCCATCCAATGAAGGATAAGAGGAGAGCAAAACGCCAATGACACAAGAAGTGCATGAGGAACGGGCACGGAGAAAATCAACCAAAGGAAAGCAATCTTTGTGATGAAAAAAGCAATAGCACATTTAGTAATTTTTGGACAAAGAAATGTATATATATTTATTTTCTTCGCCCTTTCCTTTTCTTAAACAGACGAGACTGACAAAGACTATATAACTATATCTATAATAATAATAATAATATATTCTGGAAATCCATCAAAATCGCTGGTTTCAGATTAAATGTTAACTGAATACCAGTTTGAGAACTTCGTGTTGTCATAAGAGTCTCAAAATATACCCCCACAACAGGAGGTTTTGTCAACCCCAACTCATTATCTGTGCTCAATTGAGTGAGGAACAGGATGTACAAAGGTTTTCCCCATCCAGCTCAATTTAGAGATCCCGCAAATACGAAAACCAATCCAATATAAAAATAATAATAATAATAATAAAATACACCCTAGCACAGGTAAGGTGATATAGAAAATTTACCTGCATGCAGAAGTATGGTCTTGTGAATGCCATCTCACTTGAAACCGAGCAACTGTATACCTTCCACCAGCTGGACTGTTGAAAAATGTCATAGATATTGGAAGTAACCTCCTACAGAATGAAGTTGCCGTGAACAACTCACAATTCATAAAATTTACATAGCACGGAAAATGAAAATGACAGAAACCTGGAAATAGGATGGAAAATGAAAATGAGAGAAACCTGGAAACATATCAGATCTGGGGAATGTAGTTGAATAAGGTCACCCAGAGCTTTCATCCTCTTATGCATCTCCAGGTCTTCTCGGAACCAAACATTATAACTCAAAATCTTCAATGATCTAATGTCTGCGCCTGAGTAAGTTTCACCTGCCATGCAGTCAATTTATTTTAAATGATGCAAAATTTGTAAATCCTAGCAACAAATAAGTTATTGTCCTTTCAAATAATCCAGCAAATGTAATATAAGGGGAAATGGGATTCTCAATGAACTCTATTGTCTGGCATCCTGTATTTATCAGAACAAAACATATAAAAGAGCATAAAGAATAAAAATAAAATACCTATTCCACCCTAAGAATATAAATGAAAATAGAAAGGAAAAAAAAAAAAAAAAAAAAAACTTGTTAACACCCCCCCAAGGGAGGGTAAACTCGTGATGTGATATGCTAAGCCTAGAGATTAAAGAGTTTGACAAACAAAATTAGAATTGACTCACAGTGTCAGACTTTGCAAAAGAAACTATCAAGTTGATGAAATGAGGGTAGATATTATTGTAGGGTGATAACTCTACATGTCAAGTGATGACAAACAAAATGACTATCTATCTGAGTGTGTTCTCTTAGAACACGAAAAACATGTTGTAAGCTATTTGTGTTGTGCCATTATACACAAACTCTCATATATATCCTAAAGCAATGTCTTTTAAAGGAAAACAAATCATCATAACACAAGGACCTGAACTGTGAATCCGGATCCCCTTCTGTGTCAGTGCCGCTAGTGCAATGCGTTACACCATTATGCAACAAATACATGAAAAAGTTGTTGTTGCATAAGCAACGACACGGGATGAAATGGTACAAGAGATGATCCAGGTTACTGAACTCCAAGTTCAAATCAAGATGCAACAATCAAACCAACCTAAAATGATTTCATTTGATCTGATAAGATACATCAAGAAACAAACACAAATACGTATGTGAAGTAATTCAACCGTAAAAAAGAACAAATCCTTCAAAATCCATTAGAGGAATCCAAAATTCAAGTTGAAAAGTATAAGAAATTCAGATGTACCAGACAGTTTAACCGCCTTATTAGACGACTTAATATCACGAAACCCACTCAATTCCACAATATCATCAACCACCTCAATCTGTTGTTCTCGATTTTTCCTCTTAGTATCATCAACAGGCTCAATTTGCTGCTCTCGAATTTTCCTCTTACAGGGCTGTAAGGGCAAGAAAACAGACCCAACGCAAGGATCGTCCAACTCATCGTCTTCAAGGCTCGTCAGTGACGAGGCCGAGGCTCTGGTACCGCAGATTTCGCAGTTTGTGTTGCGATATGGGTTCAGAAAAGTGCAGGCTTTGCAGGACCATTTGGGCGTTGGTGGCGAGGATGAAGAAGAAGATGGTGAAGACGATGCTAATAAAGGTGGTTGTGGTGTCGATGATAAGCAGATCTGGCACGTTGATTTCTGTGATGGAGGATTGATGAATGTGCATTTTGAACAGGTCCAATCCATTGATGTGGGTCGCAAGGTTAGGGTTTTTCTAGGGTTTCTGTTGTGCAGAAGAAAATAGAAATAGGATGGTTTACGAATCAATGCGAAACAATATCTCATTTTGAACTGCTTTTGGCGAACTGTGTCCCTCTTTGCTGGGTGAAGATTCAGTCCGGTATGGTTCACTGAGCAGTAACATATGACCTCGTGTTAGCGTCATGCGGAACCACTGAGCCCAATTTCATAATGTGCATTGTTGTTACATTTACTCATACTTTTTCATTAATTTGTTATGTTTTGTGTTATGTTAAGAAAAAAATAAAAATACTCAATTTAACTAGGAAATAAAAAAAATACTCAATTTATTTTCACTTCAAAGTTAGGAACTCTTAAAATTGTAGTGTATATTGAATAACTTTCATTATGGAATATAAGTTTCAATTTAAAACATTTGATACTTAATCATTAACTTTACTCTATCTGTAAAGTATAATTTAAGAATAATATTGTTTAGCATGAAAATTTAGACCGAAAATGTTAGCAAGATAATTCAAAATTTATTAATTGAGGATGGTCTCACATTTTTTATAACTACTTCAACTTGGTATATTTTGGTCACGACCACTTTGTTGGAATGAATAGGGCACCTAATAAGAGTTGGAGTATAATAGATCAAAACAACAATATGTGTAATTCTAAGAACAACAAGCATTAGTAATTAGACAAATCAAAGATGAAAATGGTTGAAACTAGTACTATATACCTTTAGAATAATAATTAACTGTCAAAAAAACAAATTTTCTTCTGTAATTTCATATGATTCTTTCATATTATTTGCTTCGAATATGTTTATATCCTTTTAATGATTGATTTTGATAGCCGTCATTCAGTAAATTAATGACTTAGCCGCTAAACGTTTACCCTCATTGAAGATATGTCTTTAATTAATTTAGATTAAATAGAGACACTTTACAATGTATAAAAAGAGAACAAACAAATAAAATGGATCATGTTCATGGAGGTTTTGGTGCATTTGATGTGACATTGCATAAAAATTAGATCCTTCAAAGTTCAAACAAGGAATATTCTAAAATTTGACCTGAACAAGCTTGAAAGATCATCCAGTTATTTAATTCATGAGAATTAACGATAAAGTGAGCGTATTTCATATTATGTGAATCTAGATAAAGTGAGCGTATTTCATATTCTGTGAGTCTACATCAATTCGGTGAATATAGTATATCTCAGAAGGTTTCCCTTTTCATACGGGGTCTTCGGTTTTCTGAGTTCTCTTTGGCATCAGAGTTTCTTTTTTCTTATTCTTTTTATTTATTTTCTTTTGTGAAATTTTTGCTTTGTTATGACAATCGTTATTGGGTATTCGTGGTTCCGTATTCGGTTAAGCCATGGGGTTATTTTCTTGTGGCTGTGGTTGGGTGTGATGCCGGTGTCCAATCTATAGTTTTATTTTCCATTGGGTCGATTCCGATCACAATTTGTTTGGTCGGCTTCATGGCGACAGTGTTTGGATTCCATTATGGGGGCTGCTCTCCGCTACCAGTTCCAACTGGGTCTGATTTTTAAGAAATCTTGGTTGCCTATGGCCTTGACTATTGAGCTGTGGGTTTCTATGTTGTTCTTCTATAGTGCTGGTTCAGCATGGACGGTGGTAGGGTTTTATAGTAGGAAAAGGTCATGGTTGGAGTGGCTGCGAGGTCGTTTGAGGAAGTGTATTTGGGAAGCTTTCTGGTGGGACCGGATGGGTCAGTCCCACGTGTGGTACTCAATTAGCTCGGCGCCCCAAACTATCAATTCTTCACTTGATCAGGTGATTCACGTGGTCTTATTTACGCTTTTCTTGCATTTTGTGGCTCGGATTACGCAGCATATATCAGAAGCTTTCTCTCATGACGTCATCTTTCATACTTGTGACAGGGATTTGTTGATTTGTGTTCAATTGCTGACCATGTTCTCTACTTTTCTAACAAGTTCTCTTCTTGGGTTATATAACTTTGGATATATCTGCCGCCTTTTAGGTAATTGTATTGTTGTGAACTTGCACCGAAAAAGAGGGTTGGGTGTGTTCTTGTGTTATCTTCTTCTCTCTCCTACTTTTATTAGGGTTATGGAGTCCACCTTGATTGATCAACTGCACGGGCTTAAGCTCACGCGTGAGGAGCAGGAGCCAATTCTCTTATCGGCTAAAGATACTGCCCAAGGAGTGACTATGTGTCGTAACAGTTTGTTTTAAAATATTTGGTCTTCGAAGACTATCACTTTGGCTGGAGCCAAGTACACCTTTGGAAAGTTGTTCCAGAAACTGTGGCTCAAAGAAAGATAGAATGAGTCCTTGTCCACGCGTCTTATTGTTTAAAAAGTTGTGGGGAATTTGTTTCAACTCATCATTTCGAACAATTCGATTCGTCATAGGATCCTTCAGGGTTGTCCTTGGTTGTTTAATGGGCATCTGCTTGTGTTAAAAGAGTGGGAGGATGGTTTACTTCTATTAGAGTCTTCGTTTCAGTCTTCGCCATTTTGGATACAGCTTTTGGATGTCCAAGCTAATTACCTTTCTGAAAAGGTTAGACGTCGCATTGTTGATACGTATAGCCATTGTTTGAAGGTGGAGTTTCAGGACAAGGGTATGATGGAAAGTAAATAATCTTTTCTGGTTAATAGTAGTGTTCTCCGCCTAAAGGTTGAACTGGACAGGTACAGATTTCTGGGTACAAGTTCGCTATGAAAAGCTTCTGTCCTTGTGTTTTGCTTGTGGGATTATTGGGCATCATTGGAAGTCTTGTTCTGTTGATGCTAATCTTTCCTGCGCGGAATTGACAGAATATGGGCCTTGGTTAGGTGTGGAAAGATATATGGGGAAGGACATTTGGAATCCCGAAAGTGATCGGGCTGAATGTATGGGTGTTGGTAATGGGAAAAATTGGCTCTATGTGGAGGGTGAGGACTCGGATGGTGTGGTTGGTGGTCTCCCTCAGGGTAGGCATCATTGTACGATTCATTTGGATAATATGCCTGTTGTGGAAGGGGCGTTCTCTACCGTTGGCGGTGGCTGGAGATGGGAATGGAGAATGCTCTAATGGTTCAGTTGTGGTTTCTCATGTAGGACATAAGGAGGTAATGGGTCCTGGGAAGTCTGAAGCACTTGTTCAGGTGGATGTTGGTGTGTATGGCCAGGTTGATAATGGAGTGCACGGTTCCCCCTCTCAGAGCTTTGTTGCATCTGCGCATTTTGAGGAGCCAAAGCAATGTGTGCCGTCTATTTCACAGAGCCAAGGATGAGTGTTACCTTTGCAGAGGTGGGATCAACTAACCAAGGGTGGAAAAAAAGGTAAAGGAATAGATGTGCCCCGTAAAGGCCGGTCTTCAGATTCTTTGGCTTCATCTCATAGCCAGGGATCTTCCCCGGTGAGGACCAATCATAAGCGTCGTCCACTAATGGATGGTACTAAACCAGGGTTTAGTAAGGTTGATGGAAAGAAACCTGAGGTTTCAGTGGTTCATCCTCAGGATGGTATGTTTAATTATCAGTTTTCGTTTTTTGTTGCGGGTAACATTCCGACTGGTACGCATAATGGGGAATCTGGTTACTCCTACTCTTCTCCATCGTAGTCTTTTGCTACGCAGTTGGCGCTTTTGGTTGGGGCTACTCAGCCTAGGGCTACCGACTTAAGCTGATCTTTTGGGTGTCTGTCATGGTGGTGCCTTGTTTTGTGGGTTCTGTTGTCTTGGTGTTTTGTTGGGTTGGTTTTGCTGTGGTTGTGTTTCTTTGTAGATGCCATGGGGCTTGCTTATTGCCAAGGAAAAAAAAAACTAATGATAAAGCATATAAGTACCAAGGGCAACCATGGTTACTGTGAGAGGACAATCGAATCGTTCCGTTTTGGTTGTGCATTTAGCGACTTCACGAAGTTGTATCTACTAGAATAATTCACAGCCGTTGATGGAAGGTGATGTTGATTCAATGGCTGGAAAGAACCCAAATGTGGAGCTGCAGACAAAAAGGAAGTCCAACCCTTGACAACAATAACACTAAAATTGACATATTTTTTTTAAGGGACCAATTTGAAAACTAAAAGTGTTGTTTGATAAAATTGAAAATTAAAATTAAATTTAAATATTTTAAGTATTATTTAACTTTTACTGATAAGTGATGTCTTGTCACTTAAAATTTCATTTTGTTGTATTGTCAAATGCGCTCAATTAAATAAGTGAAGTAAATTAACCAGCAGAATCTGGATGCATGACATTGAATCAAAGTAAGTATCGAGTACTTATCTTCAAACCCAAAATCTAAAATTGTATGGTAGTTGTGCATATCGCCTAAAATATTAAACTGTATGATAGTTATTCATTTTTGTCCATAAATAACTTTCTGATTTTCATATAAAGAAGTGTTAGCGAGGTTCATCCATGTTAGATTCACATAGAAAATGAATGGAGATATGAATGGATAGACATACAATATTATCCAATAGTTTAAAATTTTGGTTCAAATGATAAACGTCTAAATTGTTAGTTGATACAAAATTTAACTTAACTTTTGATCCTGTGTTAGTTGATACCGGATTTCAACTTAGTTTTTGATCTGGAGTCATGTTAAGTATTTGGATGGAAAGGAGGGAAGAAAGGAAAGATGAGACATCCCAGGGAAGAGATTATGGACTTCCCTCGTTTTGCTCGATTGGGTGAAAGTGAAGAGAAAAATTGCTAACTTCCGTTTTTTGTTAAGAGATAAGGAAACTGATAATTTTATATTATTTTTACCCTTATACCCATCATTATTTTTTTTATCTCTAATTTCACTCTAATTTGTTGTTTGCCTCTTATATACACACTCACACTCACTCTAAAATATATTATTGCATTAAACTAAAAACAAAATCTAGCATTCCATGGACCACTATCCCAATTTTTTTTTTTTTCTCTATAATTGTTATTAGTATGAATTCGGCTTGACATCATGCTTTTATGAGAATGTGGAAGACATTGTCATCAAATTAACAATGGATTGAATAATAAAGGAGCAATAATAAATATTCACTTTTTTCCTCTAATCCTCTTTTTTTTTTAACTACTAAGGCATTTATAAAACAAACAATCCACATACACACACACACACACACACACACACACACACACACATATGGTCTAGATCTCGACCAAACAAGGGTTACAAAGTTCAAGTTCAAGGACTACGTAAGTACATAAGCATGATATTTATAACAAATGAATCAAATAAGTTTGTAACACATTAATCAAATAAGTAAAAGAGCAAGAGCAAGAGAGAAGAAAGAAGAGTTATGCGTGAGATGAGATGTGTAGGAAATTTAATGGATAATATTGTAATTTAATATTTTTATACAACTTTTCTCCTATTTTTTCTTTCACCCATCTTATTTCTTCTTTCTTACTGAATAGAGCATTATGTCACGTTCTGATTCCTAACGACGCCATGAGCATAGAAGACACGCATGCTGGTTGGCTAAGAACATTCGTTGACTGGGAATGGTTCCAGGGAAGGGGCGTGCAGAACCATAAGATGGTACCTCTTCAGAGTTCAGACAAGTCGACTCAGTTTAGTTAGAGGTGCTTGTCGCTAGTCGTGGACTTGACTATGAAGAAGGGAGTTGGTCATCCCTGTATAAACTGGTCGGGAGCTGGAGTTGTTCCCCTGATGAGACCAAGGCAGGTCGAAACCAATCAGCATGTATCCTTGAGAGGGCAGGTCATGGTGGCTGACCAGGGCGCTTGTGCGAGCTGAAGCAACTCTTTGGTGCCGTACGTGCCGTGCCGCTGCGCCAAATCTCTAGGCCCGTGACAAATGGTATCAGAGCAAGACTTAGGGTAAAGCACAAGATGTGTGCCCCTTTATCTATCCGGGGGTCTTAAGAATGAAGTGGGTGCACTAAAGCGTCAGTGGGCAATTAATGCTGTTGGAGGAGAGCCTCCATCTCCCCATGAAGATGCGTCCTTTGAAGCCGGAGGGCCGCGCGCACCAAAGTTCTTACAAGTTCAAGAGGCGTGCAAATCGTTGTGAAGGGCGGGTATCAAGTCAGCCAGAAGGCCTTTGTTTGCTTGGGGTGTCGCGGAGGCGGCATAATGTGGGGTTGCGTCCCGAAGGAGTGGGCGTCCCTTTACCCCGAAACCCTATTATTGGGCGAATGCAGCCAGGGGTTGTACAAGGAAGCGATGGTGGGCAGGTGAGCAGGTGAGCATACCACTTGGAGGAGATAGACTTTGGAATGTTGGATGCAGTGGAGTCAGCGCCGTACTGCGACGAGGGCGTCGCAGGATTTCGGTGGGGGAGAATGTCACGTTCTGATTCCTAACGACGCCATGAGCATAGAAGACACGCATGCTGGTTGGCTAAGAATATTCATTGACTGGGAATGGTTCCAGGGAAGGGGCGTGCAGAACCATAAGATGATATTTCTTCAGAGTTCAGGCAGGTCGACTCGGTTCAGTTCGAGGTGCTTGTCGCTAGTCGTGGACTTAACTATGAAAAAGGGAGTCGGCCATCCCTGCACAAACTGGTCGCGAGCTGCAGCCGTTCCCCTGATGAGACCAAGACAGATCGAAACCAGTCAGCATATATCCTTGAGAGGGCAGGTCATGGTGGCTGATCAGGGCGCTTGCGCGAGCTGAAGCAATGCCTTGGTGCCCCACGGGCGTACCGCTGCGCCAAATCTCTAGGCCCGTGACAAATAGGTTCATTGAACATGAACGTTTTTCGTCCAAGGCATCATCTGTCTCTCTGACATGGTGATCTCAACTAAAGACGCGTGGCCTAAAAATTGGAAAATTATAAAAGAATTAATCCGATTCCATCCCGACTCAACCGAATGCGACTGGAGTGGGGTACACACCAATTAAATTACCTTTTAAAACTCTTTTTAGACTTTTAGTGGGATGGTGGAGATGATTAAGTCAAGCCTTTTCCAGGATCATTTCTAGGACTTTCGTTACTCCGCTTCACTCCCCCTTGGTAAGCAGCTCTCACTCCCCAATCCAAACCTTTTTATTCTCTCTCTATATATTTATATATATTTGTTGTGGTTGATCTATATGAGTTTATAATTATGAAACCTAGAATTTAATTAATACTGTAATACTTATTCTTACCTGGTAAATTAAACCATAACGAGGGCTCGATCTTGGCGTTGTCTGTTTGTTTCACACATCTATGATTGTTTGAATTTTCATATGAATGCTATGCTTTGTTTCTGGTCAGTGATTGATGGGTAAAAGGACGGTGTGTCATTAATCTGAACTTCTTCAGTTTTCTTTGAATTAAAGAAAATTAATCTCCCCTATACATGTTGGTTGGATGAGTTCTTGTATACCCATTTGTGTTTGTAGGATTTAAAGTTTAAATGAAGATTTCAATTTAATAACATCCATACTCATTAGATTATTATTACATAAAATTTGAAACTTATCAAATAATAATAATAATAATAATAAAATACTCATTCGATTATTAACTCACTTTTTGCGGCAATTGCCCTGGGAATGTCAATTTAGATGTACAAGCTTTTCTATCCGGATTCCGGACTGTTTGATTGCCAAAGAATATGATGAAAAGATGTTTCATAAAGCATTTTTAGATCCCAATTCTTTTGCTGAGATTCCAAGTCTTCATGTAATTTTCTACAGTTTGGCTCCATCAAAAATAAAAATAGAAAGAAAAGAAAAGAATACTCCGTAATCAATTGAAAGGTTTTTTCTGAAGCGTATAGGTTTAATTTCTAGTGTCAATCTGTCTCAGTTGAATATGCTGAGTCTACTTGTTGCAGTTACCATGACATTTATTTTTTATTTTTTTAATTTTTTTTTGTACATATATCAAAAAATAATGGTGCCTCAAATTTAAATCTCATCAGAAATATTCCAATGATTTCACTTTAAACTTTAGACACATGCCTTCATATTCTGTTAAAATATAGCGACTGAACTCCCACTTTTTGCTTACTTAGTTCTATAAGAGCAAGCATGATGAATAGATTTTGTAAGTTAAATGTCCCTTTTTTTTACATCAAGTTTTTTTCTGGAGCAGAGCAATCACTTTTATTTGAATATGGCTTCGGATGCACCAAGTAACGAGTTGTTGGAGTGGCCAAAGAAGGATAAGCACCGGTTCTTACATGCTGTATATCGTGTTGGTGACCTTGATCGCACAATCAAGTATGCCTTTATTACATTGCCTTGTCTCCTTGACTATTTGGGGAAATAAAAACAAAAGCATTACCTTTGAGCTAATTGTGATTTTGATTTTTGGTTTTTTTTAAGTTTCTCAATTCACTTTTATGTGTGATCAGGTTTTACACAGAATGTTTTGGGATGAAGCTGTTGAGGAAGAGAGATGTTCCAGAAGAGAAATACTCAAATGCCTTTCTTGGGTTCGGTTCAGAAGAGTCTCATTTCGTAGTGGAGTTAACATACAGTATGTTTAAACCAAACATTCCTATTTTATTATGTTACTCAATCATATATAGCAGTAAATTCATTCTCTATAGTGCTTCTATATGTGATATAAAAAATTGTCAAGTTCCACTGTTTTAAGGACTCTAAAATGAAGTTATAAATTTGTATATGAAAAGTTACGCCAGAAGAATATAACAAGCATGATAAAAAATAAAAATAAAAATAAAATAAGAAGAAAAAGAAAGGAAGAGAAAAGTAAAGATACTTATAGTTGACCATAGTGCAAAGTTCCCACCATTATGCTTCATTTTATATATGTCATTTCCAAAGATTGAGACATTCTGACCATCAAATGAACCATGCCTTGGAATGGTTGTCCTTTGATACAATCCAACCATTTTCTAGTCAGCAAGTTTGAAATACTTGTGTAATGTGCACCTCTCTCTCTCTCTCTCTCAACCCAAACCCCTCCCCCCAAAAAGAAATAGAAGGTTTATATCCTTCCTTTATTAAAAGAGGAGGATGATTTTTATGACACATACTGATTGTATTTAATCAGAAATAAGTTACTTTGCTAGAAGGAGCTTTTAATATACAATAAATGTCAAGTGACGTCGTCTTTAGACGGGAAATCTGTATTACCATAAATGGCAGAGCACTGTCCCAATATTAGCTTTAGGGTTGTAACATGTAAATTCATATTTTTATTGTTCTTTCTTACTACAGTATTAATTTTAGGGTTGTAAATTCATTAATGTTCACTTTTACTTTCTGATACATTTTTTCTGATGATTCCAAGACCATGGAGTGGATAAATATGACATTGGAACAGGCTTTGGACATTTTGCTATTGCAACTCCAGATGTAAGTGTTATATTAATATTTTAATGTTTAGCACATGATTTGGCTTCAGTGGATCTGGTATCCTCATCGCACTTGTTTGCAGGTTTACAAATTAGTTGAAGAAGTAAAAGCCAAGGGTGGTGGCAGTGTCTCAAGGGAGCCTGGTCCTGTTAAAGGTGGAAACTCTGTTATTGCTTTTGTGAAAGATCCTGACGGTTACGCTTTTGAAATTATTCAAAGAGGTCCTACTCCTGAACCACTCTGTCAAGTAATGCTACGTGTTGGTGATCTTGATCGCTCTATCAAATTCTATGAGAAGGTAAAGTTCATTTTCAGTTGTTTGTGTGTGTGTGTGAATTCCATGCGTATGATCAATCTGCTTTTCAAGTCAACTTGATTTACTGTAGTTATATTTATAATTTGTGAGTGCGTACATAGTATATAATGAAAAATATATTATCTATCTAGTTCTAGTTCTCTAGATGGAGGCTCTAGTTTGGGTGATCCTTTTTAGTGGTTGGTATGGTGATCAGCCACTTTGAGATCCGGTAAGCAGAAGAAAATGTCATCCATATGGTGGAAAAAAACTGGATTCACTTTGCAGCATATGGAAATATTAATTTTCTAATCCTCGAAGTTGTGCAATTTGGTGAATGCCTATGGCTGGAGCAACTAGAAAATGTAATTTTTTGTCATTTACACCTTTGACATGTGTAGGCTTGAAGCATCGGAGAAGTTGCACGATTAGTTTGGAAAAGAGCAGCCTGTGCTTTGATAAAAAAACTTCACTCGTAATTTGTTTTTTCCCCATTCTTCACCCTTAATTTTAACACAATATTGTACATGTGACAGGTAAAATTACACCTGCTTATCTCTTCTTGACCCTTTGCTTGAGTGTATCAGCAAAAGTAAAACTAGTGAACAATACATTTCTGGTCCAATGCACTCTAATGGTTGAGTCAGATGTCTGAATAAAAAGTGGCACACTTTTGTTAGGATTCATAAAATTGCATTCTTTGACTTTCGATATCACTGGTATTTACAAGTGACTCATTGTAACAAGGGTCATTTTGTCCCACATCGGAATCGGATGGGAAAGAGATTGGGTATAAATGGGTGGGTATGCAGCCTTACCTAACAGTTCGAGCTTTTGGGTAAATGGGCAAGCGCCCACCCGTTACAGTTGGTATCAGAGCCAAACCCAGTCCTTGATCCGGTGCCACGCCAAGCGCCCGGCCCGGAAGGCGTCCGGGTGAGTCCACCCGGGTAGGCAGGGTGGCCCAACCGCAACGAGGGCGTTGCGAGTTTGGGTGGGGGAGAATGTAACAAGGGTCATTTTGTCCCACATCGGAATCGGATGGGAAAGAGATTGGGTATAAATGGGTGGGTATGCAGCCTTACCTAACAGTTCGAGCTTTTGGGTAAATGGGCAAGTGCCCACCCGTTACACTCATCCATAATAGTGGATGTGGATCACATGCATGTAAATTAGGTATATACCATATAGGGCTGAGTCTGTCCCGCTGATTTCAGAAGTTGGGTCAAGGTTTGACTCTACATCTGGTCTGAATTATGTTGTGGTTCAATTACTTGCACTAGCTGAGTCTAAAAATTTGGTTCCCTTGAAGGAACTTCATGAAACAAATGGAAGCTTGGAGTTCGAGTACTTCTAATTTTTAAGCTTTTCAGAGATATATGTTCTGTTTCATCCTGACGGACCTTTGTAGTTGTACTATCAAATCTGTATGCTGAATTTATTGGGGATCCCTTTTTTGCAGGCACTGGGAATGAAACTTTTGAGAAAGATTGATAGACCAGAATACAAGGTGATTTTTTTTTGTATAATTTTTTACACTAGGATTCAGGTGGCATATATATTAATTATATCACTTATTTTCTGTTTCATGTACTGTACAGTACACCTTAGCCATGATGGGGTATACTGATGAAGATAAGACAACTGTTCTGGAATTGACATATAATTATGGTGTGACTGAATATACAAAAGGAAATGCATATGCGCAGGTTGGTTTTATAATTACTCTGAAACCTTGAGTCGAGTCTGTTTCATTCCATTTTAAGACACATTTTCTTCTTCTTATTCTGACATTACGTTTCTCTTCATTTAGGTTGCTATCAGTACTGATGATGTGTATAAAAGTGCTGAGGTCATAAAATTGGTCACCCAAGAGCTTGGAGGAAAGATAACTCGAGAACCGGGGCCAATTCCTGGAATTAACACTAAGATTACCTCTTTTCTAGATCCAGATGGCTGGAAAACAGTAAGTTCTCTCTTTAACAAATAACCTTTTTGGGTTCTAATATTACTGTGGCAGAAGCAAAAATATTATTGAACCTTAGCTTTATAGAACAGGGCTTTCAGCTTTCTCTTAAAACATAACAAAATGCTATTTTTTCCCTTTAATTTAGAAAGTTCTTTTTGACTTTATTTAACGGGAACATGCATACCCATATAATTGGAGATAAATATGTTATTGAAGCCCTAATTCACTTTATGGAGAGTTTAGGCATTCAATGTTAGTCTTTTACCAAACATCTTAAAGAAAATGCTTCAATATCCTATAATTTATGGCTTAATTGAGAGAGGAAACCTATCCATCTGCTGGTGTCACTAGATAAGTCGATGACTCCATGACATTTCATGCCATTGGATTTTACTGCCTTCTATGTTATCGACCAATATGCTAGTGGTAACTTGGTCTTCTATTGATTTGGATGTTCTCTCATCTCTCCGCGTTTCTATTTTTCTCAATGTCTACCTTACTTTGAACCTCATTTGCATTGTAAATAACAGAAGAATCTTTGACCCCCATACCAAATCCATCCTTCAACTTTTGCTTTAGATGGTGCCACCTCTGCTATTTTCTATAATTTTTCTATAATTTCTGTCCTGAAAAAGTTCAAAGCTCTTAAGTTTTAAGCTTCTAGGCATTTATCCCATACCAACAAGTGAACAGGAGATGGGATGATTTGCATAACCTTGGATGGTTTTGGGATGATTTGCATAACTTTGCATGGTTTAAACAATTAATGTGTGGTTATGTAGCACTTCCTCAAATGCTTTCAAGCTCAAATCATGTTTCTTTGGCTGTATATATGCAGGTTCTTGTTGACAATGAAGATTTTCTGAAGGAACTGCAGTAGTAAATTCCGAAATGAAAAAGCATTGTGCAAATGTGTTGCGCGTATAGATCTTAGTACAACCTCTAATATGAATAAGTTAATCTGGCTTTACTAACAAGGCCGTCTTCATATTGACAACAGCTATCCCTGTAATATCTACATATGCTCTCTTTCTCTTTCGTGTTGGCTATTTTGATGATCTCTTTCGTGTTGGCTATTTTGATGAGAAATTATTGGATACTATTTGTCAAAACTTGCCGCCCCCATTGAATGCGCGCTCCAGGTTACAAACTAGATTATTGCGTCTGTAGTGATTCCAACATCATGTTGGACAGATTAGGGTAGATCCTGTGTGGTACAACATAAGTGTTGAACCGCATCCGATGGCCCACATCACTCTTATGTGTGATGGACCGTCGGAGGCAGATTGTGCAGGACCGTTGGATGCAGTATAGCACCTGTACTTCATTTGATCCACTCAATGAACAAAATTTGTGATTGCCCACACATTTGAGTGATGAAGAGGGTCAGATGCAGATTGTGCACGCGTTTGAGTGAACGACAATAGATTTGTGTAATTTTTGAAAGCTTTGAATGCACATGTCAAAACTCAACCATCGTGGTGTCATGATTTGTAACAATATCAGAACAGAATCTGAATTTAACTATAATGGTGTGCTATAATGCTGTTACCTTATGGGTTGAACCCAGAACCTGAAATCGAGAGGTGTGGTACGTACATGAACATGCAGAGGTTGATGAATGCTGTAATTCTCTGAAAACCTTTTAGAATATATTATAAGATAGAAAGTCTAGAGTAACACAATATATCTTATATTTTATTTTAAGCATGATACATAAAAAAAACAACGTTGGCTTTACACCATAAGCATGAGTTTCATCTTGAAGTAGGCACATGAATAAAGTAACACAGCTCAGTAGCTCATAACTTTGAAAATCTTGATCCAATGGGGAAATAGGACATTGGAATGGGTGACCTGATCTTTGATTTGGGCGATGCGTTATGAGTGCTGACCACATTCTCTCCTGCACTTGCAGCAACCCGGTTAGAATGAGAAAGGCAACCACCACAACCAAAGATGACGGAGAAGAAAGCCATGTCGGAAGCTCTCGAGGAAGGAGGCAATTAATCGGTATTTCAAAACTCTCTTAGCTCTATTCCATTTTTATACACAAGCATAAGCGTGTGCATTGATGGCGTCGCGTTTCTACTTTTGGTCACAATTAATTTTTAATTTAGTTGGATGAGATTATTACAGAGGCGCAATGTTTCTTAAGTGGCACGTATTTGACATTTCCAAACAAACAGAGACAGCTGCTCTTTCCTCTAATAATTCCCAGAAATATCTAGGACCTTGCATCTGATTAGTTCAACACGTCACATGTAGGATCCTTGCTTTCCAGTTCTAAAGGAATTTCAAAGGTTGAGGTCGGACTACAATATTGTATGTTACTATATATATATATATATATATATATATAAAATTAATCCACACTTTTCTATATGAATCATTAGATTAAATTTATGGATTATTTTTCAAACTCATCTATATTCTTTTCTTTTAATACAAAATTACTCTCACTCTATTTTTAGTTTCCATCTTTTAATTTTCTGATTACCACCTATGTAGCAATAAAAGATAATTATCCAAATAAAAATATAAATTTTTGAAAAAAAGATAATACCATTATATATGACTAAAATTTATTTTTCTTGAGATGTTTCTTTGAAAGGAAAATAATACATGTTTATTACCCGTATATTTTAATTTTGCAATCAAACTTAAGCAGAATGCAGAAGTATGATATTAACAGCATTTTCTTAAGAAACATTTTGTTATCTTGCTTACGGCATATCTCAGTGTTCAATAGTATGTGGTCATTTTTGTATGTGCACATACTAAATTCAAATAAATATACTTGTCTAAGTAAATTTATGAACAAGTATACTATAATATTACATTTTGGACTATCGAACTGATACATTGGAATTGAAATTGGAGAAATTTTCATTTAAAGTTTGAATAAATTTTTTTTATATTTCAATTTAAAGATGTCTCGGTGTTCTCAAACTAGCTCAACTAGATTTTGAGTAGTCGCGTTTGGCCAAATTCTTTTGTTGAATTTGTCGGCACTTGTGTTCAAAGTTATAAAAATTGAATACTATAGTAAATAATTACCTTTTATTACTATAGTAAATAATGATAAAATTAAATATGAAAATTAAAAATAGGATTACCTTTTATTACTATAGTAAATAATGATAAAATTAAATATGAAAATTAAAAATAAGGTGGGAGCGGTTTTATATTAAAGAAAAAGATATAAGTGAGTTTGAAAAATAATGGTTAGATTTAATGTAACTGAACAGCAAGAGACAGGACTCGTGCGCGCGCGCATGCATACGCAATTTGAAAATGATAGGTACAGATGGCGCCAAAGTGTTATTGGGGTGTCTCAAATTCATTGGCTTAGTGATGTGGTGAATAAAGAATGGTAAAGAGTCATTTAATGGCGGTCACGGTCAAGGTCAATAATGCAGGAAGGGAAGTAAGAATGTATGATGTACGATTGGTGCATGTGCGTGGACGAGGTGAAATGGGCAGAGGTAATTGGTGTGTTTTGTGTGGCAAAGTTATGAGCCTTAATTGTAAATAAATTCGAGATTTATAATTATTTTTACAACGTAATCGTTGTGGTTTGCCCTATTTTGCTATTAAAAAAAAAAGAGAAAAAAGAAAAAAGAAGGTGTGCTTTGGTTGGTTGTGGTGTGTTGGCAAGTACAAGCACGGCTATACACATGGAATACGAATATAGATACGACGATTTTTTATAAAATATAATATGAATAAGCAAGGACACGGTTGTATAATTTTTTATAATAATAGATATGTATAAAAATTAATACATGTACTTATGAATAAATATAAATAATAATTGTCATGTTATATATATATATATAGTGTCATTGGCATTTCAGAATGTGTGATTAACAATCGAGTTAGAGAGTTATATCTCAATACTTTTTTCTTAATAAACTTAAAATTTTTATTATTGTTAAAAAAATTACATTCTAATATTTAATGTTGGTTAAATATGTGTTTTGAAATATCTGAAAGTATCGCTGATTAAAGTAATTAAAGAGTATTAGATATGTTTTAGAAATAAATAAATAAATATATATATATATATATATTTCAAAATTATAAATATATTTAAAAAATATAAAATATGCATTCTATGTCACTTTTATAAAGTAGCAGATGAAACCAAGAGTCATAATTTTGTGGTATCTCTTTAGTTAGGAAAGGTAGGAGCATTCAAATTCACCGAAAAAAAAAAAGAAAAAAAAGGTAGGAGCCCATTCAAGTTATTTTAAAACAAAGTGCTTGCGTGTTACTTGTAAATAAAATAATAAATAAATAAATAAAAACACATGTTTTTATAAAAACCTTGCGCAATCCAAGCTCGATCCTCTGAAGATAATTGATTCAATTGATAATTTGTATAGTAATAATTCTTCATCTGATTCAATTGAGTCACGAATAATTCTTTCTTTTCTTGTGTGTGTGTGTCTTTTTTTCTTTTGGGAATCCTCTTCATATCTTTGTTTAGTGCTTAATAAAATAGAAAATACAAAAAGCCCATCTTCATGGATATTCATCACTTATATACGTACAAATATAGAAAAACATCTTTATATATTTCTCTAATAAGAAGGAAAAAAAAAATTTTAAAGCAAAAGAGCCCAAATGCTTTTCTTTGCACCTTTCTAATTTTCTGCATACCACTGTTGGATGAAGTCATGGAAAAATTATGGGCCTATTTGGTTTGTAATTCGAGAAATTTTTTTTTTTTTTTTTTTGTTTTCAGAAAATTGAAAACATAAAAGTATAAAAAAAATATATATATTCTATTTGGTTCAGTTTTTTAAAAATTCAGTTATAAATTTTATTTATTTATTTATTTTTCATGTCATGTATTTATGTGATGAGACTTATGTCTAATTCATTTGGGATGGACTAGAATTTTTTTGAAAATTGCCAAATCACTTTAAATTCATGAAGTAATATGTTTGTCTGATGAAACTGAAAATTATAAGAGTTAGAATTTCAAATGTTAGAAGTTTTAAGTCTTTAACTTAAAAATAAATATTATATATATATATTTTTAAAATTTTTAACATTCATCAGTCAGTAATAAATTGTCATGTCACTTAAATTTTTATCTAATTCTAAATCTAAATGACATTTATCATTTTGAGTGATATTTAAATTATTTTATTAAATACAATTAATTAAATAAATACTTAATTCGTTCAAAAAAAAAACACTGAATTAAATTATTAAAAAGTCCCAAAAGTTAAATGCAATTTATTATGTATAATAATCAATCAATTATAAGTGTAATAATAATAATTATTATTCTGTTTTGACGAGTAATCCTCGCAATTCTTTTAAAAAACTTTAGACCTTTATCTTTTTAAAATAAATAAATAAATCAGTAGATTATTATTATTATTAGTTTTTTTTATCATAAATAAATCAGTAGATTACAAATATTGATTGGCCCAATTGAGCATAAGCCCACATGTACATTGATAATTGTCTATTGATATATATACTCATAAATACATTCTCAATACACGTGTTTTCTTAATATCGGGTGTGGTCTGGACTGACCCAGACACGTTCCCTTATTCTCAGTAATTCCATTGAACACGACACGACTAAACATATCTCCCCAAGCCCCACTCACCAACTTATCCAATCACAGCCCTTCAAACCCACTTCTTCCCACATCAATATTTTGGTCCACCAAGTTTATTTTTTTATTTTCATTCTCTTCGGTGGCTATTTGGCTCTACAAAGCACCACCATTTCCACCAAAGGATTGGACCACCTCTTTCCCTTCCAAACCGTCCGATCTGTCCATCTTCAAATAATCACCGACTCACCGACTCTATCAACCACGTGATTTCGGTTACCTTACGGCTCTTTTATTTTCCTGACTTCCCTAGAGGCTAGAGCTAACTATGGGGTTTAATATAGATTTTTTCTTTCTTTTTCTCTGAGACACTTAAATCACTCCATTATTCTTTTCCATACCCCTTTTTTTATTAACAAATTCCATTCGAATTATTCACAAATTTTCACATCTCCCTTTTCATCTCCTATAATCTGCAAATTTCACTTTTTATAAGTCCCAAAATTCTTTAACAAATAATTTATTTTTTTTGGATTTATTGGATTTCCGCTCTACATATGTTCAATTACTGAAGAATTCTATGAAGTGGTTTAGAGAAATTAAAACTCGTGAGTTTTGGCCTCACATTATCCCTTTTGAATTAATATAAAATTATTTTCAAAACTTAAATGATATGGTAGTATATGAAATTTATATACTGTAAATATGTATAATTCTTATTTATGTATAATTTTTTTAAAGCCATTATTATTTAGTTTGCCTGACAGTTATATATGCAATGTGTTAAGAACAATTGGGCTACAAAAAAGATGACAAAAGAGAAAGTACTGTAAAGTGTAGACAAGAGAAATATTCACGATCTCTGCGAAGAATTACAAAAAGTCGCGCCGATTGCCGATTACACACAGTACAATCCCTAAAAATTTGTTAAATGACGAAACTACCCCTCTGGCTTCTCAATACATTTCATTTTATCTGGCCCTGCACATTCCATTTTCAGGGTCGCACACTCCGCAAATCCACTCTCTCACGGCGAATCCCATTTCGTACGTCTCTCTCTCTCCAATGTCGAAGTCCACGGCGGCGACGACTGTGTCTACGACTGCAATTAGACCAGACGAATACAAGCACAGTCCAGTCCACTACTCCGTCGCACTCGGCGATCACTCAACCCTCTCGAGAATCGTCTCAACCCTCCCTCGGCTCGCTGAACCCACTCAAATCCACACCGAGTCGGACTCACTCGCTCAGGAGAGAGTCGCCGACCAGATCTCCGCCGTGATCGACCGCCGCGACAACCCCTACAGAGAAACACCGCTACATCTCGCCGTCCGCCTTAACGACGCCGTCGCCGCCCGTACCCTTGCTGTCGCCGGTGCAGACATCTCCCTGCAGAATGCTATCGGTTGGAATGCTTTGCAAGAGGCGGTTTGTCGCCGCTGCTCTGAAATCTCAGTGATTCTCCTCCAGCACCACCACCTCTCCGCCTGGTCAAAGTGGCGCCGCCGACTCCCTCGCCTCGTCGCTGCTCTTCGCAGAATGAGAGATTTCTATATGGAGATTTCGTTTCACTTCGAGAGCTCTATTGTTCCTTTCGTCGGTAAAATTGCTCCTTCCGACACGTACAAGATCTGGAAGCGTGACGGCAATCTCCGAGCCGATACTTCGCTAGCCGGCTTCGACGGCTTGAAAATCCAACGCGCCGATCAGAGCTTCCTCTTTTTCGGAGATGGAGATCCAAGTCATGATATTCCTTCAGGTTCGTTGCTAGTACTCAACCGCGACGATCGCAAGATCTTTGATGCATTCGAAAACGCCGGAGCTCCGATGAGCGACGGTGACATTGCCGGATTCTGTTCTCAGACCAGCGTTTATCGCCCAGGGATGGACGTAACGAAAGCTGAACTCGTCGGAAGAACGAATTGGAGACGACAAGAGAAGACCGAGAGCGTTGGTGAGTGGAAGGCTAAAGTATACGAAGTCCACAACGTCATCTTCAGTTTCCGATCCCGAAAAATCGCCGGTGGCGATATAGACATTGCCGGAAGCGAGCAGGTTCTACCGCTAGAGCTCGAGGAGGACGCAGAGGAAGGCTTTCTCGTCGCCGAAAATCCACAGTTTGCCTTCTCCGATAGTCGTCGCCGGCACAGCAGCTTCGTTCGCGAGGACAGAGAGCTTTTCTCAATGTCGTCAAGGAAGAGCGTGGACGTTCCCTCTGTATCGATGTCAGAGAGGCGGAGGCCGCCTTTCGCGGCGGCGACGGCGGTGGTGCCACCGCAGACGAAAGAAAAGGAGTACGTGAAGAGTTTGCGTCCGTCAGTGTGGCTAACGGAGCAGTTTCCGTTAAAGACGGAGGAGTTGCTGCCGTTACTTGACATTTTGGCCAACAAAGTGAAGGCGGTTAGACGGATGAGGGAGTTACTGACGACGAAGTTTCCTTCGGGGACATTTCCAGTAAAGGTAAGGGTTAAATTTGGTAAACAAAGTGAATTATCAGATACTGATACTGTTGTAGGACCCACTTCACTGTTTTGTTTGCGAACCTTTGATTTCCTTTGTTTTGTTATTTTCACACAGTGTGTGTGTTAGCTTTTTGCTTTTGCTTCTTTTTATGCCGAACCAAACACGCACCTTGCGTGAGCATTGTGAGACAACGGGTCAGAGAAGAAGAAGCTTTAGAGGGCATGTAAAAAGTCAGAGTGATGAAACGTGGAGGGTAGGCTACAATTGATCAAATGGTGATCAGATTGTAGGGTCCTGATTATCTGAGAGGTCTTCATTGTTTATAGACATAAATGGGTTTGTGGGGCCTCCTTGTTTATCAACGGTTTGATGACCCCATGGAACGTTTAACTACCTTTAAACAAAGTAAAAAAAAAAAAACCACTACATGTCATGCGTGTTGAATTTTGCTTTGGTGGAACCTACTTTGAATTGATTTGCTTTGATGTTAGTGTGTGTGTTGTTGATGAATTTGATCTGACGGTGGGTGTTTGGTGGGACAGGTAGCGATTCCAGTGGTCCCTACAGTGAGGGTGGTCATAACATTCACAAAGTTCGTTGAGCTACCGTCTACAGAGCAATTCTATACACCACTCTCGAGTCCTCGAAACTTTGTCCATGGACAGTCCTCTAAGGAAGAAACTGAGGGGCATTTTTCAACGGCGTCGTCGGCGTCGGCGTCGGCGTCATCGTCATCTTCATCGTCTTCTTCCATGGCATGGTTGAGGCGAAGCAGCACCCAGTCAAGCTCAGCAAGCAAGCACCAACAGAGTAGTCCGGTGGTTCAGCAATCGGACCCGTTCACTATACCTAGTGGTTACACATGGAGTAGTTTTGATGACAAGAATCGGAAAATGAAAAAATCAAAGTCAACTAGTAGGAAATTTAAGTGAAAAAGAAAGTGGTTACAAGTTGAATATGATGGATGGATGGATGAGTTTTTGTGTGTGTTGGATCTGAGCTTGCAAATTAATGCAGTTGTAGATAAACCATCTAATTTTCAATCATTGTCTCTCTGAATGGGTTGAGAGAGATTATTACTTCATATTTTGGAGTATAATGTTGTTGCACTAGCTTTTGGCTCTTTGAGCCTATATAGTTGCATATTTTTTACTTGGGGACTCTTTACTTTGTCTCCGCAAGGACTTAATCGCTGCACCTTCTATACTACTTTTATATAATTTCTGTTTAGTTCGCGTTTACCATTCGTTAAATCGAGGCATGTGAGCTTTTGGCGAAAGTGTGACAAACTAACTATATACTCCATGGCTACTGATATTTGATCAGTATCTTGTTTATCTGGACCCGGTGAGATTGTGACAGTTCACTTTACTGTTTGAATGTGACAACACAAAATGTTGGTTATATACAATGTACGACTTGAACTGTAGTTTATTAGTGGATCTCAAGTTTATGCGTTGAATATTTACTTTGTTAATCAAGTATAGGCACACAAGACATGCAAGAATTGGGACCCTCCAATCATTACTGCAAATCTAAATCATTGCTTCCTCCACTATGTATAAGATAATTTGTTTGATCTATCTCGTTTGCCGCCTCCTCCTATTTCTTGATATGGACTTGGAAAAGCTTGTTTATCACTTTCTCACTGTTTGATGAAGAATTTGGGATGCTGAAAACAACTCAACGTGAATGGTTTAAAATCAGACTGCCAATTTTGCATCTCAAAAATCATTCCTTGGTATTTATTTCAATTAAAAATTGTAAATGGGGTGGTACAGATACGGACTTATCTTTCAATGGACGGGTATAGTACGAGTAGTTTTGCGTGATCCCGTCCTTGCCCAATTTAGTTAATAGTAATCTCGTACCTGATAATTTCTTCTGTGGTGGCTGTAAGTGAATATTGAAAGAACAATACATAGAGGATTATTTAAAGAGTTACTAGTTAGTTCAGTATAAGAGACTCTCACTATTATAAAATATAAAAATGATACTAAAAGATTATTTTATTATTCGAACTCACCTCCAAATAACGATGCAGCACTGCCATATAAACACAATGGAGCAAGCTCACCTCATTTCCAACCATATGCAGAAGATTCCAAATTGTTCACTTAGTCCAAGCCCTAGGCATATGTTTTTTTGGCAAAACAATGACCCAAAAACAAACACCAACAAAACCTACATAGCCATATCCATGGCGTCTACTCTAGCACAATCAACAATCGAAGGCGAGATAGGATCCAACTCTCGATCAGCAGACAACATTGATCCAACTCTCGATCAGCAGACAACATAGCAAAAGCATGAGCCACCCTATTATCGGAACGACGAACATGCCGCAAAGAGGCCACAAAGAACAAATGAAGCTCCATCTGAATATCAAAGCGAAAAGAAGTAATCTCTGTTGGACAAACTGAAACATCCTTCACTGCATCAACAACGCCCTTTGCATCGGATTCGAAACATACACAGTCATAACGAAAATGGGAAGCCCAAAGGATAGCACAGTGGCATGCAATCGTTTCAGCCATCAGCGTCGACGAAGCATAAAAAAGCCGAAACACAACAGCATGAAGAATAGTTCCCCAAAAATCACGAAACACAGCACCCCCACTTCCACGAGAAAGACTATGAAGAAACCTTGCATCAAAATTGCACTTAATCATCCCTTGATCAGGCGGAACCCAACTCACCCAGAATGTGAGAGAACAACCAAAATCAATTTTTTTCTTTGTTTTCTGGCCTCCTGAAATTTCCAAAAGCTTGCCACAGCTTTAGCCACCACATTCCCCAGATCCCATTCTTGGATTTCCAAATACACCACACACAAAACGACATCAAACCCAAAGCAATCGATTGGTCTGGTGAAGAAACAGCTCGAAACAGCAAAAAAGGCCAACCATCCAAAAAGGAGTGGAACGAAAAATTTGAAAAATCAAATTTAAACGGCGACAACTTCTAGACCTGAACAGAATGAGTGCAAGCAAACATAAGATGCACAATCAATTCCTCCGGCAACCCACATCGCGGACACATAGGAGAGTTCACACAACCCCGTAACAACAACGATAAACCAGTAGGCAAAGCATCACGACAACACCTCCAAATAAAATGCTGAATCTTGGAAAGAGTGTTACAACGCCAAACCGAATGCCAAGAAAAATTAACCTAAATAACAGGTAAAGGCTCAGGAGATGACAAAGTAAGAAAATAAGCCGAGCGAACAGGAAAATTACCCGTCCTCTCAGGCGCCCACACTTGAGTATTCGTAAAATTTCTTGAACAACATACAGAGAAAAAAGCTGATATGTCATAGAATGCGGACAAATCAAATCCGCAACATAGCGAAAAGGTACGTCACCCGGAGGATGCGGAAGCAAATCCGGAAAAGCAGGTACCGGACAACAAACTTCGCTTGCTGAGCCCGAAGAAAAGTCAAAGAAAGGGCTTCCGCACAGAGAATAAAAAGATACGGGGACAGCGAGTCACCCTGGCGTAAACCCCGAGAAGGATGAAAAAAACCAACAGAATGCCCATTAATTTTTAGAGAGTACGAAACAATGGAGACATAAGCTGAAATCATCTTAATCCATTGAGAATTCATCCCCAAGCGATGCAACATTTGAAACAGAAACTCCCATTCAACTCTATCATAAGCTTTGCTCATATCCAGTTTCAGAGCCAAAAAAGTTTTCCGCCCCTTCCGCTTATTTTTTAAATAGTGCAGTATCTCATGAGTAATAAGAATATTATCCGTGATATGTTTACCTGCAATAAATGCACTTTGGGATTCACTAATAAGGGATCTTATAACCCCTTTCAAGCGATTAGTCATAACATTCGCAATAATTCTATAAGAAACATTATACAACGAAATAGGTCTATAATGATAGACAAGAGTATGAGTCAGTACCTTATGAATCAATACCACATTGATATGGTTAAATTGAGATAACAGATTCCCAGTTTAAAAAATATTAGAGATATCACGAACAATATCAGATTTAATTACCTCCCAATATTTTTGATAGAAAAGCGGCGTCATACCATTAGGCCCTGGGGCTTTCATCGGTGCCATAGAAAACACCGCCTGCTTCACTTCCAATTCAGACGGAGCTGCAAGAAGAGTATAATTCATTTCCTCGGAAAATCGACGCGGAACATGATGCAAAAATAGCTCGATATTTATAGGATGCTGATTTTGGAATAAATTCCGAAAATAGCTCAGAAACACCTCATGAACCAAATCAGCCTCATTCACCCACCTATTCCGGTTAACATAAACACCAGATATCAAATTCCGGGCTCATCGTCTTTTAGTAGTGGCATGAAAAAATTTAGTGTTCCGATCCCCATCTTGCAACCATAGAACTCTAAATTTCTGTTTCCAAAATAGCTCCTCTGCTAGCCAACAAGAGCTTAAAATTTTTTTAGCTTGAGCGACGTCGGAATGATGATAATCAGCAGTGCGAGCTTTAAGTTCCTGAAGTCTTTGTTCCGCACTAGCAATTTGAACTCTAGAATTTGAACTTCGAACCTTAACCCAATGTAAAAGATCAGCTTTACATTGATGCAATTTTTGAGCCCATCGAAATTGAACAGAGCTACAAATAGGAGTAGACCAAACTGCGTCAATAATAGAAGCACAATCATTAGTTAAAGTCCAACGGGCGTCAAAATGAAACTAGTGCTTTCGCAGATGAACCACAGGTTGAAGCTCTAATAATAAGGCATAATGATCAGAGCCCAACACGGTTAAATGGGACAATTTAGCTTTAGGAAATAGAAAAATCCAATCCTGTGTCGCCACTGCCCGATCAAGCCGCTCTTGAATGTTGGCCAGCCTATCACGTTGATTAGACCATGTAAATGGAAAACCCACATACCCAATATCCAATAAGGCACACCGTTCCATCAACGAGTGAAACGATTTAAGCTGCCAACCCTGTTTAATCCACCCTCCACACTTTCAGAGACATAGAAAATATCATTAAAGTCTCCAATAAGCACCCAACTTCCAGGCCACGAACAAGCCCGTTGTGCTAAGAATTGCCATTGTAGAGCACGCAAACTATCAACTATACTCGCATATATAACAGACAACGTCCAAGAGGGCTGATTAGGCGGTGAATAATAGTAGTGATATATAATCTCGTTGTTTCCACAACGCGCAATTGAACGTCATCAGTCCACCAAAGAGCCAAACCCCTGGCATTACCCACAGGTTCCACTAAACAACCATTAGAAACCCCAATAAATTTTGCACAAAATCAAGACAACGCCTACTATTTTTCGTTTCAAGAAGACCAACAATAGCCGGTGAAAACTTAACTATGAGACGTTGAAGCTGTTGAACCGTCGAGGCAGAGCCCAGTTCTTGACAATTCCATACCAAAATGTTAGGAAACCCCATAGGTCGAGCTAGAGGATCCGCATCCCGAACAGCTGCTGTCAGGGACTGAACGCGTGGAACCGTGGATGAGGTATGAACAGAGGAACGGGAAGAAGATTGGATATTTGTAGAAGAAGAGGAAAGCTGAGGCCTCGAACGTAAACTCGAAGACTCCTGCTAAAGAATTGGGCTATTCTCTAAATTAGACATTGATTCCAGCAAGCCCATAGAAAAAGTTGGCCAATTTGTAGACGGTGGAGGCCAACTTTGGGGATCACTATTGATACAGTCCGAGAACCCCGACTTTGGGCTGAAAGGAGAGCCCGTATGTGGTTAAAATGAAAGAAGGCCCAATCCACCAAAAAGGAGTGGCGTACCACAAACGCGTCACCTTGGGATTGATGCCACCGGATCAACCCCCGCTGTACAACCGGCGCCGGATTAGTACACTGACCGATATCAACCACACAACACAAAGATCCACCGTAGACAGAGCCAAAACACGCAAAGAAACAAAGAGCCCCTCTTCTCGAACAGATCCAGTACAGAAATGAGGACGAGTTGAGAAACTAATCCCTTAATTGTAGAAGACCATCCCTTAGCAAACACAAAAATCCAACAACAAAGAGGACCAGTAGATGAAAGTGAAAAAATACTCCCCAGAAGCACCAAGAAAAGAGCAATTCAGGCAGAAAAAGAAGCGCAACCATCAACACCAAACAAAGCCAGCCCCAAAACACAAATTCAAGCAACACCACTTCGCAAGAAAAGGAACAACACACCAAGGACCAAGAGACCTTGACAACAGTGAGGAACAAAGACTCAGCTGAACACGTTGGGGAAGAAAAGGCAATCACCAACAACAACCACAAAAGCAACCTCAAACAGAGGATCAAAGAAACACGACTCGATAAAACGAGCCAACCTCTGAAACACAGAAGAACCTCGACGGCAGCGAGGAAAGGGTACTGTTCAAGGGGAAAGAAAAGGTAAGGTTCGAGAGCTCCTAGACATACTGTTTCTAATGCATTTGCACAAGGTAGGCAACATACATTGCCAACTAACCCCTAGGCATATGTCACCCACCAGTACTTGAGTAGGAAACTGATATTATTAGCCCAAGGGAGAAAATAGGTAAATTGCACTGACATATTTATGAGGTTTTGGTTAACTTCATTTAACGGTTTTAAAAATGTGTATTGACATCCCTCCAGGTCTCTGAAACCATATGAAATTATCTTTTTACCCTTTGACTTGTCAACAACTCCATTTAAATTATAAAATTACAAATCTAATCTCCTAATTAAATTTAATGAACCAAACTAACATCTTTATCTCTTCTATATATATATAAATATACTTTATATATAACAATACTCATATCCACCACAACATACAAATAAATAATAAATAAATATTTTTTAAAATAACCAGATAACTATACACAACCATAAGCACCACCACCACACTCGAACTTCATAGTAGGAAAAAAAAAATTGATAACAACCATGGTTAACTCATATTTATACATCCTAAAAGCCATCAGAACAACTGTCACCACAATAGACAAAATAAAAATACATAAAAATTTTGAAACCCCTTGATAACTTAGACACCATTATAATCACACCCAAACAACACACAATAACTACCACCAAAGTATAAAAAAATAAAAAAAAAACCATGGCCAACTCAGACCCATCACATCAGGAAAAAAAATGCAGCCATGTCCAGCCCAACCTCCACCACCACAATGTAACTGAAAAAAATAAAAAATAAAATAAAATAAAAATAAAAATAGCAGTGATTGTTTTTATCTCACTATTCCCACTAATTCTCTTATCTCTTCTCACAACCACTTTCATTCTCTTACTCATCACAATCACAAATCCAACACCACCACAATGCAATATTTTTCCCCCAAATTTTGTGAATTAACTTATCATAGCCACCATCTCCTCCACCAGCGAGAAGAATGACGAATGACGAGGGGTGCAATTTATCCAAAAAATAAATAAATAATAACATAGTAAGAAGGAGGGGAATGAGAGAGATGGGGAAGAGAGAGGGAGTGTTGGCAGCTAAGTACTAACATGAACAAAAAAAAATAAAAAATAAAAAAGAGTTAGAGATTAGGGTAGAAAAAGAGACTTAACGATGAGGTTAGTTTTATCCATTAACATGGCATATATTTTGTAAATTAATTAAATTAAATAATTATGGACAAATATGACATTTGAAATTATAGGGTGTCATTGTTAAAAAAAAGTCGTTAACCCATATCTGAGTAACATTGATCAAAACGATAGTGTCAATGCAATTTACCCAAAAACAAATCTCAAATATGGTTGCAACATATATTGATAAAATTTAGCTTAAAACAACACAAACCAATGACGCGTATTTGTTGGCATGCTATGGCCACTTTTTTTCCTATTAATCCAGAACTTATCAGTAACATATTTCTACAAAGATTTATCTTAAACTTGCGAGAATCAAATAAAGCATTTTCGAGCTCCGTTTCTCTCAATTGAGATTATATATATATATATATATATATATATATATATATATATTTGAAGATTTAAGCTCCAATTACAATTTAGGAACTTGAATTAATATTGCTATTAAACTATACCTCAAAAGCTATTGATTGAGCCACTGCTGTAAACCCTAGAATATCGAATATGTATTTGAATTGTAGTTAAATGCTGTGTCAAATCCTAATTTTTTGCTTAAAAACTTCACCAACTAAAGAGGTGACATTGAAGAAGAATTCAAGTGTTAGCAGTTCAACAAAGAAATGCATAAAAACATTGAATTGACCTTGTTGATTTTTGCCAAGGATGTGCATTTTTATTATTAAGCTTGGGTCCAAACATCCAAATGAGACCTTACCGTTAAAAAAGGGATAATTGTCTAGTTTTGTGATTTGAAATCGTAAGTTGCAGATCACAATGAAGCAACTTAAGGCCCACTCTCAACTGAAATACATTAGGATAGTTGATTAGGAAAAAGACTGGCCTTGTTATTGGTTTGGAAAAACTTTTCCATCACTTTAGTTAAAAAGAAAACTATTTTCAGAAGTTCCATCAAGAATTCAACAGCTGATCAACAAAGTGAAATAATCTGTATGGAAACCCTAGAAGTTGGACAATCTTTAAGAGAATGGATTGACAACCATTTCCTGCTAGATTATTGAACTGCTATCAGCCTATCTATGTTTGACTATACCATCTGTTCCACCCCTAAAAAATCAATGCAGTGTTTTTAGTTGGGTTGAGATATGAAATTAAGGTCAAATATGATGAGATGAGCTAGCCCAACCAACCTAAAACTCAAAAGCTATACTACAATAAAGTCACTCTCATAATCACCGGAAGAAGAAATCTTAAGGGAGCAGTTAAAGCTAAGACAGTAGTCCTTAGCAAAACAGTAGGTGGAATACTAATAATGATCAAACACTAACTTGCCAACCAATTTTAAAAAGATTTCTTGAGACAATAGCCCATCATCAACCACCCCCACAAAATTAAGAGCCCGAATCCTCTGCAGTACTGTATCGAATGGTTCACAACAGATGCACTTGTAACATCCTAACACCAAAATCACACACATTGTTTCAATTGGCTGTTGGTGGGGCCGGCGAGCTGCCCAAGGTTTAGGAACGGCTTGTCATTTTGAGATGAAAATTTTCAATTTGGACAAAAGAAGCTACCTAATTCTAAAATGAAGGGTGAGCAGGCTACATAGAAAGATAAATTAAATTAAAACAAATGAAGGAAAAATGCCAAACAGACTTTGCTTCAGGAGGTGGAAATGTAACTAAAGTGAGTTGGCATTTCTTTTTTAAAAGCAACAAAAGACAACCCATCCACTTGCAGCAGGCTTTGTTTAAATTTAATTAACCGGCAGATTCCACTTACTCCTACCAACAAGTTTTCTTGTTTAAGTTTTTTCATTGAGACACCCGAACAGAACGCACTTCCAAGCCCCATTCAGTCCTCACAATCAGGTTCTCTCTCTCTCTCTCTCTCTCTCTCTCTCTCACACACACACACACACACACACGCACACGCACATCAATTGTTCAACCTTGTGCTGTTTATAGGTTTTAATTTCCCAAATATTTTCTGGGTTTTTAGAGATTAAATTGCTATAGGTTATCTTGCAGCTGTGTGTGAAACTTTTTAATGCACCATCACTGCATCGATCTTATGTTTCATATGGAGATCAGATCATTTTCTTGTTGTGTCACCTCAAAGATTTAATCTTTTTGAGTGAATTGCATATTCAACCAATTTGGATGCATTTTAGACATTGGTTATTGATGATTTTATGATATTTGATGTCTTCAAACTAAGTGAAGCTCCGCTAAAGATTCAAGGAACAGCCATGGCTAGTGAGGCACCAAACTGGGCGGATCAATGGGGTCCTGGAGGATTCGGTGCCATGGCCGAAGACGACACCACCAAAACCAACAAAGACGGCGGTGGTGACAACAAGAAGGCTTCAGGAGGATTCAGTAAAGCCAAAGATAAAGCCATAGCTGGAGCAGATAAGTTCCGGAGTGGAATATCCATGGGCATCAAATCGGTCAAGGGCTTCAACTGGGTCAAGAGCAAATGTCAAAAGAAAAAATCTTCCTCAAATGATTCAAATCAATAGAACAACAACAGATTGTTCAAGTTTAGGCTTCTCAAGTAAATGTTTCTTTTTCTATTAGTGAATTCAAGTGTATCCGAAACGGTTCAATAAATGTCATCGCATTTTGTAGGGAAAGAGATATTGATCCCAAGCTGAAAACAATTCTTCAATATCTCTCTCTCTCCAGAAAATGAACAACTCCATAACCCACTTTCTGTTGAAACAAACATATCAATGTCATACCTAAATATTTCAGTTTATGAAGCTTAGTTTTATTTTTAAACAAAAACTGAAACCAAGATGTTTCACAATACTCCTATTACTTGAATCCTCCATAGATTCTAACATCAAAATTGATCCCAACCTAAATGCTTTAACCATCTATATTCACTGTTTAATCAAAATCCTGCCAGGACATTTTTATTCAAATCACATACAGTGGACAGAAATAGGTTAATATAAAATAAATAAATTGGAGACTACTTGAATTCAAATTTATCCATTGTAAAGAAGACACGTAGAACCAAATTATCCCAGCATCAAATTAAATGACATTGATCCAAATTGAGACGAAGGTAGTATCCAAAAAAGTATTCCACTTATAAGGGGATAGCTGAGAATTTACACTTGGAAAAAAAATCCATTTACGTGAATCGACTCACTGCCTGTCGAGGGATCCAAATGTGTTCTCGCCACTGTAAGTCATGTAAAGAAACCCATCTTCATCCTTGTTATCCTCGTATATTGCAGACATCACAGCACCTGAAACAGCAAAAAGATATTTTAGCAACCAACTTTATATACTAACACAATATCCAAATACAGAGATCTCTACTTACCAGTGGGAGGTAGCATGTTCTTGACAAAGACAAATATAGCCTTTTCAGCACCAAGCTTAATCCTCTTCCGAACCACATAAATAAACTGCCCAACATTCAAATCAGCAGGGACAAGATATCTGCATTCAAGACAAATACATATAAGCACTGATGCTCTGCCAATCCATGAATCTGTGACCTCAACAATAGCCACTACTGTACATCCGAGAGCAATAATAGAAGTGATAGAAGTGAACGTAGTTAAAAGCAATCAACAAAGGAAGCAATGCATTAAAAAAAAATTAAAAAAAAAAACAACAACAATGAGATAGATATGTCTAGGATCCTTAAAAATAGTTATTCAAAAAATATACATTAAAAAGAAATGTCAAGCCCAAGTCCACAGATGACACACCAAATGTTACAACTTAAAAACAAGAAAGAAGAATGACTCATCAACCATCCAGAATCAATTGAATTACATATGTTTGTCCCCATAGAAAGCAAATATACATTGAAGATCAGTCACAACAAATGGCCATAAAGAACATCAATTTGCCAAAGAGACAATCAACGTACTTCTATTAAGTATCAGTGGTAATTCAAAGGGAAAGGATGGCTATCAGGCACTTCCTTTATTCCTCCAATCCAGCTGATTCCAAATTGACCAATCTCTAGTTTACAAGCATATCCATCTTCCTCCCTATCTACTTATCACAGCTCCTAAAACAAGGTGATAGTTCCATGTCTTATACATGCTGGAGTGCTATCATTAATCAGACCCTACTTCTTAGAGCTTCATTAAGCTCTTAATGAAGGTTTTGATATAGCATAACATAAAATATAAAAAAAGAAAAAAGAAGAATGAAAAAAGAAAAAGAAAAAAAAAATAAAATTACACTAGTCCTCACTCCAGAGGTAAAAAGGCACCAAATCTTAGTGTAGTAAACGGAGAAAAAGAAAAAAAAAAAAAAAAATCTCCACACGCATCCAATTTTGAAGTTATAATAAGCCAAAAAGGGACTTGCAGTGCGTAACAGTAGAAGCCAATAAAAGGAGAAGAAATTTAAACAACTTTATATCACGTGTAAATAAAGGACACTTCCTACATCAAAAGAAAAACAAACAACTCTGCTAACGCTTCCAAAATATAGTCAAATGATAAATTAGCCCTACTAAATATATTAGAACATGATAACCCTGAACTAGAAACTTCTGCAGAAGTACCAACATTTAGAGATTAGAAGGATAAGAAAACCTGAACAATAGATTAAACAAGAATATGTAAATAATGAGAAATCAAAATTACTTTTAATTATCTTATCAAAAAAATTATTTGAAATAACTATACAGAAGATGATACATGAGAAGAGATAATGCCACCTACTTCTTCTTATCAACGTCAGGAATGTCACTCTTTTCAGCCTTTTCCACAATTACCTGCAACAGAAGCTAAAGTGTGAGAGAAGTACAACAAAACCGGTATACTAAGCATCGCTAACCACAATCCACTAATTCATTTCATTTAAAGAAAAAGAAATTTTACTGGTATTCTATCAGGATACTTCTCTCTGATGCGACCAGCTTCAGCCTGCCTCTTTTCTGGCATGTAAAAAACAATAAAATCAACATGAAACAAACAAAAATATTATGGTAATAAAATATTTTACTCATTCCCAATTTCCCATTGAATAAAAAGATAACAAAAAATACTAAGAAATTAAAAAAAATGAAAAATAAGTAAGCTCTACTTGGGACACTTAGGAAGAAAATGCAAGGAATAGAAGCATGACATGGTTGTCCTTGAAACTCAGGCCTTTAAAATTTATTAACCATTCAGCAACCTTGATAAAATAGATAGTACCCGTTAACAATGATTTGTATACAATGACAAGGGGGTCCACATGTCGACATGGATATGGTCCAACTGCCACAATATATTTGTGTGGCTGTTTTCTTCCTGAATCTGGTATCACCTTAAAGTTGTTTGAGAATTTGAGGTTGAATTTTTTATTCTATAATGAGTTTATGACATTGTCAAACTAAGATTGTATTAGCAATATTCTTACTTGCTCAAGCAGGCATATGAGACATGAAACATACAAGGGTCATAATGAAATTTTGGAAATTCGCAAACATCTTAAAAGATTACAAATATATAAATGAACTAAAAAATTCTGCATCACCCAAAATAAAACAACAAATAACGAGTCTACCAAGCCGTGCTTCTAGTTCAGGGAAAGGTTATTTAAGAAACATCCCCCCACCCACCCACACCTTTTTTCTTACCACAAGTCTTTTAAGAAGAAAAGATCCTTCCGTTTTTACCTCTTATGCAGAAAAATAATTGTCTTCTTTTTTAAGAGAGAGTGATATGTCGCTTTGAGTCCCTGGCTTTTGGTCGGATAAGAACATCTAGCTCATGAGCGCAGGAGTCAAACACAAATAAATTCTCAAACCATGTCAATGCACATTTTTATATTAACAAGTGCCAACTATAGCCTGTTAATTATCTCTTAGGAGATGCGCAAGAGTGTAGAAATTATGGAAGAATTGAATTAATAAGTCGTACAATTAAACTATTAAACTATCCAATATCCACCCTGAAAACCATATTTCTTATAAGACAAATAATAGAAGAGTGTAGGAGTAAACAAAAAAACTTACACATGTTTTTCTAATACTTAGAGAAATATATGAAAAGAGTGTCAAGGGACATATTTGGTTGGCGACTTGGCGTTACAAAGAAAGCAAGCATAAATCTTATTCGGGATATGTACACTGAGACATTCACTCGGGTTCATTCTAAATGTGGAGAAACTAGTGAATTCTCTACAAAAGTAGGATTAAACCAAGGATCAGTGTCAAGTCCATACCTATTTACAATGGTGTTAGATAAAATGGAAAAAATATATCCAAGAAAACATTCCATGGCGTTGTGGTTTACTGATGACATAGTTTTGTTTAGATACAATAAAACATTCCGTGGTGGTGTTGTTTACTGATGACAGTTTAGTTAGATACTTCTAAGGAAGCCTTAGTAACAAATTTAGATAAATGGAGAAAGACTTCAGAAGCAAAAGGCCTAAAAATTAGTAAAACTAAAAAAATATTCATGGAACGTAAATTTGATAAAGTATCAGAAAATGACTATATAGATTTTACAATTCAAGACCGATGCAAGGATAAGAATGGAATAGATACATGGTGTATTGTAGAGGAAAAAGGAAAAAAAAAAAAAAAAAATCCCCTGGATAAGTTTTGCGACCAAGCGGTGTTCGTAATAGAAGCGCAATAAGCTTGTGCATGTTAAGAATTGTTTGATCATCTTTCTCAAGGAAGAAGCAAAATATAATCAACTCAAATTTGGGACCTCTATTCGAAATCTTAGTGAAACGTTATAAATGGAAAGACATGGTGTAAAATAGGAAATAATGGAAAAGAGAATTCATGTAATCGACCCCATCCATGGATAAATGCAAGGATGATGATGATACAACAATTCATTTTCACACGTGCACAAAGTGGGTGGAATTCAGTTTATAAGTCTAATTTGGGTGAAATTTTAAGACGTCTTTCACACAATAAACACGGGAAAGGGGCATTATTATATTGTTTAAGATGACTTAAGCCAGAACAAACTCTATGATTGCAAGATTTATTCTGGTGTCACCAATAATTATGTGTGCCGTGACAGCCTAAGCAAGATTCTTAGACAGACACTAGCTACACCACCATTATTATCATCTTCCATAGTTTCTTCTGAACTTGCTTATTGTGGAAATGGTCTACATAAGTAAACAAATAATGTAATGTGCATTTTAAGTATCATTTACTCGACGATTTTACTATTATATCAATATAGAAATTAAAAATGAAAATTCTTCCATTACAATAGACGAGACATAACTCCAAAATACCAAAAAAAGAAAAAGAAAGAAAGAAAAAAAAAAAGGAGCTATTATGACTTTAATATGCAACTACTGCTTGAGTATGAGCACCATGCCCATTATGGCAGTGACAAGTCTTGCAAAGCTCTTTCAGTACAGGCAGTGACACCCTCAAGCAGCAAAACAATTTTTTGAGTGAATGGCCTTATCTATAGACCAAGCTTATAATCCAATCACCAAAATGCCACGTTCTATGAAATAATCTTAGAGGATTTTTTTTTTCTTTTTCGCTGAGCCATCTTAGAGATTCCAATCATTTATTCATGTCAGTTCTTGTAAAGAAAAAGTAATGAGCAAACTAGAAAATGCTGTACTGAACGCTAAATTTATGTGTTGTCTGATAGAACAAAAAAAAAAGTATTCAAAATTTTAAGAACTGAATTTTAAATGATGAAGTTTTAAGTGAGAATTTTTTATTTTTTGAAATTTAAGTTGGCGCTAAATGGCATCAGTGTCACTAAAATTCTACCTCATTTTAAGTGGCACTTATTTTATTAAGTGATATTCAAATGGCGTTATTACACACTTAATTGGATAAGCACTTAACCTATTTAGAATTTAAGTGTTGAATTGTGCTATCAAACACCACATAATGTGTACAATTTAAAATAAAAATTGGCCGGTAATTAGTGTTTTCTAACAGCAAGATAGCTCACAAGGACTTCTGACCAAATGAGGGGTTGCAGTCTCTACAGAAACAACAATTTAATGCCTTGTCCTCAAAAGCAGGTGAAATGAACCTTTGAGTTCATGCAAGATTCAAATCACCAAACAGAACACACCAAATAGCCTCTAGAATTTTATAAGAAAACATTACATCCACCAAGTCAACTAAACTCTTCAAAACATAAACTCTAAAATAGAAATTTCAAAAATTATAAGGAATTACTCCTGAATATTTTCAGAATCATATGACTGGGAAACTGAAGTTTTAATGTCTGATAGCAGCACAGTTATAAGACCACACTTAACAAATTCATGTACCACAAGCATGAATAAGCATCACCGAATGTGATGATCATGCATGATACAACACAAATTTTGGAATACATAATAGCATTTAATGAATGAACTCCATAATTAACAAAATGCTTCATCAAAAGGCATCTTTTTTTTTTTTTCATAAATCATCCTCCAATCCTGAATCCAACAGACAAATACAGGAGAAGCATAATTAACCAGAATCATCAGAAATTTAAAATACTTCAAACATTATAGACAAAATATGAGAAATCATGAAGGTACAGTGATCATACTTATATCATAACTAGTCTCAAGAACTAGCCATTAAAGCAAACAATTAAAAAGTGCCAAACTAAATATTTCACAAATCAACCAGAATCAAGATAGGAGACGTAGGGAATATATAAATATACATCACAAATAATATATATACAGGAAAAGAAGAACAAACCCAAGGAGTGTTCGAGTTTGAATGAGCTTTTGGCCATGGCAGGACTCAGGGTACCACGATTTCTATCTGCGAATTTTAAACAACGAAAAAACATTACAACCCTACATAAGGGCTCTCAACAAATACAACACTCATATACGTACTCATATATACATATATAAATATATGTATTTGTATAGAAAATGCATATGATGACAAGGAAAAAGAACCATTAACGTGAAAGTATTACCAAAGAAGGAAGCAAAGAGTTGGAATTGGTGAACAGGGTTTGCAGATTGTGATTGATTGATCGGAAGATGGAAAAAGCTCTAGCCGTCAAAATCAAGAAAGAGAAAGAGGCCGTGATTATTGACTGCGAATATATATACTACTATAATTTATATAATTGGAACAAATTAGGGTTTCTGTATTCCGACTCCAACACGAAATCGAAAGACGAGAAGGTTTTGGAACTTGTTCTGTTTTACAAGGAAACTCCGTTCGTTCGGTTGCGTGAACGGTAAAGGCTTAAAAGGAGATCTCTTGGTTTTGGGGTGTGCTAATTATTGATTTTCTTTCAATGGGTAAAAAAAAATACGGAGTAATAATAAATTAATAAATAAAATATTGATTTTTTTTTAATTATTATTCAAAAAAAAAAAAAAAAAGCTAGATCGATTACATAAATTCTGTTCAATTTTATTCCAATAGCTGGTATAAAAGAAGAAAATTTATGCTGTTTTTGGAATGACATTTGGCAAGAATTGAATTTTAGAATATTGTTAGTTAAAAGGGATAAAATGGAACTAGATAAGGGAATTCAAACACCAAAAATAATAATTAAAAAAAACTTTTTTATTTTTATTTTGAAACCATTTGAAAATGGTTGGAATTTAAGGAATTTAAAATTTGCTAAATTTAATTTAATCATTTATTCAATCTCTCCCTATTTAGCATCTTAAATTCTAACTTTTCTAAATGTGAAAATGGAATTTCATTCGTCCAAATCCTTTCACATTCTTTACCTTTTTAAAAACTGTGTTTTTAAACAATTCAACTACAAGTAGATTGTTAAAATCATATAAGTTTCAATTACCTTGTTAGTTTGTATCATAATTTGATTCAATTATCCAAGGTTCTCTAATTAAATAGTATGATTTCTACCTAAAGGGAAAGTAGGAATCTCATTAAAGATGTTAGATAATGAGTGTAAATATATATATATATATATATATATATATATATATACACACCTTTAATATTATGTCATTTGACTATATTTGTGTAAATTGAAATACAGATTTTGTTAAGTATAATTTTAGTATAATTTTGAACTAAAGAATTGGTACACGTTTTATTTTTGGTGTCTGTTTTTGTTGGGTACCGTAGCAGTGGAAAATATGTGTTTAGTAAAAAAAAATTTATTTTGTTTCGTAAATAGTGAAAAAACAGAAACACCAATTTGGTGTTTTTACATGTTTTAACATTGTAGTAATCACAATGTTGAATAGAAGAAAAATAATAATAATAATAAAAAAAATCTTAAATAATATTTTTAAACTTGTAACACTTTTTTACCAAACTTATTTTCATGTTTTTGCTTTCAAAAAATTTACAACAAATGAATGTTACCACACATATTTTCAATTACTGTTCAAAACACTTTGTAACGGTTAAAATATAGCGTCAAAAACAAAACACCGAACCAAAGACTACCTATATTTATTTTTCAATTCCATCAATTTTAATTCCAAGACACTAATTTCATGCACCGGAACATAAGCATTTGATATGATTTCTCAAAATAAAAAACATATGTGTGATAGTTCAAAGAAAAAATTCACAGCCATTTGTTTAAACTCATAATAGATATACTTGTAAATTTTCATATGGATATAATAGTTTAATTTTATTAAATAAGCCAAAGAAAGATATTCTTTAGTTAATTAATACTCCATCTGTCCTAATAAAATATATATATATATATATATATATATATATATATATATATTTGTATTATTTTTTTTATTATTTTAAGAGATTGACTTCTATTGTTTTTTTTATTATGTTGGTAAGTAAATGAATTATAAAATTTATATGATAGTTTATTTTTTATAAGTTAAATGCAAGGATAAATTGATATTGTTAAAAATAAAAATAAAAAAAGTAAATTGTAATTATATTTTCTGAGCTTTCGGTGAACGAGTAATGCACTTGGTTTATATTGAGATTTCAAAAACTTACATACACACCCTCTAGATTTCTTACACTTGAAAAAATGACCATTTAACTTTTGACTTCATCAACAAATGCATAAAAAAAAAAAAGTTTAAATTACCAATATAACCTTGTAAGCTAAAATTTGAAGGACCAAAATCCTGCACTCTCTCTATCCTCACCACGATGCCTTGACGACAATGGCAGGTATGGCGGATTCCTGCGGTGACACAACAGAGCTGATGGCTTCAGTTTTGGGATTTGGTGACGAATAGCAACCAATGAGGCGATGGAGAAGCAGAGATGATCACTTAGCGATTGGGGTTGTTTAGATTTTCGACGACGGAATATTGATGGTAAGGGGTTTGTTTCGATCTGGGTGTGTCAAGGACTGATTTGGTCTTAAGGGCTTGGGTTTGTAATTGGGTTTCCAATATTGGGGTTTGATGGTTCAGGGTACGGTTTGCTGGTTGTTGGTTTAGCGACAACGGGACTGATGGGTTTGGGACTTGGGGTCTGTTTGGGGACTAATGGGTATGGGTTGTTGCAGACTATGGTTATAGATGGTCACTGTCGGAGATAAGAGATTGGTTCACTGTCGGAGAGAAGATCGATTACAAGTTTTTTGTCATTGCGGTCGCCGGAGTTTTTCATTGCCACCGATGATGGTCATCGCCGTGTCTTGCAGTCGTTGACATTTGTGGTTGGAGCGTTGGGCTACGCCGTCATCAGCTGTAATCGTTGTCACCGTGCGCGCCGGATTTGTGGTTCCTCGGGCCATCATCAACGGCGATAGCTAGCTTCTCCATCGAATTCTTCTTGACGGAGCTCCGATCCGGCGACGGCTTTGCCCCTGATGTGAAATTCTTGGTTAGATGGTGATTGGAGATGGTCGCGATCTCTAATCCCTCTCTTTCTCATGCTCTCTATGTATTTTTCGGTGGGAGGAGGCGGCGACGTGGGTGTAGGCCGTAGGTGGTGGTGGATAAAAAAAGAGAAAGGGTTTTGTTTTTTTGGTAGAGAGAGAATCGAAGAGAGGAAGAGTTGTCTGTTTTCTAGGATTTGAATTTTTTTTTTTTTTTTTTTTTTTTGGTGGTGGTGGTGCTGAGGGTTATTTTTGTCCAATTAACCGATTTGATAGTTGTGAATTAAATAATCAGGTTTAATATGACTTTTAAAATTTTAGGAATGTCATCGTAAATTGATGAGAAAAATTTAGGAAGTGTGACTACAATTTACCTTTTAAAAAAGAAAAAAAATTATAATAATATTTTGACTTTTCATTTGAGGCTTTTATTTTGGAAGGGCCAAAATAAAAAGATGAACATATATATATATATATATATATAGAATTTTGTGATACCAATAAAAAGCAATTTAATCACTACCTTTAATCTCTATTATTCAAAGGGAAATAACTGAAAATTCAAATCAAGAACAAGTGAGTGGCATATGTTATTTGTCAGGATTTAGAAAAAATAAAAAAAATTGCAAGGAGAAGCAGCCACAAATAGCAAGGGTGGACCGCAGGTCTGGTTGTCCTCGTTCCATATATACTCAGTAGGTAACTTCATCAAAGAGGCTCTCTGGCACTTTCATATACCACGAATGTGTGTGTGTGACTCTGTGTGTATGTGTGCCTCTGTTACCTCTCTCTGTCATTATATAGATGGATATATATACATATGCGGTGGAAATAGGGTTGGCAATGGGGCGAATTTGAGCGGGTGTACCTTTTCCTGTTCTCGTAACCGTTTAAAAATTTCGCCCCCGTCTCCTTCCAAAATCGTAAGAAGGATTGCAACATTCCTTTTAATCAAATTCATTTATTACTTCAATATTGTTATATAGGATACTTAATATATAGTGTGAAATAAATATATATACTAATAAAATAAGGGTACTTAAGTAATTTGTTTATCTAAATGTGACGGTGCGAGGCGACCTCTCCCCGCCTCCATATCAAATCCGCGCGAGTTTTTATTACATTAAATCATTCTCGCTCAAATAAGTAAAACAGCACCCAAAACAGTCAAAAACAAGACGGAGTGGGGCGAGTAACTGCAGGGACATGTCAAATTGCCATCTCTAGGTGCAGAGCTGAACATACGGAGCAGAATAATGGGTGAGTGCTATTCTTCATCACAACAGCTGCAGCAGCATTCTTAAGAGATTTCAAGCTTTGAAGAAAAGGTGTGTGGCCATTTCAAAATAGCAGAGGTCAAGGTTCTACATTTTAAGCCTTGTTATGTTATTATGTTGGCAAAACTACGACAACTATTGATACTAGCTAGATATGGAAGAAAAAAAATTGGCTAAGACCACAACAAAATTAGTTATTGGAAGTAGTACAGTCCACGTAAGAGTTCCCTACATATATCTAGTTTCTACTTCAATTATTATTGATCCTTGACGAATGGTTCCTTTTTGGCTTCACTTTTCTCTCTCTCTCTCTCGTCCGTGTTGCTAGGCTTCGTTCATTCTTGGCAACCTAGCTAGCTTGGTGCTCAACAATGAAGTGAACCTTGAGCCGATGCTAACTTTTAATCATTTGCTAGATCAATGTAATTTTTTTGCTTTGACAATGTTGTAAACATCGTTTGTATTTCTTTTTTTAAAAAGTAATGACATGTTTAGTGAAAATAAGACGAAGGATAACAGATGTTCAATAACGTTGAAAATAAATTACATGTATGTACAGCTGATTATATTATTAAGCAATTTAAGCTTATATAACTGTAGCTTATTTCCAACGCGGTTCAAATTTGAAAATGAACTTGAATTCTCGATTAGTTGTATTAGCCTCCTCAACTCGGATGACCAACCCAAATTTGAAAACACACTCCACCTTAATGTGTTAAACAGGTTGGTGCAGTTTCCATTTCGCTGCCACCCAAAATATTTAAATAAATAAAGTAAAATGATCAAATTGCTATAACAGAGAATTCCATTATTACTTGGGAGTTGGGATGAGTGCTTAGAGTAGTTGAAGCGACTCACCAAGATAGTGGCCCCATATATCGTGGGTCCCACTGCAAGCATCAAAGGACCCTTGTCAACTAATAATTTGTCTACTCAATCTAAGGGCTCTAATCCAATTATATATATAGAAGGAGAAAGTTTATGTGTTTCAAAAATAAATAAATAAAATAAAAATTGGCTACTCAATAAATCAATTTCCCTTTAATTAGTTTTGATTGTGACATGGATTCCAAATACAGTAGTTGTAAGTTCCATCTACTTATCTGGAAATGAAATCCAACTAGAATTACAGGAGTTTTGTCACCAAAGACATCATATGGAATTTCCTCAGCTCTTAATTACTTCAGAAGTTACTTTTGATTTTTGCAGGGTGACTCACTTAATGGATATAACTACTGATTATGACGCATGCATTATTAATTAGGTAAATTCAAACGTAACCACACTAAGCTAGAAGCAAATTAACCTGCCCACTTTTAGTAGTATAAAACCCCTTTGTTTTGTCAAACCAAATGACAATATATAGATATAAATATATATACTTGTTTTCTGGTTCTTGAAAACGAAATTTGCTTTTATTCCAAAAAATATTAATAAGTTACCAACCGAGGAGGAATATTTCGGTTTCAAATTCAAATGCAGGTGTCACAGTATTAACATGCCATCTACATAAATGCACACTGAAACCTCCAGATTTGCTTCTGTGAGCTTTTTCATCGTTTCTAAGCTTTTGAATAAATATACCAACCTCCTCCTGCTGTTGGGTTGTTGGCAAATTCAATGCTATCTTCTTCATAACTACATCTCACCCACCGGCCATCTCTCTCTCTCTCTATCTCTCTCTCGATATACCTCTCTCTCATATATACTTATTTGTATATATATAGAGAGAGAATTAAGATTCTCACACGACATCTTCACTACTACAATATATTGTAGGCCATCTTCTCCACATCTCTCATTCATCTCCTACATCTTCAAGCAAACCGGCCGATGCATTCATTTTTATTCAGAATTGTTCAATATATACTCTACTACTTGTTTTTTACTTATGTTTACAGGTGCTGTTGTAGTACATACGTGATATTGGTGCGGTTGAACCAGAGAGTAGTGCTCTAAGTCTAGAGCTCTATTATTTGATTGAGCCGTGCCAATATCACGTATAATCTCGACTAATGATCACAGCTTTCTCCATCAATGGACATCTTTTGAAGGTAGTTCACTTTTTAATTTTGTTGACAAACACTTGGATTAACAGGATATATGTCTCCTTTCATATTACCTAATTCACAACAATATTGGTAACATATTCGGGTTTGAAGTCTATTTGTACTTTACCTCATTAAACAGAGTTCGAGGTCTTGCATCTTACCCTGTGAAAACTTCATAAAAAATCTTTTATTTAGCACTTTATGAATAGTATCTGGAAAGCTTGTACGTGTTTCCTACTGGATTATATTAATTATCTGCTTTTGAATCATTTTTTTATAGTTAATTTTACAGTATCATGTTATTATAGATCGACTAGCCATTTCATCTGTATAGTGGCAACAAATTAAGGCCATTTTCATTCAACAAAAAACAACTTGACCTTATATATATGTAGCACCTTGTTCCAACCTTTTATGGCAAAGTTAAAAAGGTTCAAATTTTCACTATCTTTTGGATCAATATAATTCTTTTCCATTTTCCCTTTTTGTGTAGAAGCAGCCATGGTCATCTCTATATTAGCAAACAGTTTACACGATTAGGTTACTTTTTTTTTCTTTTTTTTTTTATAATTTAAAACCGACAAAGAACTTTAATTGTAATATTTTTAGAAAGATTTAAACCATCCACCTTTTCCTTTAACAGAAGAGAAAATACTCGCTAGATCTCAAACCCTAGTCAGCACTGTTGATAGTAGGTAAGGATGAACTTTGGCATAGAAAAACATTTAGGTAGTATAAATTATACTACGTAAATTATATAAGCATAAAGTTTTTCTTTATATAATGTATAAAATAAAGGCCCTCTACCCTTTTTGACAAAGTGGTATAGGTTGGTGCAATTTTTATTTTCCAAGGTTCATATAATTCTAAATTTTAGAGATCTAATTCAACATTACTATATACTTGAGGGGATCAATTTTGGAGGTAAGATATATATATATATATATATATATATATATATATATATATATATCAATGTGAAATGGATTTCACTGTGAGATTAAGGTGGAATCTTGAGGTGGGATGCAACATTAAGATTCCATAAAAAAATTATCAATTAAAGGTGAAAAGAAGTGAGTGAGTGGATTGCATCCAACATTTTCTCTTTGTTTTTTTTTTTGTCCCCCCTGAAATTCCGAATGAAAATTACATACTACTATTTGTGAGTGGGTGTATGTTAGGTTGGTTTTTGACAGGGCGTTATGAAATAAGTCACCAAACAAACACTACTTGATTAATAATATAAGACAATAACAAAGTGTTTATGTCAAGGACGAGGTCATGATGATGGTGGGTAAACGTAATTATTCAAGATGATGTTAAAATGGTTATTTAAGATGAGTCTGACTTAAATGAAGTATGAGTTTTTGTAAATAATTGCGTGCATTCGAAATTTGCAAATCGTTGAAGAGTCCAAAGTAAGGAGTAGTTGATGAAGTGATCATTTTCTCTTTGCAAGTTAGGTCCAAAACTTGATAAATGTTGGATGAAACAATTATTTGGATAATTGGATCATCGCTATTTAACTTAGCTTCAAATATCGTCGGGAGTGAAGTTAGAAAATAGGAAGAAAAAAAAAAAAAAATTACTTTAAGTTATTTTATTATTATTTTTTCTCATTGGCAATAAACTATGGGGAAATTAAGTCACTTAACCTTTGCCTTCCATTTTGAAAGGTATAGAAGATACCACTAAACTTTGATTTTGATGGCGATTAAAGTGATCATTTTCTCTTTTCAAGTTAGGTCCAAAACTTGATAACTAACATTGGATGAAACGATTATTTGAATAATTGGATCATCGTTCTTAATTTAACTTAGTTTCAAATATCGTCCAGAGTGAAGTTAGAAAAAAAAAAAAAAAAAATTACGAACTTTTAAGTTATTTTATTATTATTTTTTCTCATTGACAATAAACTAGGGACTTAAGTCACTTAATCTTTGCCTTCCATTTTGAAAGGTATAAAAAATATCCCTAAACTTTGATTATTACGGAGTACTCCGTGTTGGTTGAGCCTGAAATTCTTCTTAAGAAATTCTTTAAATCGGACCTAGTCAGATTGATTTGGTCTATCAGCTGCTTCAGGCCCGACGGGCCTCAGACTTAAAACTTTGGATTCAGATCAGCCTGGGGTCGTTGAGCCATTTACCATCCATAAGTATATGTGGGCTCAAAGATCCAAGTGGTTTAGAGGTTTTTATTATTTTTCACATATTAGACTGTATTTTAGGAGTAATGCTAAGAAGAGAGTGTTGACAAGGGCCACTAAAACTTTCATTTGACTTTGACAAATCTCACCAACTTTGGAATGGGTGATTTTGTCGAAATTGGATTTGAAATAAGATTATCCCGTGTTTAGAATGTGTGGGTTTTTAAAGGATTGAAATTTGACGGGATTTCATGAGAAATATATTACGTAATAACATAAACAAATCATGGAAAATCCCTATTTCTTTTCAAATTTCTTTTTACAAATCCCATTTTATTCCAAAGTAAAGTAGAATTCCAGATTGATTACAATTCAATTTTAGTTTCAAATCTTAGAAGTATTTGGTTCCAAACAAAGCAAGTTTCTTTATTTCTTTATTTTTTATACACATTCACATACCTCTTCTTTTTTTTATTTTTTTTTTCCTCATAAGGACTTGAACACTTTTTATTTTAAAAAGTGAGGATCTGTCATGAAAGAATTAAGGCCTTTAATCTGCCATCAAGTGAGCAATTAAGGCCGCTTTGTTTGGAATCAAATCTTTTGGGGTTTCAAATTAGAATTGGAAAAGTGATTGGATTCTAATTAAAATGGAATTCCATTTTGTGTTTGGAATAAACTAAAATTCATTTAAAGGAAAAAAAATTTGTTACATTCATTTTATGCTTGTATTTTTTAACCTATAATCGTATAATAACGTTATATTTGAATCAGTTTGTAAATTTAGACCAAACTTATAAAATTAAAAAATAAAAATACAAAAATAATGTACTACAAAGATTAGGCTTTGTAGATGGAGAGATAATTTTGATAAATTAGAAACATGAGTAGTAACTTTAGGATAGATAAGGGATAATTTTGGTAAGTTATAAAGCAGTTATCAAATCTTCTCAAATTTTCCCTGGATTTGTGTAGGCTTTAAAATTTCCTTTCAAATCCCAATTCTTTTAAAATCTCAATCATTCCAAACATCTTAAAATATATTTTCAAATCTAATTCCAAAAAAATCCTCCCATCCCAAACAGCGAATGGATCTCACTTTCAGGCCATTAAAGTCTTTTAAATCATTTCCCTTCTCAAAATCATTTCCATTAAAGTCTTTTATTCCTATTGATATGTGTGTATTTTTTTTTAACTTAGATATGTGAGTGTGTAAAAACGTATATTTGAATCAGTTTTCAAATTTAGACCAAATCTATAATATGAAAAAATAAAAATACAAAGATGGTGTCCTATAAATATTACACTTTGTAGATAGATAGATAATTTTGGTAAGTTTAAAACATGAGTAGTAACTTTAGAGGGCAGAGAGTGAAAAAGTAACAAAATAGAGATAATTTTGGTAAGTCAGATAGCATATTCCAAATCTCCTCAAATCTTTCCCATTTTTCTCCCAATTTGTGCATATTAACTTACGAAATTGAGTCAAATTCCAATTCATTTAAAATCCCATTCATTCCAAACATTTTCAAATCCAAACCAATAAAATCCTCCCAGACACAGTAAGTTAATGACCTCAAATGGGACCCAAACATTGATATCACTTCAGGCCATTAAAGTCTTTAAATCATTTCCCTTCTCAATATCGTCTTTCTTTTTTTAATTTAAATGGTTTTATACTTGCATGATTGTATAATATTTTTTACTTTACTCCACTCGAAGCTCCAATTCACTATCAAATGTCATTGTCAAAAGTCATGCCTTCAATTTCCTTTAGAGACATATACAACCAAATACGAGTATACTACTTAAATAATTACTATATTTTATGATATAATAAAATTTATATAGTTCGGCTTCTTGTGCTGAAGAAATGAAGATTCATAATACCAATTGGAACAAATAATTCAGGAAAAAAAATTAGAAGAAATATAAAAATTAAATGTAATAGAAATGATAAATCCAATAGCATCCAAACTTGATTATTTACCAAAAAAATTAAAAAAAAAAAAAAATAACAGTCCAACTTATGTACCAAAAAAGAAAGAAATAAAATAGCAGCCCAACTTATTTACCTAAAAAAGAAAAAATAGAAAGGATAGCATGAAGTACATATGCAATCCAAGAGACAGCTGCCTAATTTTCTCTTCTTTCACAAGGAGAAAGTCCAGAAATCGTAGCTCTGACCACTTCTAGAAACTCTGTTTTACCCACCTCGTGAGTACAATACATGCTAGCTATATATATATATATATATATATATATATGTATGTGGAAATACAACAAAATAAACAAAGATAATTAAACTGATTAGGACCCTTGTCTATGATGATGACGATGATACAATTATAATTATTAATTTATGATGCTACAAAATGATGATGATGATAGTGATGGGGATGGTGGTTGGGTGAGAACTAATTTACTCTAAAAAACCAGTTTTGGTTAAAATGGCATTCCTTACTTTGCTGAGGTCTCTTCCTTTGAGTGTCCTTCCAACCCCTTCACACATAGAGAAAGAAGTAATCTGAGTCCTTGCAAGCTTCCTAGCAATATATTCATGTGGTGGGACCATCTCATCATCATCATCATCTTCAACATCAGCATTGTTGGTACCATACTGATCCTCATCATCATCATCAACCATTGAACCTTTCTTTGCATTCTTCTTCTTATAAATCTTTGACCAATCAGGGATGTTCACAGGTGCTGATGATTGTTGACTTGTCCCAGTACTCTCAGTTGCCCTTGGGATCACTCTTGGAGCTGCAGGGAGGCGCCATGCAGATGATGATGATGAACTTGCAGATGAATCCTTAGACCTCGGCCTCGTCGTCGTCGTCATCTTAGGGCTTGAATCTTCTCTCTCCTTCACCAGATGAGCCCAAACTTCTTCTTCTTGAAAATCTTCATCTGCCATGCTTTTTTTATAGCCTCCAAAAAAAAAATTACCCACTACTCAAAAAATGGGTGCCAAAGGACTTAGAACAAAAAAATAATAAAAAATTCACTCCCCACAGTATATGGATAAGAAAAAGGAGGTTGTTTGTTTCTTTTTTTTTTTTTTTTTTTTTTTTTTTTTTTTTTTTTTGGGTTTTCTAGGGAATCAGAAAGGGAAAAAAAAAATTGGTGTAAGAGAATAACACCAGGAATCTACCTTGCCTTTTTTCCAATGACCTCCAAACAAACAGAGGTTTTTAAAGTTTTCATAAATGCATAGTATTAGTAGGCCCCTAACTTAAAACAACCAAAAATATATATATATGTTGCAGTAATTTATACAAGTTATAATGTGAATGACCCAGAAATAAAATTTACCCTTGTGTGTAGGTTTTGCAAAACTCCAAAGAAAGTCACATATTTCAAGTAGGGTGTTCCTGCAACAATCAGTAGGTAAAAGACAACAGATTGTAGAGATGTGTATGAATGAATGATGTGGGGTTTAAGCTTTCGTGGCCATCCAAACTGGGAAAAAAGGGGAGGGAAAAGAAAGGAAAAAGGAAAAGAAAATGATGGATTAAAAATGAGAGAACCTCAGTTGCCAATATGTTTTCTTCTGTACTCTTTACCTGGAAATGATTTGAAACGGAAAGGACGGTTTCATAATTAAAAAGTCCAAAACGCCCACAGAAACTTTAATATGATGAGATCAGTAGACGACAAATTACTACTACCACTACAACTTAAAAAACAGGTTTTGTGTGTTTGTGTGTGGGTCTGAGGACTGTGAATTGTGAATATTATAAAACCTTTGTAATTGTAACCTCTTTGAGCATGTACAAAAAAACAGAGATTTGAGAGAGTACATACATTCACCGTCTAAGAATTGTATGCGAGAGGAATGTGAAGGCAGGCCTTATTTATGAGTAATAATTTCTCTCTGATGCGTTGATCTTAATCATTAATTATCATAAAGTCAAATGAAAAAATTTATTGTTTTCCTTTATTTTGACAAAGAAATGAACCTGTACAAATTCAAAAAATCATTTTTTTTTTGTTTCTCTCCTTATTCAGAAAAACTCATAACGTATCTAGACATATTCATGAATCTGTTAATATATATATACATATATATATTAAGGATGTTTTTTATCATCAGTTACTATAATTTTATTCATAGAATATATAATCTTATCCATTAAATGACTCATGAATCTATTAATAGTTGTCAATTTAAAAAAGTTTGAGTCATTACCACCTTTTATTTTTAAATCATTTGATATTATTTTTAGTCATATTCCTTTAATATATATATATACTACCTATATTCCATATTAAAGATTTATTTCGATAACTTTGATTTACAAAAATTGTGAATCAAACTTTTTAAAATTGACAACTAATATGGAACAGAGGGAATATATATTAGGATATTTTGTATCATCAGATTCTTTAAATCTTATTCATACAAAATAATCTTATTCACTGAATGAGTTGGATTCATTTGAAAATTACTCCGAATTTTCGTACTAAATTCATTTAACACGTATTAGGGTGCTATAAGCAGTTATTTGAACAGAAAATTTCACAATTTCATATACTGTGAACATTATTCATCAGTTGAATTTCATCAAGTCTTAAAGCAAATGGGATTGGACAATCACAACCCTTAATAATACAGCATTTTATATGAGTAAGTAAATTATTTATATGTCTCTCCACTGTTAATTGGGAAAGGTGGAGAAGAAAGATTTGGTGATTTCGGTAATCTTATCCAATTTACAATACCATTAGTTAAGCTTTAAACATCGATTTTAAGGATGCCAATACAGCATTTTATATGAGTAAGTAAATTATTTATATGTCTCTCCACTGTTAATTGGGAAAGGTGGAGAAGAAAGATTTGGTGATTTCGGTAATCTTATCCAATTTACAATACCATTAGTTAAGCTTTAAACATCGATTTTAAGGATGCCTAGGAAGGGGTGCTATGGAGTAAAAGCACCTGGTTGGTTGATGGAGTACATTGACTTTTAACTGTGACTCAACTTCCATTACTACTCTTCGTGCTTCAATGCTTCCTGGGTTTTGGGGATTATTAGTGTGTGTGTGTGTGTATATATAATCATATATAGATAAATAGATATATAGAGATATGGATGCTGTAACTTGTAATGTATATAAATGTGGGGGCAGTTATATGTCAGGGTGGCGGGTTGAGAGGTCTTCTCAACTCAAATCAGGAGCAAGTGCGTGGGTCAACATTTCATTTTAATTCATGCAATGAGATAGTCAGTACACAGTAGTAGTGTATATATATATGTATAATTTTTCATGACACATTTATTAAAGAAAGAATCATGGTAAAAATAATTGCTAAATATTAATTTTTAGAGCAACTAGATAAAGTCCAATGAAGACTAATTGAATCTCTCACTTAATTGTTTATCTCAATCATTAATTGTCACATCAATTGATAACAAAAATTGACATATTTATTATTCTCCTTATCATTTTCCTTAAAAACAAAAGGGAATGATTATTCTCCACAATAATCACAGCCAAATTTTCTTGGGAAAATGATAATTACCCATATCAGTATAGTGTTAGATGGGAAAAAAAAAATGACGAAAAAAAAAAATCCAACTTACCATAAGTAAACACTGACACAACATCTTAGCATTATTTTAACCTTACGTGATTTTTACATAAACTAATCGCTCTCATACTTAAAAGTGTCTTCGTGAATATGATACAAATAGTGCTAATATAATAAAATGTAAAAAATTGGATCTTGGTTCTTGTTCTCATGTTCGACCATGCCTTTTTTTACTTAGAAATTAACTGAGTATCCTAGAAATACCAATAATACAATACCCCAACCGATGGTAAATTAATATTTCCTATCATCAACAAAAATAATAGGCATTCATTGGCCGGGATATTATAAAGTTGATACTAAAAATCTGTTACAATCGTTGAGGAAAATATTTCAACCACCACAATTTGAGTGTTTTCATTAAAACATGTGCGTATAAACTATAATGCTTCACCCACTAGAATTCGTATTAGATTGAGTTGGTACATCAAGTGGTGTCCAAATAAGAAATTTAATGCACAAAAAATCAGTCTGTCAAATTCTCCAGACAGATAAGGCCTCTTTCAACCGTCCAAAAAGGGATCCATTTCACTTGATATGATAAGATAAAACGCTAAACACACTCATACACACCTTTGCCTTCTCAGCCCTAACTTTGTGAAAGATAATATTGCTTTAATTTTCGGAAAAAAAAAAAAGAAACAAAAAAAAAAACTTTGTGAAAGATAAGTGGGGATCTTGAAACCAACTACAAGTCGTCCTCCACTGAGTATGTTTCCCAACTCCCCATCTAGTCATAGCCAACCACCATAATCACAAAACTGTCATTTCCACAAGTGTGGTCTCTTCATAGACAGCAAAACAATCAAGCAATTTTTGTGCCCACTATCAAGATAAGCTTAGCAACTTCAAACCTTTATACATGAGTCCATAATTACTTCCCAAAACGAGGTGAGTAACTACAAGTCCTTGACAGCATATAGGAACCTAATTTTCACCAATTGCATGACCTAATTTTTAGTAAAGATTAGGGATAACAATTTGACCCGCCCCACAGTTACCTGTCCCACCCCCTCCTGTTTTTGACAGTTTTGGTGGACCGTTTTGCTTATTTGAGCGGGATAGTTTGATACAATAAAAATCCGCGCGGGTTTGGTGCGGGGGGAGGTCGCCCCATCCCGCTCCGTTTAGATAGACAAATTACTTAAGTATCCTTATTTCATTAGTATGTATATTTCCCATAATATATTAAGTACCTTATATAACAATATTAAAGGAACAAATGAATTTTATTAAAAGAAAAGTTAAAATGGTGAAGAATTGAAGATGAAAAAAAGGAAAAAAAAAAAAAAAGAGCAAATCCATTTTAACAATAATTAAATTATTGTCTTAAATGGGGCAGAACGGGTACCCGCCGGAGTAAACATGTTAAACGGTTACGGGGATGGGATGGAAAGTTCCCTCGTTTTTACGATTTTGGACAGGCACAGAAGCGGGGTTTTAAACAGTTGCGGGGGCGGGAGAGGGTACACCCGCCCAAACCCGCCCCCGTTGCCATCCCTAGTAAAGATGCTTATCTAATGAGGTTCTGTCTTGGTTTGTGGGTCTAAAATGGAGAAGAAAAAAAAAATCCCACATGTTTTCTATTTTCTATCTTGCTAGAGAAAATATAAAATCAAATATTTGTCAAAGGTGATAAAAGAATCCGAGAAAAGCATAAATAATGACATATAAATAAGTTAAATAACAACCTTTCCCTTACTTTCCATCCTTTTCCTTCCTGTTATCCATGACAAACAGCCAAAGAGAAGTAACTTCCTTTGCATTATTTCACCTTCACTACGTCCCAGAGCTAAACACAGACTAAAATGATATAATAATAATAGAAACGGAAAGAATTCGAGTAAACTAAATATTCCATACCAATAACGTGACATGAGAATGAAGAGATGCTTGGCTCAGAAAAAAAAATAATTGTGTGACCAAGTGTTTGTATCATGCAAGTGAAGAAACTAGAACTGGCTGTCAAGATTGGCAATGATCAAACCACAAAAGGTTAGAGATGGCCTAAAATAGAGAATCATGGTGAAATTTTGAATATAGGCTATGTTTGGCAGGTATGGAATTGGAGCTTTGGAATTGGAATTGGTTGAATTGAAGAAATGAAACTCCAAAAATTGAACCAAAAATTTCACCAATTTCACCAATTCCAATTCCATGCCGCCAAACACAGCCTTAGTGAAACACAAAGCATTTCACTCACTCAGCTTATCCCTAGTTTCATAATTTTCTCCTATTTGCAGACACCCAAATAGAATACTATAATTCAATATCACAGAAACAACTAAGGCTCTACTTATGGATAAGATAGGGGGAAACAAATGGAAAAATTAACAAGTATCCTTTCTCGAGCACTTTAACCATTACAAGTTACAATCCTACTGAAAACAGAGGTACCCCTTTCAAGTGTTGAGAAATTAGAATACTTTATTACTATAAAACATGCTCCCAACAGTGTTTTTTCTTACCGAAGCGTTGGAGAAAATTTTATACCAGATTGTCGAAATTCTCCAGTTTTGCAGATCGGCTACAATGAAACTCTGAAAGATGCACCCCTCAAGGCTTTATCCATGCACCACTGTTCAGGGAATTCTTTGGCGATACTGCTCATTGACCCATGTATAAAAACTGAGGTATAGTTATCAAATGCGACTAGTCTGTCTTTGATTAGGTAATCTAACCAAGATAAATATGTAACCTAGGGTTTCATAGTTCATTTCATGATCAAATAAAAAACATAAGACAATAATATGAACACTATTCAATGAAATCCTTTTACAACCAGCCATAGGGATTTAAAAGAGAACAAACAAAAAATGCCAGGCTATTATGTCGTGTTCTTGTCCGTTCAATCCAATGATGCTTCGTAGTAGACTGCGCAGCTGAAATTTTAACCTTCAACTCATTTGGTTGCCTAGATGACAAAAAGAAAGTTGAAAAGAATTTTTAAGTTTTATGGTGACCATCTCATCCCCTAGGCCCTGGGTAAAGCTTTGAAATTTTCTTCTATTTTCCTGTCGCAGGAACCATTAGTTAATAACAATTGAAATATCGAGGATTTATTTGAATCTTCTCAATGTCTAAAAATCAAATTAAAAATAAATTAATTAATTAAGAAATAAATCCATATCTCCAACCAAAATGTTTACGTTTCTTTTTCTCTTTTATAATTTATTCAGTCTCCTCTTTTAGAGAGAGTTCTAACAACTGACATTATTAATCTAATGATACACTACATTATTTGATGTTAAGCTATAATTTTATGCTACACAAATACGGAAGAACCAAATCAACCTTACCAACTGGCTTTACCTTTCATTACTAATGGATGGAAACAACATTAAATCAGGAACCCTCACTAAACCTGTACAAATGATGGGACAGTATCAAGTTGCATCTCCATATCTATGTCCAACTGTTCAGTTTTTTGCTTTCACTTGCAAGCTGCATGGTAAAGCTCCAAATATTCAAGAGCAGGTCGGTTCCAGGACCAGTCTTGATCCATTACCCGCTTGCATATCGAGTTAAACCAATCCCGACCATCATACCAAGCAGAAATTGCTCTGAAAAATAGAATCATAATTAAGTCCTCTACATACTGAAAATTATATTTGGCGACAGAGAACATGATAACCAAAAATTTTGTAATATACATAAAATAAGACTCTCTCCAACCCTTTGTCATTTCCTCTTGAAAAGTTTGAGATAATGAAGATATACAACCAATCAAATAATTGTCCACATCAGTGGAACTAGTAATGCTGATTTGCTTCTGTACCACATGCACCATATTTGCTTGAGAAGTTAGGAAATATATATATATATATATATTGGCCCATATTAATGGCATCAAGAGTGAAGATTTAAGGGTTTTAGTAAAAGATTATGAAATTAAAGAAAGAAAAGTTATTTTGAGAAATTGTTGAATGAAAATTATCTAAAAAGTTCAGGCTTAGAAGAATATAGTATAACCCTAGGCATAACATATTTTTTCGTAGGGCCAAGGAGTGTGAGGTTATAAATGCCTTCAGAGCCCAAAGGCCTTCCTTTTGAGGTTTTGAAGTGTTTAGGAAAAGATGGATTGTCTTGGTTAACAATTTTTATTTAATAAGACAATAACAACAAAGAGAATGTTTAATGAGTGGCGCAAAAGTATTTTAATAACTATATATGAAAATAAACGGGGGCATACAAAGTTGTAATAATTACTGTGGTATTAAATTAATGGGTCATACTATGAAGCTTTGGAAGACAGCAATTGAACAATGGGGCTACTTACTTATTGAGAAGACTAATGGAAAGTTATAGAGAAAAGAAGAAAGGACTCCATATTTTTACTAATCTATAGAAAGCCTATGATAGGGTACCTAGAGATCTAATACGGAGAAAGGGTCAAAAACAGGGACCCAGGAAATTGTGGCAAAAGTTTTTTTTTTTTTTTTTGTAATTTTGGTGGGGGCAACATTAAAATTTCATAGGTATATAATTGAAAAGGGGGGAAATTACTAGTATTTACTGCTAAAAAATTTCAGTGGGGACTGACTCCTCTTTAAGTCCGTGCCTGGTCACAAAGGGATATATTGACACAATAAAGGACATGTATGATGCTTATGTGACTATAGTTCGAACAATTGTAGGGAAGATAAGTGAATTTCCAATTGGTGTAGGCTTCTTACACTAAGAGTCAACATTGAGTTATGCTTTTTTGCCTTACTATGGACGAGCTGAAAAGACACATCCAAGATGAAATTCAATATATGATATTCGTTGATGATATTATTGTAATCAATGAAATTGGAGAAGGAATTAATGTCAAATCGGAGGTTTGGAGGGAAGCTCTAGAATTAAAAGAGTTTTAAGATTAAGTAGAAATAAACCTGAATGTATGCAGAGTAACTTTAGTAAATCTAGAAATACAAATGAGGATATAGTGAAGATTGAGAATCAAGAGGTGCAAAAAAAGTAAACATTTTCATTATTTACTATTTAGGCCCAATAATCCATAATGGAGGAGAAAATTGAGATGATGTTAATCAAAGAACCAAGGCAAAATAGGTTATATAGAGGAGTGCATCTAGTATATTGTTGGATCGGCATATCCCGCTAAGATTGAAAGAAAAGTTCTATAGAATAGCAATTAAACTAGCAGTACTTTATGGACAGAATATTAAGCAGTTAGGAAACAACATATACATAAGGTGACTGGCTGAAACATGACTATTGAGATGAATGTGCGTAAGACTAGAAAGATAGTACTCTATTTGTTACAAAGAATGGGGTTTGGAAGTAGATGGAGGAAATGGATTGAGACATATCTTTCGTCTGTCAAGTTCTCAATTCTTGTGAATGGTTCTCCCGCTGGTTTTTTTGGTAGCACTCAGGGTATAAGACAAGGTGATCCATTGTCATCTTTTCTCTTTCTAATTGTTATGGAGGGCTTAAGCAGACTTATGTGCAGGGCAGAGGATCTTGGTCTCATTAAGAGATTCAGGGTGGGAAGAGATATAGACCATCAGGTGGAGATTTCTCATTTACTATTTGCAGATGACACCCTGGTTTTCTGTGATGCAAATGTGTCTCAACTTAGATATTTGAGATGCATCCTGGCTTGTTTTCAGACGGTTTCCGGGCTAAAGGTAAACATGGCTAAGAGTGTGCTTCTCCCAATTCAGGATATCTCTTCCTTAGCTGCAGTACTTGGGTGTAGGGTGAGTTCCTTTCCTATTCCTTATTTGGGTTTGCCCCTAGGGGTCTCTTCCAGGATTGTGGGAAGTTGGAATTCTGTGATTGATAGGTATGCAAAGAGGTTGGCAGGATGGAAGAAGCAATACTTGTCTAAGGGGGACAAAGTAACTCTTATCAAGAGCACTTTATTGAGCCTCCCAACATATTTTCTATCTATGTTCCAAATTCCATGCTCCGTTGCTGATAGGATTGAAAAAATTCAAAGGGATTTCCTTTGGGGTGGAAGGGGAGAAGAGTTCAAGTATCACCTTGTCAGATGGGAGCAAGTCTGCAAGCCTATGAAGTTGGGTAGTCTTGGTATTAGACGATTGATTCTTTTTACTCAAGCTCTCCTGAGCAAATGGTCGTGGAGATACGGGAAGGAAAGGCATCATCCTTGGCGAAGGTTAGTCTCATGTCGGTATGGGGACGTTGGCGGTTGGATTACCCGTCCGGTTTTTGTTGCGGGAGGAGTTGGGGCAGGGAAATCCATTCGGAAGGGATGGGATGCCTTTTCCTCTCATATCAGATTCAAAGTTCGTGATGGTAGTTGCATCCGTTTTTGGGAAGATCTTTGGTGTGGGGATCAGCCATTATTTCGTTCATTTCCCAGATTATACAATATTGCAGTTAATAAACATGCCTACGTAGCTGACTGTTATCGGTTTGATAATAGTGGGATTACGTGGGACATGCATTTTCGACGTTCATTTCAAGATTGGGAATTGAACGAGGTAAGTATTTTTCTGGACCAATTGTATCGACAGGAAGGAATTGGCAGGGGTTATGACAATTTGACATGGATTCCCTCTTCTCACGGTCGTTTTGAAGTAAGATCTTTGTTCTTATGTCTGTCTAATTTTGTCAGCTTAGACTTCCCATGGAAGACCATTTGGCGCTCCATGGCTTCTACTAGGGTGGCATTCTTTGTATAGACCGCTGTTTGGGGTAAGATACCGACGATTGATAATTTGAGGAAGAGGGGAAATTGTTTTGTTAATTGGTGTTGCCTATGCAAGCAAGATGGGGAGTCAGTTGATCATCTCCTAATGCATTGCCCTGTGATGCACGACTGTTGGAATCTTATTCTTGGATTGTTTGGCATGTATTGGGTAATGCCACGTTTTACTAAGGAATTGATTCATGCTTGGAGAGGATGTCGTGTGAGTAGGGGTGTACGCAATTATTGGAGAACTGTCCCACATTGCGTCTGGTAGTGTATTTGGAAGGAGAGAAATAGTAGAATGTTCAAAGGGAAGGAGTCGTCTACGGCAACGCTGAAACTTGTTATTATTTGTTCTCTCTTTAGTTATGTGAAGAGGAGTTCTTGTTCCTCTTCTGATGATTTAATTACTTTTTTGGATTCTTTAGGGCCTTAACCCCCGGTTCTACTAATGTTTAAGGGGCGCGTTCCCCTTTTGAACCACTTTTTTAATTCATTATTACTTATCAAAAAAAGGACTAGAAAGATAGAATTAGAACTAATTACATTCATGACATGGTTGGTGTAGCACCAACTAGAGAAAATATGAGGAAAAATTCGTTAAGATGATTTAGACATGTGCACAGAAAATGTTTAAAGCGCACCAGTTAGGTAATACTAGGGGAAGGGGAAGATCAAAGTTAATGCGGGTAGAGTTAGTAAAGAAGGATGTGATAACATGTGGTTAGACTGAGGCCACAGCCTTTGATAAAGCGGAATGGACAAATAAGATTCATGTAGCTGACCCAAATAGTTCAACAAAAGGCTGGTGTTTTGTTGTAATTTTTTTTGCTAACTAGTTGTTTCTAGTTTCTCGACTGCTATTTTTATTTTTACCTAACCAAAATATAAATAAATAAATAAAACAAGAACTTCAGAAGTTTTCAAAAGATAAATAAAACATAAAATTATTTGAAGCTAAACTTCCTAACTTAACCAGAGAAAAACAAAAATCTGCTCACCTATCGAGGGCATAATCAACTCCTGCAGTATCAGCTCCTTCAAAATTGAATCCATTTGGTTCAAGACCCTGTGCTTCTGCTCTTTCTTTATCATGGTCAACATCAAATACGGTATCATAAAGTCCTAAAAGAAGAAACAAGGTTAAAATGACCATCAAAGACATTATCAATATCAAGCACTTAACATTGAACCACACTACAAGAGTTCAATCATCAGCTGGACAAAACAGAAGTAGAAAGGTGAGGGCATGAGAACTTGCTCATAACCCCAACCCAATTCCTATATATGAAGAAACATAATTATATGCACACAGAAAAGTTCCAATCAATATTCTACTTTCACTGATCCCAAAAATAAAAACCCATAGAACCACATCCCCACTGATCATCTCGGATCCCGACGCTCTTCCAAAGCCCGAGCCATCACTGAAACAAACTGCATTAGACAACCAACTATCCATCCCACTTCCACATTTTCAATTTACCACTCTCATCCAAAGGTTATTATCCTCCTTTGCAGACCTCCACAACCATTTGAAGCACAATCACCCAAAAGAAAGATTCTAAATGGCCAATAATAATAAAAAAGGAAATAGAGTAATTCTCTGAATTGAGAAAAGTATGAATGCATCAATTTCTTACCATTGAGGTTCTCCATTCAGAACCAATGCCTAATTGAAGTGGAAATGCAGTTTGAGCAAACAAAAAACTTTAAAATAATGAGATATCCATTCTATCACAGCTTTAATATGGCATATTAACATAAAATGCACGAGGGACCATTCAATGATAAAATGTCTCGGCAATCGAGACATGATAGAATTTTTGGTTGAAGCATTATCCTCCATTAATGTAAAAATCACAACAAATATAAAACATCTTCGTACCTCCAGTTTTACGAACAACAGGTACTGAACCATATCTCATTGCTGTGAGCTGAGTAAGTCCACACGGCTCAAATATTGAGGGGACTAAAATAAAATCTGCACCGGCATATATCTACAATAATTATCCAAACAGGTTAGTAGTACCATATTACAAATGCAGAAAGTAAAGAATCTAAGTTCCACGAGAGAATACCAAGTGAGAAAGAGGCTCATCATAGGTTAAACAAAGGCGAGCACGGTCACCATGCGAAGAATGTAATTGATTGGCCAGATTAACAAAATCATTTTGAATACGAGGATCTGGAGCTGAACCTAGCAACACAACCTGCCATCATATTTTCCATCAGCATCGACAGGGGAATGCCCATATATCATTCACTTCTTTATACATAATACACGTACTTGAAATATGAATAGAGTTAGCATATATAAGAACAAGATATGAAAGTATTTAATACCAAGAATATAGCGGATAAATCTGTCATGCGCACACGTCCACATAAATACACATAGAAGTAGAGATACCAGTAATAACAGTATATTAAACAGTTTTGAAGTTCAAAATTTCATTGTTCTATCCATGCCCAGATTTCAGGTGGATAGTCAAGATAAGAGTCTGACATAGGTTGATTCTTTGACCTTGAAAATCAGAAAAGCAAACCAAAGAAAAATATAACCTGTCCGTTGCGATCCAGGGTGCGCCAGATGGCATGTTTGATTAGGTGGATTCCTTTCTGATGAGTTAAGCGAGTTATAATTCCAACCAAGGGCAGATCAGCCCTTTTCAAACCGAGTCTTTGTTGCAGGGCTTCCTTGGCAGCCTTTTTGCCATCAACAACATTTTCTGAAGTGTAAGGTGTCTGCAATGGCATGCAGCACTGTTAGGTCTCAAACCTCCACAGAATAGGGAAAGGAAAACTGAAGATATAATAGATTTTGAATAACTAGCAATTGTAACCCTCTTTTCCATATTTTAAGTATACATTACCCCAACCATTAGTATATGCTACTCAAAACTCGATTAGGAAATATTGAAGTAATGCTAGAAAGAGATAACGTTAGAACAGTGTGGCCAATCAGTTAAATCTGCCTATGTTATTTACACAGCCGGTCCCAAGCGTGGATAAAGGAGAAGGGATGCATTAGGTAGCTTGACAGCCAGCGTAAAACTTTGTTATGAACATGAATCCTATGAATACACAATCGACAGAGCTATGGCCTTAAATAGAGAGGAATGGAAACATAGGATTCATGTAGTCAACCCCAAGCAATTGGGAAAAAGGCTTGATTGTTGTTGTAGTCTGGCCGACCAGTTAAACTGATTTAACTGCAGCTTAAGACAATATTGGGTTTTAATAAATTTATGTCCCAGTCATCCTCAGAGCATCAACAACAAGAATAAAGCACTTAAACTAGTTCAAAATGTTTGGAGCATCTATAAAGCAGTTGACATACTCACAAAAACACAAGTATGCACGTGCGGGAACCCCCTCCCCCAAATATGGCTAAAATATTTATTAAGAACTTCTCTAGAAACTGGTATATCAGTAGGTAGAAAGGATGATCAGTGGATGTAGCATTTTCTATTTTTAAAATTGATTAACAGGTTCATATTTTTGTATCATCATCATCCTTGCCTTTTATCCCATAATTATGGGGTCGGCCACATGAATTCTCTTTTTCCATTCTTTTATATTATACACCATGTCTTCTCTTAAATTTAAATATTTTAAGTTGTTTTTAATTACTTCTTACCACGTAACCTTTGGTCAGCCTCTTTGCCTTTTACCATCTAAACAAACAACTCTTCCTCTTTGAATATGACCATTTTTTGTATATTTTATAAAAAACATTATAGTGAACTTTACAGCCGAATGTCCTTTAGTTTATCTCCTGCATTCTATAACAAAAAGAAAAGAGAAAAAAGAAAGCTGAATGACCTTAGAAGTTCAACTTGCATTGTTAGTGGGAGGTTCTGTCAAAGGTAATCATGTTGTCTGTCAATGACATGGTTTTTGATTGGTGAGGCTATCCAGATTGCAGATGCAAACTTGGAATTATGCCGAGAGGTGTTGATATTGAACAAAGAAAACTATAATTAATGTCTCCTTCTAACTTCCAGATCTCACCTTTGCGCTTCTTTTAATTTCCTAATTCTATTCCTTAATTGTTTTTATATACCAATACAGTGCCATAACCAACAAGTTGTCTACTGTTTTTCCTGCCAAGCACATTCAATCAGCTTCATTGACAATATCTTTTCCCCAAAGTCCAGTGGACCAACAACTGCATTTATGCAGCCAAACATGATCATAATGATCAAGTATTGCAGTTCATTTGCAGCAGCAGAAAGTGCACTACCCAGTTTATATCCTACCAAAGTGAGATACTGGAAAGAGAAGACTTAAAACTAACTTCTGCTATTATTTTACTAAAATTGGCTGTAGAACTCAGATTTGTTCATACAAATTTTATCATCACACCAAGCAATAACCACTAAAAGAATATACAGCAGCACGATTCATTAAATTCACTCACCCGGGTGGGGTAGTGACAGCAAGGGCAAACCCAAGTACAAGAAGTACACAACAGCTTAAGCATGAACAAGAACTAGAAAACATATCCTGCAAACTACCTACAAAATCCACAACAGTGTCGAGCCCAGTCAACCAACTAAACAACACTAAAAAACTCCTGTTTATATTATGGGACAGCATTACTTCCTATTAAATGAATAGTGATTCTATGCCTACACAACACAAAGCACATTCCATCTTCTTTTTAGTAAGGACCATAACTTGTTGCAACCTGTGATTGTGAAAATAATCCATGGTACCCTACTTTTTTACATATGTAACACCAACTAAGGAGTACCATACATCTTCAGAATAAATTTTCAATATCAGAATTTTCTAGTAAAATGCAGTTCGTGCAAACAAATAAATGAAAAAGAATAAAAACCCTTCAAAGGTGCTCCAGTATCCTGAATGCCACTCGAGGGAAAGTAATAGGCTTGTTTCCCATCAGAACCTTATAGTAAGATCCCACCTAAAAACCAGCCACTACTCAAAGCTCCCCAACTCAATTCTCCCTCCCCAATTCTGAGCATGCTACCCCCATATAAAAAGTGATTCCCTGCCTCTAGCTCGAGTCATGCACTGCCCGCTAAATTCAAGTATCCAAGACAAATAAAATGCAGCCATGGTCTATCACAAACAAGTCCAGAAATTTCACTTTAATAGCCACATTCTCAGACCATATGACGTGTCAAAACCGCATCCTCTACCCATCTCCCACCAAGAATTAGACATTTTTGAAAGATCCATCCCATCATCTTTTAATGCCTTTCCAATAACCAGCATTGTTTTACCTTCTAACCTCCGAAGTAATCCAATAATTCCTTGAATCATATACTTTCCTTCCAGCACTCTCCTCCAATCCCAATGGATATCCAAGGGGAATCTCCACAATCGTTTTCCACGCAAAAGCTTGGTTATATAACCTAACTTTTGTAACACTCATACCACCCACTTTTAGAGAAAAACGCACCACCACAACTATCAGATGGTATTTATGCTACTTCTCTAACCCTCCCTGCTGCGGATCCCCTTCAATCTACCAAATGGTACATTAGATGCCGTTTTAATTCCTAATATAAACAGCAAAATGTTTCAAGCTCTAATGGATTCTGAACACCACACACAGACACACAATTGCGCAAGCACAATCTAGGATAGATACAAAAAGGAGGAATAACGGAGAAGACTATGGAATGCCAAATGTTATGATTTTATTCTTGCAAGTCTGATAAGCCAACAAATTAAATTCTAGACAGGAATCATGCTTTTATTTGGCATTCTATTTACACAAGTAGATGTTAAAATGGTACATTGCAGAGATTGATTCTTAGACAAAACAAGGAAGAAGAAAAAAATAGGTAAGATAGTTGCCATATAATGACTGTAATGTCATCCATATTTCTCAAGAACATCGAGAGGAAAAAGGAAAACGAAAGGGGAGGAAGAAGGAAAAGATCTTGAAACATCATAAAATACTTAACAGGAATGAACTTGTCATTGTATGGGTCCCATATATCAAGATCAATTCCATTCAATATGCCATGGAACTTATGGAGATGAGGAGCAATTACAGGGTTTCCAGATACCTCCTTTGAGTATGTGTGAGATACCTGCAATTGTAAACATGAATTAATAATATGCGAAAAAGTCATTCCACAAAGGAACAAAATATTACAAAACGTCAAGGACTAAGGATATAAAATTATTGTGAAAATTATAAACACTAACAGTTGTAGCCTTGTCTGCGTATTTCATTGCTCTCCCAATGAGGTTCGCCCCAAATTCAAGATTATGAATCGTGAACACAACCCGAGCTTTACTAAGACCATAGTGCATATAATGATCCTTAAACAACCAGGCAACTGGAGCACTAGACCAGTCATGGCAATGAATAATATCCTGTCAAATATAAAGCAACAAAAAACACTTTTAAACATAGAAACAAAATAACAGAACAATTAAAGGCGGCACATTCAACAATGCCCAACACTATACGTGAGCCTTTGAAATAGTATTCAATAAAGGAATAACCATTTTTATGACAAAAATTGCTAAATAACCAGTTTAAAAAAAAAAATCAAAAATCAAAAGTAAACAAGGTTACTCAATGAAAAGAAAAAAAATATATATATATACACACACACACACACACACTTGAGTTTAACTGCTAGGAAAAAGAGAGAAAAAGAAAAAAGAAAGAAAGAACACTATCCTAAAGCTAAAAAAAAAAAAAACTTTAGCTAACAAAATGTGATTTTACTAATTGGCAACATGGAAGGAAACTGTGTCATATTTCTTTATGTTGTATTTGTATGTGTTTCACCTATTATATGTATCTGTACATACAATACAAATAAAAATATGTACACATATAATGCAACAACAAATATTAAGAAGCAAATAGTAACAGGAGACAAAATTAATGGATGGCATCATACATGTATCATATATAAATTTCTCAATTTAATAAAGTAAACACAGAGAAAAATTTTAGCATCAAGTGTATAGATGTTTTAAATTGTATCACTGATGCTGGCAAATGAACGATCAATAAATATGTTAAAAACATTACCACTTGATAAACAAATTAAATCACAAAACATACAGGATGAAATCCGCTTTGGAGAAGAAATTCAAGAGCAGCATGGCAGAAGAAACCAAATCTTTCCCCATCATTCTTACAACCATATATGCACCCTGCCCAAAAGAATCTGCAAGCACAATAAGGAAAAAAGCATTAGAACCTATCTAAAATTTTATTTGCATGCAGATTACTTGAGTAATGTGTTTCTGCTAGTTTCAAGGGGGATTCCAGGCCAGTGTTGCATGAATTAAATATCATGAACTTGGGACTTTTAATCAATTGCAGTGACCGAGATGAAGACAAGAATCTTTATACACAACAATCAAAGCTGAAGTTGTAATTTCTATATCCATGTGAATTGGGAAAGGGAAAAACTGAAATTCAGATAGAAATGATGACAATAATCTATAAAGGCAATATTTTTATGCGCCTTTGCAATAGAAAATTGTATTGTTTATACTTTCTAGTGTTTTACTTCTTTGAAGATCAATTGAATAGCTGGCTTCAACAGATTTACAACTTGATTCAGGAGATATAGACTCAGCTCATGTTTAACTATCAATATAATTTGATTGTATATAATTGTTTCGCTTTCTCTTTGGTGGTCTTATCTGCAGCCAGACTCTCTTTCTTGCTGTCAGTATATTTTGTTATTTGATTTATAGGCCTCAAAGTTGTTGCACACCTGCCTGGCCTTGCTTTCGTTTAATATTTCTTTAATTATCCCAAAAAGAAAGTAATCAAAACAATGACTTCAACAAACTTCAGATTCAAAAGAGTAAACAGATTTGAGTAAGTTAAATATATAGTATATAAAAATGGAAGGCTTGGGTTGAAGATTGTTAGAATATTATCATGGGAATGATGGGGTGAGCTCATCAAAATAAATTAGAACCAAAAAAACAGGTCATGCAAACGGTCAAACTCTCCGAAGCATAGAAACAAAAGCATGTATGACACAAATATATTAAGTATTCACATCGAAGTTTTAAGTCACGCATGATAATCCATGCATCCAAAAGGCGACAAATTATATTGGAATCGACGACTTTCCCATCATGATGGGGAAAAAAACAATAATTTGATCTTCAAATCAGTTGAATATAGCTATTTGAGCATAATCCTGATCAACCCACTTAAGCCAACAACTATCACCAGTTAAAAAAAAAAAGGTGAATTTGATCTCCACAAAAAAACTATTGTCCAGTATGGAGGGTGCTAGAAGGGACAAAGTGGGTACAAACCTAACCTTTGACATTACTTGACCACCATACATGCTAAAAGATATCTAACCTCCTAAACCAAATCAATTTAAGGACTCGACCATCCTCCCATGTAGCACATAATCCATATTGATGTATACATATGCAGAGGAAAGAATAAAACATGTACATGGAAAAGAGTCAACACTGTATAAAGTATTAAGCATTTGAAAGGTGAGGGGAGTACAAAATTTACCTATTTTGAGGCTCCAAAAAGTAAACAGAAAGGCCTTCCACCTTCCCAAGCCAAACTTTTATTTCAGTCCCACCCCAAGAATAGCTTTTATGAAACTGAAAGTCCTTCACCTATTAAAGAAAAACATGTTCAAGGGGATCAAAATATATGAAGTTATTAGATATGTTAATAAGGATCCTACTATCCTACTAATAGAAGTTCAAAAGAAAAACTATGTCTAGCCTTCAACATCAAACATAAAAAAAACCCTTCAGATTTGAACGTGTTTATCTCTGTGAACCATTGAAAACAAGAAATCTAGTATGTCTAGACCATCCCCAAGGATGCATCCTGACCATTACAGGATCTCTGAAAGAAGTACATACAAAGCCAACTCAATATAGGAGCTTAAACACAAACAAATCTAGTCCTAATTCCGTAAATCTAAACCTGTAACAGCTGGAATCAAACAATTAAATTAACTTCCTCAAATAGTCATATTCTTTTCAGCAGCACACGTTTGTAAATTGTAAGAGACTTTGAAGTGTACGGAAATGAACTAACATAAGTGGCTACAGTTTTTAACTAGGAATAACCATTCTGTTACTCTAAAGTAAATGAATATAAATTGAAGAAACGGCACAAAGAAGCAGAAATTGTCACAAGATGCACCACCTGCAATTACCACAATTCGAGGGGGGAGAAGAGTGAAGCTCACAATCAAATCAAAGGAAACTCAAGTGACCTTGTTAGCCCCATCGTAAACCTAGGTTTTCTAAGTAAACTATGTAGACAACAACTCATGCATCCCTTGGGGATAAGCCCCAAAAACAGAGAGCTAAACTACCACACATAAAGGTCTCTCAGATAGCATATTTAATTTTGCATCAAAATCCAGTGCAAGAAATATGATGAGATCTAGAATAAAGCAAAGAATAGAAGCTTACGTTGTTAAAGTTCAAACAGTCATACTTTGGAAGAATGATGTCAACAGTGTGGTTTAAATCTTGAATAGCACGGGAGAGACTAGTGACAACATCACCAAGGCCTCCCACCTGCAAAAAATTCAGAAATGACACAAAAGGAAAGATACAGAATTAATCAGTAGATAACATTTACATTTTACCAATTCCTGAGAATTTATTGTTTAACATTGAAGTTTGTAAATGCAGCCAAAACATAATAAGTGTCATCCTCTTTGTATGGTATATATATTGCTATCCTTAATAAGTTGCAGAAGTTATAGGAGAAATGACATGGTGTCTCAGTCAAGTGATCTGTCTTTTTATGCTTGTCTAGATCAAGTCAGATATCAACTCCAAGATAGCATCCCTCAGAGTCATAACAATGTAATTTAATCTTCCAGAAAAAACAATGTAATTTAATCTTCCAGAAAAAACAATGTAATTTAAATATTTAGACCCACTAGAAAAGTGGACTTCAGGTACAATTGATTTAATAGAATTAATTTGCCATATTCAGACTAATACCAATCCAAACCATTTCATGAACAAAATGTGACCAATTAATCAACCAACAAAACCACTTGTTACAAATAACATCTTCTTGTTGCATCGAAACATATAAATGATGACTAATCTGGCTAACATTGAACTTGGTAAAATAAAATGGTTGAATAATTGAAAATGTTGCAGAAGTTAACCCCCCTTGGAAATTCAAAAAATGCATGGCATAAGGTATCAATTTTTTTGCCTAATTTGGAATAGTGAAGAATAGGAAAGTTATCAGCACATGATGTGAAAATGTGAAATAAAATTGGAGTACTCTAGGTGAGGGTGAAAGTATTCTGTAGCAAAGTGAGGCTTTGGCATGATGTTTGGTGTGAGGAATTCCACTTAAAAGTCATATTCCTGTATTTTTATTTTTATTTTTTTATTTTTTTTGGTGTCGCTTTGATAGGGGACTGATGTGGACTAGAAAGAAAGAAGGGGATGAGAAATTAGAAGATGAGATGATGAGATAAAGCTAGAAGAAAGGGAGGAAGAAAATAAGGAAGGGGATAAAATAAAATAAAAAATAAAAAATAGACGAAGAGATGAAGCTAGCAGATTGCATGGGAAGAGAAAGCAAGAAGAAAGTGGAGTGAAAGCAGAAGCGAAGTCTAAAAAATCACAATATTAATCAATAACGAAAAACTGCATAGTTATGTTACCGCCCTTTGCGAGCCTTAAATAAAAAAACCCTAAAATTAAAGAAAATTAAAATAACAAATAAATCAAAACTACTAAAGATACTAAAATGGTTCCCCTTCGCTCCATTCCAAAGTAATAGGATCCGTCCTTTCGGAATTATGTATTGAAAGTCTAGGAAGAACCGTTGACCAATTTGGCTAGCCTATATCTACTAGATTTTGTAGGGACATTTTGTTTTCCGTATTTTACTTTTTAGGATCTTCTAATTATTTGGTTCTTTAATTTTAGGGTTTCTTATTTAGGCTTCATTTGGATTGATGGAATTGGAAGGAAAAGAAAGGGAGGGATAGTGATTTTCATATTTGATTTGGCAGTTAGTATCCATGGACTTTTATGCTCTGGGGTAGCTTCCGGTTAATAAGTGATCTATTTGGGGTAAGATGACGATGATGATATTTGGGGTAAAATCAATTTATAGGGGGAAGAGACAACTCTTAGTTAGATTAGAAGCTCATTTGGAAAGCTACTCCATTATGATGTTAACCGGTGCTGCATGTCCAAAAGAGAGAGGCTTCTCCTAATTATCTCCTACTCCATTATGATTTTAGATGGGATATGTGGTGCATGTTGTTTTCCTTTTCTGAGATATCCCAGGTCATGCCAAGGTCAGTGGAGAAGTTGCTTAGTTGTTGAGTTGATGGTTGTGTGTTTAGCAGGTTACACCAGGCGCTGCAAGCAGCATTCCTCTATTTTTATATGTATGATGGAGCTAAATAAGCATACTTCAGACGATATGGAGTAGCCACTAATAGATAGTAGGATGTGGTGTTAAACACTTTTCTTGTTTGGTTGTCTGTACTACGATTTTCAGATTCTTTACTCAGTTTTGTATATTTTTAAAATGATTTGAGCTGTATGAAGGACCTTGGGTTGTGGATCCTCTATACTCAATGGATAAAAAGGTTATGCCACCTCTGGCACGTTTAATATTACAATTTTTTACTTAACAGAAAACAGTTACAGTCTAGATTAATATAATTTACCTTTGCAATGGGCGCCATTTCAACAGAAATATGCACTATGTGCATTGGTGGTTCCTTCATGACTCCACCAAAAACAGGTATGTGGTAGTCCATACCATTTTTGTTGTCAAAAATTCCACCATCTTCCCTCTCAGAGAACACAAAGTCCATCATATATGCATCCAGTGGAACCTTGACTGCAAAAGAAAAGAGCATATCATCGGACATTTGGTGCAAAAACAAATGAATAGATTATTTTAACTAAAACGTAAATGTGACTTTCTGCATATAGAGGGAAATAACACCCATGTGACGTTTAAGGCACGTTTAAGGCATGATTTGTGCATGAGACATGGTATAGTTCTATGTAAACTAATCTAATTATTTATCTTGACTCAAGTAAATTAATCTATTATATTTTTTTTTCGGTTTTTCTCTTTTAATTTCAAATGATGTTGCCATGTAGCACTAAATTCTTTTTATATTTTGAAATATTAAAGATCAAAAAGCTTTTAGTTTTATGTTATGGAACTCCCAACTGTGGCTTTTTCACTTAGTTTGTTGTCATATAGCTTAAAGATTCCTTAAACAAAATTTGCTCTTAACTTGAATTTATATATGCTGCAATGTTCTAAATATTTAAGTTCTATTCCATTTTATTTGAAAAACATTTAAGTTTCATGATACCATTTTCAGTGGGTTCTTTTTTTATTAAAAAGAAAATTTATTCTTATTGGTAATATTGTCATGCATAGCACGGGAAACACGTACATGGTGATCCCATTATAGGGACATCAGGATCTTAAGCTGTAATCTGTGAAATGAGTTTAGCTTGCGGGAAAAAGTGCCCCCATTGGTTTTTAAAAAGGCACTGCACGTGTAATGAAAGAACTACCGTTATTGTAAGTTTCGAGTAATATGAAATAGGAGTATTGGCTAATTTCCAACATTGTTTTTTGTGTTACAACCCATGCCTATGTTACTGCACTTCATAGGATAAATTATTTACTGCTTGTTTGCTGGTGCCATCATGCAAGACAGCAAAATATACTCCAGGACTTCATTTAGAAATTAGATGGATCATGGATGTAGAGAGAAAATTCAGAAATACAACAAGAAGAATGGCTTTGAGGGGATAGATTCTGATGAATCAAGAAATTTTAACCCAAGGAAACATAGATCTAAATCACTTCCCTTGAAAAAAGAAATCACGAAGCTTCTGAATTAGAGAGAAAATAGAAAAACTCATATATGTGAACAAATCTCAAAACCACACGCTTCAAAGATTTGTAATAAACAACTAAATATCTCACCTGGGGTTTTGACATGAGAACTATTATCTGCAGGTATCATTTTCTGAGGTGGCAACGGCCCCCTGCGATGAGTCCAACGGTTAAATGAGCATCTGAACCAAATTTCAGATCTTCCATTCAGAATGGTGTTGGCAGGATTATAGAAAACTGTCACAGTGCTTCCAGCTCGGACATCAAGAGGCTCAGTATAAACTACATGCTTTTGAGACAACAGAAAAGCTTTCAAAGTCCTTTCCTTCATTTCAGCTTTCATAAGTGCTGTTCTTTCAGCCTGTGACAAGAAGAACAAAAGAAAATTAATAATGGGATAGAAAAACGAAGGGGGAAATGAGAAGCTGCAGCACATCAAAGCTCTCTAAAAAAAAGGCTGAGATTGGTCAGAAAAAAATTTCCCAGAAAAAATAAAAATAAAAATAAAAATCTCAGGTACCCATCTAACCATCTTGAACATCATAAGGACATAGTTTTCTAAGGAGTATCAGCAATGAAGGGAGCCACCACCCCATCACTCAAGTGGCTGGTCCACATCCGCTGCACAACCTCATTTATCTGACAACCTCCTTAAATATACTTGTGTTGGAAAAGCATCATCAAGAATGCATTTTAAGGAATTGACCAGCAAATCTCAAATTTTCTTTTATAATTCATTTACAGGGTAATAATCATAAAAAATTGATGTGATTTCATGAATAACTGACCTTGGCACGTATTGCCTCCTCTCTTAACCTCCTCTCCTTCTGGAGTTTCCTGTATATCTGGTGTTCTTCCTCAACCCAATACAGTTCTTCAGGAATGCATTTTGGGACGATGCCGTGAAAGTCTTGACGATTATTGTTATCATAAAGAGTGGCATGCTGAGGTGGACCATCGGCAAAAACCCAATCCAAGACAAAAGCTCGACCAGGTACGATAACTACAGAAAATTAAAAAGTTGCTCAAAAGAATATAACTGAAGTGCATAACTTATTACAAATATGAAAATTTACTGTAGATGCTGCAAGAAGATTGGTATGCCATGACGGGTCCATCCAATTTAAGAAAACAGATGAATGATGAGGCTTTATATATATTTCATGAACAAACGACAACTCAAGAAAGCCTTGTCCCAACTAATTGGGTTGGACGTGTTAACAACAACCTACACTAAAAGCTTAAGCTGTTAGAGAGGTTGTAACTTAAATATATAAATCCTTCAACACGCCCTCCCACGTGTGGCCTTCTTTTGGTCCAACACGCGTTTCACTTTTAATTATCAAGGTGATGGGGAGGTTTGAACTTGGGACTTTGACAAAAAGAAGTATTTCTTTTTTTTCTTTTCCTGACTGACTTTTTTGCCCTAGCTGTGACCCTCCATAATCAAATACACCTGAGATCGAAAGACTTTAAGAAAGAGAGGGAGATTAAATAACTAAAACCGTGTAGACTGGAAATGATGCAAAACAAGCACAACTATTTTTTATGGACACTTCAGAAATTATAATAGATTTCTTTATAAAGTACTTATATTAGTGCCATTACGAACTAATCTTTCCTAGCACATTTTATGAGGCAACATTAAGGAGTGGCAACACAGCAGGGACACATTTAGAGTAGCAATGATAACTAATTTACCCCACAATTGTCAATTCACAAAGGTATTTAAGGGGCACAAACTTAAAATGCCAAGACTTAATAGTCACCACTGCGAAGTGCTTAACAAGACTCATCATCAAATCCATATCATTTATGGTTTAATTAGTAGTGAAGGAATGGATCAACATGCACCTCCACTTGTTAGACTACTGATCAAACAAGAAAGGCACTATTATCTGCACTGGATAATTAATGATGACTATAATAGTCAACTCATAAAACCAATTTTGGAAAATTTTGTGAAAAGTGGTTATAGCAGGTGAATACTCTGTAGATCAATATCTTCCCTCCCAAAAGCATTTATAACCGATTGAGCACCTCTCTGGGTGGCAGACGAATTTCGGGATTAGTAACCTTCCTAAAGAAGCAAAAGTGATAGAGCTGATCTCTCAGTGCCTAATTTTTCCGGGATACTAATATTATCCACCTTCCTTTGACATACATTTGATCTACAGTTTTTTTAATCGAAATATAAAATTCAAATGGTGATATCTGCTCAAGATAGCTAATTTTTCTTATATTTGCCTTCATTTAAACTACCATATTTCCATCTAGAAAGAAAAAATATTTTAACTCAATAGAAAAGTAGTCGCTACTAAAAACCACTTATATTTGTCTTCATTTAAACTACCATATTTCCATCTAGAAATAAAGAATATTTTAACTCAATAAAAGAGTAGTCACTACTAAAAACCACATCAACAAGACATTTCCTCTTATATTTATTCATCTTAAACTCTAAGACAATCCACTTAGAGGCACTTTGCTTCGCAAGTGGAATTCCTTGACCACCACCATAAGATAAAGCAACCTACAGAGAGACTCACTTGTAGATCAAGCAGAAAGCTTACAACAACAGAACAAACAAATCCTAGAAGAAAACTACTTCAAGTAGTTACTAGTACTTAAACAAGACGATGAAAAAGAAGAATAGGAGAGAGAGAAAGTACTCTTTAAAAAAATAATTATATATATAAACCTACTAAAAGTTGAAAAATAATAAAAATGAATTATAAATAAAAAGAAAAGTCTATAAAAAAAAGTTGTGGCCCACATTTACAAGCTTCAACGTTTTCTCAGTGGATATAAGCAGAAATTATTATGCAACGCTACCATAACGCTAAAATATCAGTATCAGGTAGCAATTAGCATATTGAGTAACTCCAAAACTGAGACGCAACAATATAATGTATTGCTGTATGTCAGGAATCAGGTGATATGGGCCTGAACATTAATCTTGGAACACTGCCCTCATACAATTTAATACAATCATGCTTAAACCCTAGTCTTCCATTCACTACTAGAAGAAAAGAAATAAAATGAGAATTTAATCCATCATAAAACATGACTTACGATGTCAGATGCATTTTATATTTTATAGACTCTACACATATCATGGAAGCCTTAAAACCTAATTAATTTGGGTTAGTCACAAAAATATCCTTTCATTAACAATGACTTCCAACTGTTACCAACATGCATGTCCACTGCATAAATTTTATGCCACCAAGGTGACACTTAAATAGTTTAACATGTACTCCGGTATTATAAATAACAGGCATTTATTGACGTGCAAGTGAAGGACAAAATAATATTTAGACATACCATCAGCATACCACCAGTCACCATCCTGTCTCTCAGAGCTTACAAGCCTGGAAATTATAGATAATCCATCATTCCAATTATTATATCCTCCATGAATCCACAGATCCTTAGCATGAGCAAGAGGACCCGAGCTCCTGTTATAATATAGCCTCACTATGTCATCACCTTTGAACTCACTAGGTTTTATGTACCAGACATTATCCACAGACGTCACAGCCTTTTTCATCGACTCTCTTAATATTCCTCTTCTCCTTTCAGTCTCCTCTCTGGCCTGTGCTCTATCAACTTCACTAGCAGCCTTCTCTGCTTCTATCCGCCTTTGTTCTTCTGCTTGTTTTTCTCTTTCGGCTTGCTCCTTAGCAAGTTTCTCAAGTTCCCTACGTTTCTCCTCGAGCAAGAAATCATCAAATTGGAACACATCCATTCCGCCTTCCACATTTATGCAGAAATCTTTTTTGTCATTATTGTCATAGATATCTTTTCCATTAAAGAACACGAAGTCCATCTTGTATGCCTCCCTAGGAACGTGAACCTGGCAAGACCACCAATCCCCTTGGAGATGAGTTTTGTTCAACCTTGTGGTGAAAGATTTCCATCGCCAGTCATTAAAAGCTCCCATTATCATAACATCCAGTTCATTACTCAAAGTGGAGAGGCTCCTATTAAGGAACACTTCTACATCTTGATCTGGCTTTACTAACTCAGGATAATAAAACAATTTGTTTCCTTTCAAGAAATTTTCCTCAGAAAGCCTCTCCACCACCTGTTTGCGAATATTTGCTTCCAACTCTAGCTTCAATTTAAGAGAAGAATCCTGTTTGTCTCTCTCTTCAACTACTAACATGTCATTCTCCTCCATTGATTTTCGTTTGACTGACTGATTTTTTGTTATAGCCTCATCTATTTCAACACTTCTATTTTGTCTGACATCATCACTCTTTATAACATCCAAGGGCTTTCCTTCTAAACCTGTTCTATCCACAGCACCCTCAACATCACTCCTCACAACTGGTTTTGTTTTCTGTAGCTCGTTGATGCCCATGCTTTCATTTTCTTTTACATCATTACTCTTAGTAACATCCAAGTGCTTTCCTTCCAAATCTGTACTTTCTACCCTATCCCCAACTTTCTTGACAACTGTTTCCATTATTTGTGACTCTTTAGCATCCTCATTAACTGTGTCAAGTCTTCCATTTTCTGTAAATTGTTGTATTTTACTGACAGATGTTGGGTTTTCTATTGATGATAATTCCTGAACTTTCCCATCAATTTCATCTACACTTTCTTCCTGGACTTGTTTTGCTTGATCAACTCCCACAGAGTGTTCTTCATCACTATCCGTTTTCATTTCTAGTGTTGCCTTGTTTGGCCCTGCATACTCACTAGATGTGGGAGTACTTGGACCTTTTGCTCCATCATTACTCTGACTCCGCTTCTGGGTGCTCGTCCCCCCTTGTGTTTTTGGCACAAATCCCTTTGGGGCAGAACCTTTGGGTCCTGGATTGATTATTTTTCTCTGTCTCTTTTTTGAAAAATCTACATTATATATGGTAAAAAAAAATCAGTAAATTGTCTAAAAAATGGCTAGTATAAAAATGTAAAATTCGAACCAGTAGATAAATTGCAAGAAAGAACTAACCTGCACTTGCAGTGATTGGATAAGAAGCCCCAACCATAGGGAGGTCTTTGTGCCATGAAGAAGACTGAACCAAATGCATGAAAACAATAAATTGTCAAAATACAGGCTATACAGCTGTGATTCATACTATATATTTAAAAATATATATATAAAAGATAAGACCAGTGTTCTGTTATCACTCAAGCAAGTACAATTACAACACGGGCGAATTAAATTTTCTAGCATAGAAATTTAACAAAAAAATTAATAATCCATACTGAATAGGAAAAAAAATAGTAATGAACATATCAACAAAAAGCTTATGTTTATTGATTAGTTGTTGAACTTAGATAATCATAAATTAAAGAAACTAACATCAACAATCATTGATCATTCCAAGCGAGCACAAATGCAGACGCACTATCAATACACCTATAAATAAAATTAATGAGAGAGAAATTTACATGCGAGCAATGGCCTGTTCTTCTGAATGGCAAGAACCCAAGAAATGGTTCAATCTTGAGATGGGGTCTCTGAGTGAAGATTGTTCCCGGACATACAGGTCTCCGCGCTTGCAAAGACACCTCCATGGCAATCCTCACAGAATGTTTTCGAACGTTTGTTCTTCACCGCACAATCAATACAACATGCCCCACAGATCGGCCCGATCTCTCTCTGTATCTGTGCATATATGTATCTATATCTATATTTATATTTCATAAAATTGTTAAAAATAAATGGATGAATATATCAGAACAAACCTTAAGTTCATATAACAATCATATGAAAGTGAAATGTTGTGTAATATAGTCATGAGTCGAACAATCGTGAGCCATAAGAGTATAACTTCCCGTGTATTGCAGTACACCGGGCTGTGGTGTGTGTAAATATACTAACAGTGTGTTTTCTGTGTTTTGATGGATGATGAAGATAAACGGTAATCTTTGAGCCTACATTTGAGTTTTGCTGCGACGTCGTAGACGGTGGAACTTTATGATACAGATTAAAGCTCAACTTTTTTTAAAAATCACCTTTTCTTCTGGAGGTCCACACTTTTGAGGGCGATCTGGCTCGGGGAGGAATCGACCACGAATTGACACGCAAGTCGAGTCGAATATCCCCGTGTTGTCAAAAGATGTGGCAAAATTGGGACTAAGGGCTATCACTTTGTTTAATAAAATTGTCAATACTTGGAAAAATAATTGGTATTTTGAAAAAGGAAATATAGAAGAGTTCACTGTTAAATTATTATTATTATTATTATTTTGTTTCAAATTAAATGTTCATTTGAAAACTCTGACTCAAATATTTCTTTAATTCTAAAATACATATTCACTTTAAAAACTATGACTCATTTTCAAAATAGACATTTATTTTGAAATGAAAGGAATATAATTTTTGAAAGTAAGTTCAACAATTATAAAATATTATTTTTTTATTTTTTTTAAAAGGCAATAAGGCAATAAGGGTTAAAAATTAAATCAGTAAGGTGTAAAGATTCAAAGTCTGACACTCCTAAAATTCATCAGAGCCACTAACCATTGGACTATTAAGCATCTACATTTCTTTTCATCGTCACTGCCATCTCTTTCTAAGTACTAACACCATCTCTTTCTAAGCACTAGCATGTCATTTATTAGTATAGTAATATTTCATTTTCTTTATTTTCCTCTTACTTTTTAAGAACTGTTATTGTATTGTGATTTCAAGTTCAGAGTGACGAAGTAAATTTGTAATTTTAAATTTATCATTTAATTTTATCGAACCATTTTATTAAAGTGATTAAGTGTTTTTTTAGGAAATAAATAAATTCAATAACAACATGATGGCTTACTATGTCAAGTTAGCGTTAATCAACTATTAAATTATTAATTATTGACAATTAATGGTCGTTCCAAGTTTTTGTTGCCATATCTATAATTTTATTTTATTTTAATTTTGATAACTATATTTATTAAAAGCACAATTACATTATGTCTTTTACATTACTTTGATCTTATACGTTACTTTGGTTGGCAAATAACAAAATAATCATTGACATCAAGTAAAACTTGTGTCATTTAGAAGTTACAATACACCACCAATCATGCAAATTATTAATTCGACTCTTTAAAAACTTATGACTCAACATCAAAAACACTTATTTACAGAAAAATATCAAAAACACTTGTATTTTTTTATTAAACAAAAAAAAATAATCTATTTTTTTTTATTTTTTATCAATCAACATTATTTCTGATCACGTTTTATAGAAAATTTTACTTTACAAATCTATTTTTTACCTGTTGAAAAACAATTTACTCCTATTAGCAATATAAAATTTGTTTGGTTTAGTATTTTATTTTTTTAATAGTTGTAAAAATATATATAAAAATTTAAAACATTTTTTAGAAAAAAAAAAAAAAAAAAATGAAAGAAGGAAAGCTCGTGTATTAAAATTTTTAAATAAATAAAATCAGCTAAACCGTATGCAGAATGATTTCTTGTTTCAAATTTGCTGGAGCAAACGCCTGTGTTTTAGTAGTACTTTTAAAAAAATAAAATAAAAAAACTAAAAGCACGAAATAGACAATAAAAAAATAAAAAATAAAAAAAAAAGAAAAAGAAAAAAGAAAAAGAGATAAAAAGCGAGTAGATAAAACCCTAGGATCCCTCCGCGCCTTAACTTATTTGAAACACGGCGACCACCGACCCAGTACTTCCCGCCTCCAACCGTCTATTTAAAACTCTCACCTCCCCCTCTCATTCTCATCCCATCTCCATCTAGGGTTTGCACCACTCTCTCTATCTCTCTGTATATATATAGATATACATATATATAAATCCAAAGCTTTATCACCATGAAAGCAAGAGTCAAGTGCAGCACCAGATCTTCCACATCCACAAAGAGAGAAGAATCATCGTTCTGCAGATACCTAAAACCAGGAGCCCTAGCACAACTCAGAGACTCCAAAATAACTGCAGCCAGATTTAAGATGATCGATTCCGAAGCTCAGATCGCTCTCTACCAACTCAAATCCTCAACAACAACAACGTTATCATCGCAATCACCGCCAACCCAAAACACAGAAATGATTGAGCAGAGGCTTATTAGCTTCCCTTTCAGAATCAGCCGCACTCGATGCCTTCAGCGGAAGAAGCTCTCCGCAATTGCACCGGTTTTCTCTCTTCCTCAGTCTTGATGTCATTGTTTCTTCATTCAACAAATGCTAAAATTCTTTTCTTGTATACATTTCTTCGAATGTAGAAATTTCTAATATGAAAAATGAATAAAATGATTTGTTCGCTCCTTTTTATACCATATTGTTTTGGGGTTTTGTATTAATGTTATATAGTCTATTACAAATTGTGAAAAAGGGGAATGGTGGGTGATTATTGAAGAGGGAAGCAGAGTTTATTGAATTTCCTTCCTTTTAATTTGTGAGATAAAATTGGCTTGGCAATCTAGAAGAGATTCGGTGGCGCTGAATATGATTATCTGACACTTTGTTTATGGAAATTAATCTATTGTACTTTCTTTTATGATTAATAATCAAGTGATGTTTTATAATTACACTATATAGAATTGGAGAAAATTGTATAAGTTATTTTGCCTTAATTCCACCAATTTCAAGATTTCAATTCCATCAAGCCGAACATAGTCTAAGCAATAATTCTATATTTATGAACAAATGATGAAGATGGAAACTTATTATGTTGAATTTCCTTCATTTATGAGATGAAATTGGTTCGGGTGATCTAGAAAAGATGCTGAGACTTTTGGCGGCGCCTGCGCCCAACATTATATAGCTTACAACATTAATGAAACATAATTCAAGTGACATTTGGGATTTATCATTGTACTAAATAATGATCCCTTTTTGGTGGAAGAAGATGGAAATTTGAAGCAATGGGTCAGATGTAGCCGTATCAAGTTCTTACTTTCCAAATTTAGATTAGCGATTCAAGCCTTATGATCACCATAATTTTTTTTTTTGTGTAATGGCCTGAAGCATATGAGAGGAGAGGACAAGGCTGAAAGTTACTCGTGGTGCATTATGAAGTATTAAGAGGTTCCGAAGGAAAATGTGATTTGATGGATTGAATTTAATTTTGTAGTTTGAGTCTGAGTTTGTTACAACATACAGATACATTAAAGAGGGTCTTGTGTTATTTGTATTTTATACTCCACACATTTTGATGCATCATCCCTCGATCCGTTGCAAAATTTTGAGAGAGGAAAGACGTGAGTTTTCTTTTGTACACTTGTTGTCTTCAAAAGTAAAATTTTTAAGTAAGTGATTTTTTTTAATATAAAAAAAGTTGTCTCTTGCTAATCCCTATGGTCCACGGAGATGCTTAATTTTCAATTAAGATAATTTGTAAATGGCATCTTCTTCTTTTTTTTTTGGCTGGCACCGGAACTTACTTGGGCAGGACCCATTCGAGATTCACCCCAGGTTGCAAACCGGTGATGTTGTCGATGGCCCAACACCTCAGCAACAATTTCAGTCGAGAGTTATAATGGCGATAGACGGGTTCGAACCTGGGACATGAGCATTCCCAGGTTGTTACCTTACCAGCTTGGTCAAGCCCCTGGGGGCTGTAAATGGCATCTTTGAAAGGTTGCTTTAATCTGATGATAATGTTGTTATATCGCTCGAAATCTGAGTTTAAAATGAGAAATAACCTCTTTGCATAGAAAATAAGATTGCGTAAGACACCAAGTAGAAGGAACCTAAGGTATTAACTTCCCTTTATCTAACCATATTTCATTTCTTACCATATTTCATTTCGTAACCAAAAAATGTTTAAAATGATTAGAGAATTTTTCCTTAAATTCACCCACATGTTTCCCAAAGGTATGGTAATTCCTTCTTTTTTAAATTGTATCTTTTGATTGAAATATTCGTTTTGCTAAATGATATCTCTATTTTTGTGTGCTTTCACCAGCTTACTCTCGAAAATTTGTTGTTTGTGATGCCCATGCCCTCTTCCTTTTTGTGTGTCATTTATGATTAAATCAGTATGTCCATTTTGATTTTGAATCTTTGATTTAGCAAATAATAATTTAATGGTCAACATTTCTTGTGCCCTCCCCATAGTAACAGAGGCCTATATTTTCTCCTTTCCTTTAACTCTGAAAATGTATTTATCAAAAAAAAAAAAAAAAAAATTGAACTAATATATATATTTTTAATACCATAGTTGGTATTATTTTCTATATTAAGTTCATTTGCCTATGGATTTTATTTAAATTACTAAAACAGCATAGTATGATGTGACATAAAAGCTATTTTCTAATTATTTTAATGGATGAATTGAATGATTAATAATTGGGTGTGAATAGAAAATGAATTCAATAAGTTAAATTCAGTTGAATTTCAGTGTGTTTTAATTAAAATAGCATAGTATGATGTGATATAAAAGCTATTTTCTAATTATTTTAATGGATGAATTGAATGATTAATAATTGAGTTTGAATAGAAAATGAATTCAATAAGTTAAATTCATTTGAAAATATCTTAACGGAAAAACTTTCAGTGTGTTTTAATTAAAATAGCATAGTATGATGTGATATAAAAGCTATTTTCTAATTATTTTAATGGACAGATTGAATGATTAATAATTGAGTGTGAATAGAAAATGAATTCAATAAGTTAAATTCATTTGAATCTCAGTGTGTTTTAATTAAAACAGCATAGTATGATGTGATATAAAAGCTATTTTCTAATTATTTTAATGGATGAATTGAATGATTAATAATTGAGTGTGAATAGAAAATGAATTCAATAAGTTAAATTCATTTGAAAATATCTTAACGGAAAAACTTTCAGTGTGTTTTAATTCATGTTACTTTGTAACATATTGTCATAAATAATTCCAGCATGAAACAATTCTATTGTCGGTCATAGTTTTAGTGTTTATCTAATAGAGGGACTGGATATGTTCAGTGGCTTGTCATAGTTTAAGTCTATCTAATAGAGGAACTGTCTAACTGGTAGATAGTGTATGCATAGACAAATCATATATTTTACATTTTGCTTATCTATCCAGATTGCCACATAAACTAAAAGATGATGATGTGGCACTTTATTTTTTTGTTATTCAATATATGGAACTCAATTTTTTATTATCTATTTATTATTTTATTAATTTAATTTAAAAATTAAATTAAAAAATTAAATTTTAATTTCATAAATTTTTTTTGTCTTTTTTCCAACGAATATATTTCAATTTTATATAAACCATTCATTTTATCTTCTTTCAATTATCAAGTCCAATTCTTTGCATTCTTAAGTACATTATCTGTTATTTTAATTTTTATATAAACCACTCATTCTATCCTCTTTCAATTATTAAGTACGTCTACTTCTTTGCATTCTTAAGTTCATTATCTGTTCTTTAAGTCTTCATATTTCTTATACAAAAAAACAATGACTTCATCGTCACGAGATATACCCGTCTCCAAGTTCATTTCTCTATTGAATTCGTCATAGCCATTCTAAAAATTAATTGTCCTTTAATAAATTAATTGCCGTTTTAAGAGAGCCGCCAATAAAATATTAAACAAAATAATAAATATGATCCAAACACTTCTCGGTCGGTAAAGAAGACGACTACAAAAATGATACTCTACTTTATGTGCATATTACCCTCTCTACTTTTTACACTAAATACTCTAACGATCTTAAACATGCGTGCAAACTCTACAATATTCTTTACTTTTTCTTCCAAATCCTACTATGTTTTAGGATCTCTCAAATCCTACTATGTTTTAGAATCCTTTATCTCTATGCAACACTTCAGAATTTATTACAAAGTGTTAATGGAATACTCTAGAATCCAACTCTCCTAATACGCCGCCATGCTGATGCAACCTCCCTTCAAATTGACTGAGTGTGACATCAATACTTTTTTACAATCAAAACGATGTGAATGCTGAAACAATACGAAATCATATCTCATCAATTGATTCAACCTGGCGTTAAAAAAATAAAAATAAAAAATTGATTCAACCCAATGAAAATTCATTTCAATTCTACACCACATAGCTCAATTTGGGTGCGTTGGGATATTTATGTATGAATGACTGTTGTTCCGTAAATGCGTATCTTTGTCAGTAATCGGTTGGTGACAACCATTTTAGTTCTTGAAGCCACATAGCAAGTAAAATAAGTAGAATCCAACCAAGGGTAAAATAAGCAGTTATAAACATTAACAAAAGAAACCAGAACCCCAAATAATACAAGAACTAACAGAATGAGGGGCAAAATTAACATACAAAAGTGAGTGGCTTGTAAACACACTTTGTGCGCGAGGTTTGTACTTACCAACTAAGTAAATACTTAGAAAAAACACGAAAACACATCCTTAGCAATTGACTCAGCTTCTTTAGCAGTGGGCTGATTACCTCCTTCAAGAAACTTATCTACAGGAATACAAGGCCTACTGAGAAAGTTGGAGTTCAACCATTTTGTCAACACTAATAACAGTGTAATCAAGGCCAAGACATTTCAATTCTGCAATTATGGATTCGGCCTTTTTGATAATTACATTGTTAAAGCACCACCACAAAGGCCGCGATCACGGCTGACCACAATCAAACCCACCCTCTTGACAGGTCTAACATTAGTAGGGGCACATCCATGTCCTCATTTTGGAGCTGTTCATTGATGTTGTAAAGAACTTCAACAAGAGTTTCCGAAAAGGGTCTGCCATTGACCACAGCTTCTTGTGCTTTGCGCACCTTAGCGGCAGCAACAAGCTTCATAGCTCGGTAATTTTCTGGGTATTTTTCACAGAATCAGTACGTTTACCTCCAGAAGTTTTTATACATCCAGACATACTTTTAACAGGAGCTAATTAAATAAATGACACGTGACATTCTTTGGGGAGGTTTGAGACCTGGAACAGCTCGGATGTGAAAGTAAGCAATTATCAACAACGCACCCAAATTTATGTCACTACATTTAAACTACTTACAGCCAAATTGTTTGGTAATTTTCGTCTTGCTCATATTGTGTTTGAGAATTTTATTAGCACCACAAAACTTGTCTTCACCGCACATTACATCTCCCTTCAATGTACTATATGTACAAGTCACAAGTCTGTGCAGAACACTTGCATTAGAGGAACATGCGTGAATAAATTGAAGACTAACTTCTTTCTCATACCATTAGCCAAAATCAAATCATATTAACAAAGAAGGGACCAGTCTCCATGCAGCCTTGTTTAGCAGGTAGATTAGTTGAGAGGATCACTTTTCGCAACCTCCACGTGTAGCTGAGATTGATGCCCATTCTGTCACTTGCAAGGTAGCCATTTTTCGGGTAACCAAAAACCAACCCTAGCATTTCCCAACAGAGCCACAATCAACCAAACTCATTGCTACAACCATGGTTGGAGCTCTGTATGGCCGCAACTGTATTTAATCTTGAATCTCTCTTTGACTCAACCCATATTAAAACTAGAATTAGTTCTGCACGCACGCTTCCTGGGTTTCTTCAATGGGTCAACAGCAAGAGAACCCAGCTCGAGCTGTTGAGGCATGTCCCCAGCCTGTTTCTGTGATCTAAAATCTTTTGTACTTGACATTGTCTTCTTGCAAGATCTACTTGGACGTGCTGACATCCAATTCTTGCCAGCCGAGCCTTCCATGTTTCTACTTTCTACACGTTTTGGCTTGGTTTTGTTACCTGGTGGGCAACCTGGACCACATGAATTCAAACTCAAGTTTAAAGAACTACTCGGTTTATCTTTCCCTTGCTCTGTCAAATCCAACTTAAGAGTGCTGGCTTCCGAGTGCTTCCCTGTTTTACATTGTTGATTATCAAAATCTGCATCTGCTGCAACTTTCTCCACAGTCACAAATGGAGCTTCCTAACAACAATCAAATCAAAAAAATTAATTACATATAAAATATGAAATGCAGATAAAATTATAGCTGCCCCCATTAAACAAGGCTAATACTGTTTGCCCCTAGTGGATGAGAGACTATGACTTCCACAAGATATGGACTCTGCTAATAAAACATGCTATAAACAAGCTTAGTCAAGCAAGTAAATTGAATAATATTTTTTCACGTGCATAATGTTGTTATCAAAGAGCACATGCAAAAACAAACACCACAATAATCCCCAGGGGATACTATATGGAATTCTAGGAAGAAAGGGAAAACAAGAGCAAGGATGCTTTTTTGAAATTAAAGCAGCACAGTAGCAACGTCACACCTAATGCAATTAAACAATAAGGCGGTCAAACATTAAAAGGAATCAAATGTAACGATGCATCATCTGGAATTCGGAATATTAGTGATTGAAAAGCAATTAGTAGATGATCCTTCTAAAGATTGATAAAAGTCCAAGCTGGCTATAAAACAAAAATTATTATGAGGAATTACATCCATTATACATAAAATATAGAACAACATAACCAACCAGGACATAATGAACTTGTAACATCTATGGATTAGACATCGGCACGAATGAACAATGCATCTCACTATTCAAAAGCATTTGAATACAAATAGAAAATAAAAAGATACAGAGGCATACCTTATTTTGTATGTCAACAATCTGTTCAGAGTCGGATCCCCCCTCGCCTTCAGAGTCGGCCATTTCCTCACACTCAAACTCTACACACTCTTCAACTTCTTCCTCAGAGTCACTCAACTCCTCCTGTTCCATCACAATTTCTGGAACAGACTGATTATTTACATTACTTGACATAACCAATGCGTGGGCACTTGAATTAACCTTGTTGCTTATTCCATCCGGAACAGAAGCTAGCTTGTTTTGAGTTTCCATAGTAATTCCAGAATCCACAGCATTTGAGATTGGCCGCATTTGATTATGCTCGGTAACATCTGTACTTCCCATCACTTTCTTCTTTCTGGATGTAAAACTTAGGTGAATCTCCAAATCCAGTTCATTAGCCTTTCCATTAGGACTAGAGGGTTTAGTAGAAGTAGCTTTTGGAGAGCTAGTGACCTGTGATTCAGTTCGAACAGCATCAGATGAATCCTGAAGCTGAACACAGTTGCCTCTTAATGAATCCAAATTAACAGACGGATGGGCAGCTGAAAGTGCAACTACTGAGTCACTATTTACATCATGAGCTCTTTGCAGAAGTGGATGGAAGTCAATATTACACGATGACGAAGTAGTTTCCTTTGAAGATTTGTGAAAAGGGTCAATTGCTTGGTTTGCTTGGTGAGGATTATGAAACAGACTGAGATTCAACTGGGGCTGATTTCCTGAAAAGAAATTGAAAGAACTACAAGCATTATTACTGCAGCTCAAGGGATAATATGGCAGACGCGCATCTTCAGAGGCCTGGAACAGCAAAGGATGCATCTGTAGATCTGAGTCGCATTTTTCTACTGTAATACATTTATCCCCGCTGATTCCAGATTCTTGTGGATGCAGAGTACCGCTTTTATGTATCAGTGAATTACTTTTGTTCTCTCTGGCTTTTATTAGAGAGCTGGTTCCTGACTCTGCAGCATAACTAAGTTTCCGAACTGTATTTTCTGTTGCAGCATCACCATTTCCAGCAACAACAGCAGAGATCCTAGTAGATACTCCACCCTGATAGCTTTTGAAAGCTGACTGAGACATTACACGGACAGATGGTGGAAGATTCACAGGAGGCAAGTCTGGAGCCAATTTCACTAAACAAGCACTATTTGCTCTACGAGCACGATATGGCCGCATATATAATTGGGACTTGGAGGACCTAAAACTCATATCAGAAATTGGGTGAGTTGTTGCACTATGTCTAGCATGAGCAAAACGAGCTAAATTATGGAGTCCCTGAGAGTAATTCAAAGCATCTGGAAATTCCTGATCACTTTGCGCATGAGATTCTCCAGTCTTGTTATAAATAGTGTGTTCCCAGACACGAGAACCCTCTTGCAACAGTAAACCACTGGGTGGATTATTTTCCCTAACATTCAGGACACACAGATTAGAAGAAGTACCCGGTCTCCAATCTGCCAAAAATGCCTCGTGAACATAAGCTTCATCTTTGTTAGCCATGCAATCATCTCCACTGTCATTTTCTCCACCAGCATTATCAGTATGACAGTCCTGTATCAATGAAAATAAGGTTAAAAATCGATGTTCGTGAGAAGAACACCCACCACACTGCCAATAAGCCTGGAATAGTCCTTGATGATAAGGATGTTGGGCTAAGCCATTCTCCAGCAAAAGTTGGATATCTCCAAGGAAGTGTAGAATTTCGTGGCTTCAGCTAGGACATGCATGCATATATACATAATAGCTAATTACAAATAATTCAATGAAAACTCAATATCAAAGAAAAAAAGCATTACATTGGTAAGTTAGGCTTCAATATTTTGGGCTTCCAAAAACTGTTTCATTGAGCTTAAAAATGTGAACTCTACTAGTGAGAACGTGAGATGAAGTATAGAGATTGGTTTGCCTCTGTAGGGCAAGTCTGATCACTTTGAAAATATAAATTCTAGGTTTCATCCCATTCAGCCCATCTGAAATCATAGCAAGAGACAACAAACTAAGCTCAAGTCTACCTACACAATGCCAAGCTCAAGCCAAAACCATATCTTGGCAAAATTCAGGTTGTTCACAGCGTCACATATTTCTAAAATGGTTATGGGTTTCGTTGCAATCCTTCATGTATATCATATGACTCATTCAGACGGTTAACGAATAAGCATACCTCTTTTTCAGATGAAGTCTGCCAACTTGCCGAAGCTGCAGATTTGCACTTTCTTCTATGTGATTCATACAATCGCCGCTTCTCTTTTTTTTCCGCATTTGATTTATATATTTTTTGAGTTCCAGTAGCAATGCGCCACTGCCGGGGTAGCAGGGATGGATCTCTATATGGGACAGTGAATTTCCATATGGACATCCAGTCAAGTTTAAAAACCTTTAATCCCTGCTTTATTTCAGTCAGATGATTAAGTGAGACGGCAATGCATCACATGACTGTTATGTGAAATAAATGGACAAAAAGAATATAAAATAAAATGGCCTCTTGAAATAACTTTTCCAAAGAAAAAAGGAAAAGAAAAGAAAAGAAAGGGGACCTCCTGAATCCGTGCCATCTCTTCTGCAGTCAAGGGAGAGTTTTTCATCCTCCGAACTGCCTGCATGAAGACGCAAACAGTATTATAACTTTTAGTAGTGAAGAGTAGTCAATTGATGACACAAGTATTATCTGCAAAACCCTAGGTCCACATTGAGGATTTACCTCCTGTCTTGGTGGGCTATGCATCTCTATGATATACAAAAAGCGCGAAGCAACTCTTAAAATTATGAGAAACATTTCAATTTGAAGAGCAAAACGAAATAGTTATAGAAGTAGACATATGCCAACATTGTAAGTAAATCTAAACTAAAGAGTTGCTTTTGACTACAAAAATTTTCAAAATCAAAAGTGATTTTAAAAGTTTCTTTTAATGGTCAGTTACTTGGTGAGCACGTGTTTGACTCATAGCAGGCAATTGGCACACACTACATAGCTTTCCTCAAAACGCCTATTGTGTACTCAAACCCGTGAGCTCAAGTGCCTGTAACACATAAACCCATGTCCACCTTTGCACAATTGCACACATGGTATACCTATATAGGCTACATATCAATAAACATAATTCATAGGCCATCTCTTGCCAAGAATTTGACTACAATATCAAATTAATTGGCATATTTTAGCATTCAAGCCCCTAAAATTTCTCTGGACCATTTCCTTTGGAGTAGTTAGAGAAATTACAGAGCAAACCAATCAAACTAATGATGTAGAAGTAATGACTACCAAGTACAATGAAATTTTGGCAAGTTCTCATGCACCAAAATTATGCAACAGGTGCCATGGAGGGGAATGAGATGAGACTACAACTTAGTCCATCAATCAGAATGAGTAGCAATGAATCAAGATATTATTGAAAAAAGCTCTAGGATGTTACATACCTTTATTGGATTTTCAGAAGCTTTAGAAGATGAACGATTTTTCTGCCTAACAAAAATCTGTAACAAAATTAACAAATCATATAAATCACCATACTAAAGCTGATGAAATTACATAATTTTGTGCCTACATCACTTCCATTCCCAAAAACCAAGTAAATAGAGGGGAATAAAAACATTGATGCAAGTCGTCATAGACATGACAAATGACTTGCTGAATTATGCAAATCCATAAATTGTATCAAATGACACTGCTAGGTTGCAGCAGAGGAGAAATATAGGAAGAGTTTTATTCTTGAGAGAATAGGAGTAGTCCAGTCCGAAAGCAAATTTGAGACTAAAAGCTCATAACAGTAGGGGATAAAAAGGAGGAATCGAGTGAACAGAATTGCTATTAAACCATAAAAAAAAGAATTGTCATACAATTAATCCATCAAGCAGACGCATTTTTTTTTAAAGGAACTTTTTCAAACCAAAAACAAAGGAACTTCAAACAACAAAAAACCTGATTGCGTAGTATTTGAAATGACAAATTCACAAGGAAATTACCTGATGCTTTGATTTGCAAGGAAGAAAGCGTTGCTGAATTGCTTTCCAGTCTGTATTATATTCCATCAACCCCAATGCTAATAACCTGCAATGCAATCTCAAGATCAGAAAGGTGAAATTCTATGGAAAATGGACATTCCAACAAACAATAAGTAGAAGTCCAGATTACTGCAAAAGAAGGTTATAAATTGGAATCAACCATCATTATGACCATGAAAACAATGAAGGAAAGTGCACATGCATCATAACATCTAACCTATAAGGCAATTTACAGAATTAAAAGACAAGTAGAACTGCTGTTCAAAAAAATAATAAAGAAGTTCGATTCCTTAAAATTTTTATAGGAAGACATATAGTTGATTAAACACCATATATTAAACTCGATCACTGCAAGGAAGCAGATGAATTTCAGACATTTGGCATAGAGCTTTCTTCATTCTAGAAATATGTCCCCTCTATGATGAAGGCAGAAAATCAAACAATGATTTTAAGGGGTAAACACTATTCCTCCAACTCTTCAAGTATATAAGGACTGAGCGCCTGTCATCATATATAACTTCACAATAAGGCCCATTCATTAGCACTCCCAACAACATGCAAAATCAGAAGCTTATACTGACAAAAGAATCCACCCTAATATGAAGTTTAACTACTGTTCCAGCATATTGGTACCCACAAACCAAAGTCTAACAAATATCATTTGACAAGTGATTGTTTTATAAATAAACACGGCAGAGGAGGAAGCACAACCCTTATACATACAAAGTATACACGAGCTATAAAGGCAGGATCTAGACCCCTATACAACTCCAATAACTTAAGAAATCTACAAGAGTTATAAGAACCCGGCACAAATGAAAAGTATTTAGCTATTTCTTTCTTTCAATGTATATGACTGTATCCTCAACAACCACGCCTATTCTGCTCCACAAAACACTCCAAAGTGCAATCAAGCAAGGATTGTAACCCAGTGGTATCTTTTAAGTCCCCATAGGGGCAAAGTAAAGTTGTGAGGACCAAAACAAAAAAAGCCCCAAAGTGCACATAATAAATCCATCAAACCAAAAGGACTCGTACCACTAGGGCAACCTTCCACCTTACATCCAATAGTATCCACCAAAGTCAAAAGCAAAGGAAGAAATGAATAGTCAGTTCTTTTCCGATTAGTGGATTCCTTTCTTAAGATCCATAACTATAACAAAGAAAGACAGAGATCAAGGCCGACATTAATTCAAGGGTCCATGATCTTCGATATCGCTTTCTATGTTCAACTCAACTCAATAAGCTTTATTCCACAGCATAGCTTTTTTAACATGAGTCTCTATCCCTACTGAACCCAAACTTGAATATGTTTTTGAGATGGTTAAAGTAGCACCAATTGGAGATAAAATGAGAGATTGATTTAGACGTTTTGGGCATGTGCAAAGAAGACCACAATTTGCACCGTGTAAGAAGAGTGACACGATTCACATTGAGGGTAATGCTAGGGGAAGGGAAAGACTAAAATTAACATGGATAAAGTTAAAAAAATATGATAACGTGTGGTTTGACTGATGGTATGGCCCTAGATAAAGTGGAATGAAAATATAGGATTCATATAGTCGATCCCAAGCAGTTGGAGAAGATTTTGTTGAATACTCCACGTAGGTTTCGATTTCCTTTTCGTTTAATTCAACAATCACAAAGGTGTTTACTTTTTGAAGTGTTTATTATCACACCTGATTGCAGAAATTCACCTAAAAAGTTACACATGCATGCCTACTCAATTTAATAACTTGATAGCATACAGTTCATAATAGAGATATGCACTGCCTAAGGAATCAAAAATACATCACTCAAGCAATCCAATTTCAGTTCTAGCAAAGAAAGTTTCTGGGAAATTAAACGTATGATTTGCAGCAAATGGTTACTAGATCATATTGTCAAAGGGAATAAATAGTAAAAGCAATCATTAGGAAGAACATTTACATGGCAGGTTGTCAACATCCAAGACCAAAAGGAAGTGCATAACTCACTCATCCTCTGAATCAGTGAAAAGCACCCGGTTCACGACGGATGCAGGGGGTGGAGCATGTGGAAATAAGGCTGGATTAAACAGTGGAAAAAATCTCTGAGCTAACTTCGCAATTTCTCTTGGGACTACAGCAACTGATTGCTTTTTGGTCTTTTCAACAAGTGCAGCAGCCAATGTCTTCTTAGGTGGTAGATCACTAGCTGGAGAAGGCGGCACTGGGTTGGCAGCTGGAGAAGTGGTTCCTCTTACTTCACCATTAGCTTCAGTGGAAGACTGAAAACTGGGAAGGGGGAACAAGGGCACCCTTTCAAGACGTGTATCACAAGTAGCTTCCACTTGTCGACTTTGATACTCCCACGAAGCTGTCAACAAATCGACACAAATGGTCAAGCATATAAAGGTTATTAGCATGAACGACCAATTAACTGCAGAAACGCAATGAACTTTTAATTTCACCTATATGGCATACCAGTAGAAACGTCATCCATATATTTTTCAACTAAATTAAGTGGAGCAGCATCCAGAACGGAGTGTACAGGACCATTTATAAAAGGAACCCAGAAGGAACCCTCAGTAGTTTGAAAGCGACCCTCCTCCCTGTTAGAAACATATACACCTCCTTCTTTAAAAGGGGAAATCACATCAGAAGGCAGCATTCTGTTGTTTCCAGAAGAACAATATCTCTGTGCTTCCAAGGACCAAGATGATCCAAAGGTGCTCTGTGCTGTCAAAGATTTGGAGGGTTCAACTTGCACTGATGGATGAATGTAAGGAGGGCAAAAACAAAAACTGGGATATGGTACCCTTCTCGACGATAATACTTGATCACGTCTATGAAGCATCTCTGAAATAATTTCCTGAACTTGGGAGGCAATGCACTGGCGAGAAGGGTCAAGAATACAAAGAGAAAACACCTGAATAAGAAGTTGTAGATGCTCGTGTACTAAACAATGCAACTGGCCCAGCTGATGTGGAGTAAAACCATTTATTAAACCGTTAGATGCTGCTGATGACAGACAAGATGAAGAAGTCTCCAAATTTTTTCCATCAAAAGCTGGGAAAGGTACAATTGCTGCATTTGGTAAGAGGGGGCGCAATGGCCTGTTGGTCTGTTCAAGCAGCCTTTTTTTGTATTGGGCAGAAGATCTTTGGCATCGGTTTTGCCTAGTCTCAGGTCGTCTACCAGCTGCCTCGTGGTCCTTTACTTGTTTCTCACCACCTGTATTTTCATCGAAGTCACTCTCAAGTGCCTCTTCAATTTCTATCTCAAAGTCCACATCGTTGTCTTCATCTTCATCATCAACATTTTCATTTTCTTGAATCGTCTGACTCTCTCCATCTCCACCCAGTAAAACAGCTGCAAGAAATTTCCTATATTCTTCTTCATCGTCGACATTCTGAAGATCATCTTCATCATCCGTTTCTTGAAGAAAAGTCTCAAGTTCATCAAGCGTAAAACTGGCAAGCGAATAGCGAGCTCTAGTGCGCATGCATATAGCATCCTCATCATCTACATCCATAATGAGCTTCCTAGAATGTCTTGTTTTGCCACACTCTCTAGTCATATCATTAATAGCCTCTGCTCCACTGTTTGAGCCATTTTCTTCTCCACAAAAAGTTTCATTTTCAGGCTGACAGATCCAAGAATCTGATTTTCTCTTCCTTATGTCTGTGGGAGAAGATTTTTCTGATTCTTTTTCACATGCTCCTCCAGAAGAAACTGCATTTTGCAACATCTCCTCATCGTGCTCGGAATCTCCAACAGCATAGTCTTGGATTTGAGAAGGTGGCTTTGACATCAAATTAGTAACCAAATCTCTGTAAGCATTTCCCCCACTGTCAACAACATCAACATCCAGACCTTCAACTTCAGAGCTCAAGCTTGAAGAAGCTTCCACAGATGGGGTATCTTTAAGAAAAGGATAGAAATCTACATCCTCTTCTTCATCCCCATCCTCGTCCTCTTCTTTGTCATCCCCGTGTTCCAAATGGCTTTCACCACATTTGGACAAGGTTGCATCAGCAGGGACAGCATTCTGATGATTGTGATGGGTCGATAGCTCATTTGAACATGACGGCATCTTAAACAAAAAATTATATAACTGCGGCTAATGATTCAAAATCTTAGAAGCCCCTAAGAGTGGCAGAAGGAACTGGCATCCATTAGAAGGCAATCAAACAACTAATTGCTGCCCTGAAGAAAGCAGAAATCAAACATCAAACTAAAATATATAAAAATCTCAATATGTGGGAAAGCAGGTGCTTATATTACTTATACAGCTTACCAAGATCAAGGTCATCTAAATCCCAACATTCTACAATTTATCAGACGTGTGTAGTATTGATATGAAAAACAATGACCATTGCAATTTTAATTATCCACAATAACAATCAGCCAGTAGCAAATGATTATATACCACACTTAGATGATTTGTCTAAATAAAGTGCCATTCTCTCAGCACGACGGTCAGTGTCCACCGATATGTGGATTGGTTTAACTGAATCTGTGGATTAAATACTAAGTTTCGCAAATTATATCTACATACTGATTCCTTTACTAAAACTTGGTTATATGATGAATCCCAAGCTTTAAACTTGTAATCCAACACTTATTTGCTTAAAATTTTACATCTAATTGCTATTTAGAAAGAGTTTGGAGGTTTTGTTGGTGGAAGAAGAAGAATGTCATGAGAAAAGAGAATAACAATAGTTGATTAGGGCTTCAAGCAGTAATTGTGATCCTTGATGCAGTAATTGTTGATATTCGGTACAACCGCATGTGAATTCCCCATTTTTCTTCTCTCTTCATCCCCCTCTCTCTTATCATTGTGTATTGTTCTCTTTCTTTGCAACATTTGTCTGAGACGAGACCGGTGGGTAAATTCGTAGAACAAAAATTATGCGCCCTTCTAATTTTATGCTTTGCATCTTTTATCTTATATTATCACTGTTCACTTTCATTTCATTCTCACATGAACCCTAATAATCTTAACATAAAGCCCTTATGGATTAATCTATTTCACACTGATATTGGCACTTTATCATTTCATTTGAGACCACGGGACTGTTACATTCTTGTTCTCACACTCTTGGCACTTTTATTAATAGAAGTACACTGCAAGTCTAACTATAATATGACATAATCACCAGGTAATAAATATTCAATACTCTAATACATTTCAAAATTACATAACCTCTCCCACATAAATTTATCTTGCCATGTTGAGATAAAAATTAAGCAAATAAAATTTATGTTTTGTTCAGCAATCCGTAGAACAGAAAACAATCAGCAAACCTCATAGACAAATAAATCATATTCACAATACTTAGAATTGAAATAAAAAAAATAAAGAAAAAAATAAAAACTTATCTTGCCCAATCACATCAGCATTAACAGGACATTTACAAGATTAAGAAGCGGACATACAATCTAATTTCACTCAAATTCAAGGCATGCAACACATCAAAATCCTTCTTGAACTACACATCAAATTCAAGTGTGCGGATGAGACTGTGTGTGTGATATTAGGGTTTCCAAAGAAGAAGATTTTGCCGAGAGAATAATGTAGTATGATCCTCATAACGTGAGCATATTAATGAACTTGCCAAAAACCCTAATAAAGTCCCAAGTTTCAATTTTCTTTCTGGTTATTTCCGTACCATATGCAGCCCAAATGGAGATGGAGAAGAGAGAGACTTACCTGGAAAAGCAGCAGCAGAAGGGGACACCAAAAAATGACGATCGACAGTGACGAATTGATCGGCGATGGACAAACTCAGCCACTTGACGGAGGACGAATAATTTGTTTTAGAAGCTGTTTGGCAACCGTCAAAATAGTTCAGGCTCGGTCCGTCCGATTTATGTTATTCCGTTTAAAGATAACCTCCAAGCTCCGAAAGCATATGTATCAACCCTTGCATTTGGACTTCAGTGAACTAGATCAACTCAAATGTGAGTCTAGAAAGCTTAACAGGGTAGAGCCCAACCCGTTACTGTTATGCATAACAGGCTATAGCCCAATTTGTGGCCCACACTGCACATTGCACGTACTTCTTTTCCACATAACATTTCGGTATATGTCAGTGTTGGGGTTGCAAACCAACCAAGTCAAGCTGAACTTAGACTTCTCGGGCTCCGGCTTGTTAATTTATAACTCAGCTTAGACATGGTTTGAGCTCCTAACAAGCTCAAAAAATGAAACTCGAGTTTAGTCTTTCCGTTATTTTAAAAAGTTTAAATTCGACTTGTTTGAAAAAACAAATGGAATTGATGTTCAAAATTGATTTCAGCTCGTTTAATAAATCATTATATTTTTGTTTCATAGAATTCTAATAATAAATATAAACTAATTGTTATAGTTTATGGTTCACCTATATATACTATTCACGAATATAAAAGAATTTATGCGAGCTCACATTCACACGAGTTGGGTCTAATACTACTCAGGATCGACTTGTACGAGCTCATGTTCACAAGTTGAGACTTATATTATTTAGAATGACTATTTTATTAATGATTTTGGCTCGTCTACTCTTAAGTAACTAGTAAAAATGAACCCTACATCATAGTCGGTGCCGCCAAACATAAGCATGCCTGTATTTACACAGATAGAGGAACAAATGAGTTTGAGAAGAGGAAGGAAGGAAGCAAAACTTTGTTCCTCTTCTCTAAGTGCTCTGGTGAATTCATGAATGCAAGTGTTGCTTCCTTCCTCTTCCCAAACTCCATTGTTTCTCTCTCCTCTGTTTCTCTATCTAGCATTTGAAGTGGAAAAAGAACCAGGTGCAAAATGGAGTGGCTATTGCGTGGGGTTGCAAGTTGGGTTGCCCAACCTAGCTCAGTTCCAATCCAACCCAACCCAAACTCAACCTGAAATCGGGTTTGATTGGGCCAACCCGAATTCTATCCAAAATGGATTACGTCCAACTCAGTCCAAATATTTTGGACGAGTCAAACAGGTTTCAAGGGTCTCTTCTTTTTATTTATTTTTACCAATATGCAAATTACATGAATACAATACATAATTCCTTGATATATATATATATATATAAAAGAAATGTGTAAAGAGGAATAAGGGAGTAGTTGTATTTATTTGGTAATTAGTGCAATACACAAATTAAGTATAAATAATTCATTAATACACACACACACACACACATATATATATTAGTCCCATAGAATTTTAATAGTTGACAAACAAATTAGAATGATTCAACGGATTTAAAAAAAGTCTAATGTTGGAGAAGGTTTTGTTGCCCAAGAATGGACACTAGAGGGGGGTGAATAGAGTCCTTGTCTAATAATGGCAGATTTAAAATTAAGTAAATGTGCAAGATGCAATTTCTATTTGACAACTATGAGTTAAACAAAATCAGCATATAAATGTAGTAGCAAGCAGTGGCTGATTTTAAGTTTATAGAACTCCAATTTTCAGCAAGTATCTTATTGTAATTGTGCAACAATAGATATATGAATTTAGCAATATAATGGCACAATTATAACAGAGATAAGGGAAGAGAAATTGCAAACATAGACATAGTGATTTTAGCGAGGTTCGGAAAACTCCTACTCCTCGGTTCAAGACCCCTCTTGAGACTTCCCAATCCACTATGGCTCCTCCTTACTGGTGGAAAGCAAACCTTGATTAGAAGCAACTCCTTGCTAAGAGAAAACCTCTCTTAGTCTTCATTTGGGCCAAACCAGCCCTTACAATAGCTTTGCTAAGAGAACTCCTTCTCTTAGGCTTACTTGGGCCACACCAGCCCTTACAATTTATTTACTAAGAAAAACACCTCTTAGTCTTACAGCAGATTTGTAAATAGAAATGGCAATACAATAAATCATCTCAAGAACTGATACAAATCAAACTTCAGAATAAAGTATATATGAAATCAAGTGAAGTTCAAACTCTAAGTATGAAATGTATGAGAGATCATGAGGAACCAAACAGAACACAAGCTCTGTAAAATATCAGAACAAAAGTTCTGTTTAAGATCAAATTAAGCTGGGAACAAAAGCTCCTTTGAAGATGGATTATACCATAAAAAAAGCTTTGTAAATGATAAGTGAAACCCAAAACAAAAGCTCTGTTTAAGGCTCACGAATATGGCTCTATCTTCTCTTAATTTCAGCTATACAAAACTGATGTATATATATAGACCATATGATGTAATATAGCTGTTGTGTAAATCTACATGATGGGCATGTGAATATCTGACTCTATGATGCTCGAAATATGTGTGTAAAGGTCTGTATAAAGCCTGGAGCAAGATTGCAGAAGTATTAAAGAAGATGCGCAACTCTGACACAGAAGGAATATAGCCGTTGGCTATTCCTTCAAGACTTAGTCAACTTAGTTGTGAACTAAGTCGGCTCAGTTCAAGATTGAGTCGACTCAGTTATAAACTGAGTCGGTTGAGTTGCCTATTTTCTGGGTTCTGAAAGTGATAAGGCTCGGTCTAACTAAGTCGGCTGGGTTGAGAAGGGAGTCGGCTTAGTTATGAACTGAGTCGGCTGAATTATTAAATGAGCCGGCTGAATTGAATTTTGATTTTGACGAGCCTCGGCCTAACTTAGTCGGCTGGATTGCTGACTGAGTCGGCTGAGTTGCATTTTACCAGAAATTCAAACTGTTTTGTGGCCTGCAACAGGCTTCTGCACAGGACTTTTGCACACAGCTTATTTCCATTGAAAACATTTAAGTAAATGTCTTTATAATATTTATATATCCATTTACTTTAAGTTGACAATGTAAATAAAGAAGTACCCCCCGTTTGGATTCAATAAAAAATATTAGAGAATTGAAATCCAACTAAATCAAAATGTATAAGTTCAGTTTTAGTATAAATTTGGATTTCCGACAGTTTTGGTAAAAATGAATCCTTATGTAGACCAATGTAAACTTGGTCAAAAATTCTAATAAAATCAGTTTAGGCTAGTTTAAGTATAAAGAGTTATTACCGGGAAAAATTATTTTGAAATAATCATTATTTCAAAAATCCATTTTTCACACTTAGCCAAAAACACAGTTTTTTATGACGCGTATTCTGGGGTCCTAATGTCCGTTACCAACTCATGGTAATGAAGGCTTCTCATTCCTTAATTGTTGACCAATATGAATTATATGATTGATGTGCATAGTCTTAGCATTTCTAACACAAGTGATGAGTTATTTCTAAGCTTATTGTCACGAAGTGATTCCTAAGACGCTTGGAGGATGGAAGACACGCATGCTGGTTGGCAAAGAGCAGAGTTTGACTGGGAATGGTTCCAGGGAAGGGGCGTGCAGGAGCACAGGATGGTACCTCTTCAGAGTTCAGGCAGGTCGACTCGGTTCAGTTCGGGGTGCTTGTCGCTGGTCTTGGACTTGACTATGAAGAAGGGAGTTGGCCATCCCTGCACAAACTGGTCGGGAGCTGGAGCCGTTCCCCTGACGAGGCCATGGCAGGCCGAAACCAGTCAGCATGTATCCTTGGGAGGGCAGGTCGTGGTGGCTGACCAGGGCGCTTGCGCGAGCTGAAGCAACGCCTTGGTGCCGCACGGGCCGTGCCGCTGCGCCAAATCTCTAGGCCCGTGACAAATGGTATCAGAGCAGGACTTGGGGTAAAGCACGGTGGGGTGCCCCCTTGTCGGTCCGGGAGGGTTCAGAGAATGAAGACGGTGCATTGAAGTTGCGTCGATGTGGAGGAATCAATGCAGTTGGGGGGGAGAGCCTCCATCTCCCCAGGAAGAGGCGTCCGTTGAAGTTGCGCATTGAAGGGCCGGAGGGCCGCGCGCACCAAAGTTCGTGCTTAGTCCTTGGGTGATGCAAACCATGGTGAAGGGCGAGCATCAAGTCGGCAGAAGGCCATTGCTTGCTCGGGATGTCGCGGAGGCGGCATGACGGAGAAGAGTCACGTCCTTGAGGAGTGGACGTCCCCTTGGTCCGAGGCCTATCATTGGGCGAGTGCAGTGCAGGGAGCTGCACAAGGAAGCGATGGTGGGAAGGCGAGCATACCGCATGGAGGCAGACTTTGGAAGGGAGTGGACGCAGTAGTGAAGCGCCGCACTGCGACGAGGACGTCGCAGGATTTGGGTGGGGGAGAATGTCACGAAGTGATTCCTAAGACGCTTGGAGGATGGAAGACACGCATGCTGGTTGGCAAAGAGCAGAGTTTGACTGGGAATGGTTCCAGGGAAGGGGCGTGCAGGAGCACAGGATGGTACCTCTTCAGAGTTCAGGCAGGTCGACTCGGTTCAGTTCGGGGTGCTTGTCGCTGGTCTTGGACTTGACTATGAAGAAGGGAGTTGGCCATCCCTGCACAAACTGGTCGGGAGCTGGAGCCGTTCCCCTGACGAGGCCATGGCAGGCCGAAACCAGTCAGCATGTATCCTTGGGAGGGCAGGTCGTGGTGGCTGACCAGGGCGCTTGCGCGAGCTGAAGCAACGCCTTGGTGCCGCACGGGCCGTGCCGCTGCGCCAAATCTCTAGGCCCGTGACATTATGCAAGCTTGAACTAACTCATTCTTTTAGCAAAGACTTCATGTGTCAATTATATGAATGAAGTGCATAGTCTATTGCTCATGGATATAGGAGCATATGAATAATGTATGATATGCATGGTTCTACAGAGATGAGTTTCAAATGGATTCATAAATACCTTGACATTGAATCCTAAACACTCACCATCTTATCTACCATTTTCTTCATACTTTGTCCATGATCGTGTAGCTTTGAGGTAGTCATGTTATGTTTCTTTCTTAGAGTTGCTTTCTTGCTCGTTATAGTCTAAGCTATCTTTCCTTACAACTTGAAATCTTCTTTGTATCCATTTCTTTCATTGATGTGATCTTGAGTGATGGAATACTTGGAATGATCTTTATGATCTTCATTGAGGTTCTTCTTTGAATGTAAATCATCTATAACACTCAATGTGAACATTAGTTCTTAAACACCATTAATCGTTTGTTATCATCAAAACATCTAGATTGTCATTTGATGAAATCTTTAAGGTCAACAGGTTTGTTTTTTTTGGGTTCGTGCACGAGGTTGTATAATTAAATTGGATATTCCAAGTTACGAGTAGTATTTTAAGTCATGAGAATAGGCCCTTAAAATATTTTTGTATTTTCGCTTTTTTCTTTTTCTGGTGTTTGGCAGACATCTTGAACATATTTTTCGAAATTTTTATTTTTTATTTTAGTATTTGACTTTTGAAAATATTTTTCGAGTAAAAATAAACTCTCCCTCACTGCCTTTTATGGGACTGGCATTAAGAGATCACTCAAACTACCACCATGGATAATTATGAGCCAGCAAACCTAGTAATTTTTTAATTTTTTTTATCTCTAATCAAACATTAGATTAACGCATACCAAGGGTGTATTTTATTTAAAATTAGAACTCTGAATAAAATATAAAAAATAAAGATTAAAAAAAAATCAGAAATGTGAGAGCAGTAGCCTATTATTCTACAATAGCCAGTAAAATGCTCAGAAGTTTCCCAGGCAGCACAATTGAAGAACCATTAGCAACAAAAAAATGAAAAAATAAAGAAAAGAAGAGAGATAAGAGAAAGAAGAGAGAGGAGAGAGAAGGGTGACAAAAAATAAAATAATAATAATAATAATTTTTTTCTTAAGTTTAATTTATTTATTTTTTTGAGTTGGGTTGGGTTCGGGTTGAGCCCAATTTGAGTCCGATTTGTGAATTTAAAAGTTTAAATGTCAAAATTTATGGGCTGGGTTAGCCCGCCCAAGTTTCACCCCTGATCGCATGGACTGGACGCAAATTGGGCTTTAGCCTGCTTTGCTTTTAGTAAATTTGCTTCACAGTAACAGATTAGGCTCTAGCCCTTTTCTGGACTCAGAAGTTTCATGTTCTTGTACGTGGGAGGTAATTGGAGCGTAGTCTTTGTATTATTATTATTTTTTATTGATAAATTTCTGTTTTGGACAACAATCGGAAATGCTCTAAGGAATACTAGGCTCCAACCACATCACCTACGTAAAAGAACATGTAACTTCTGAGTCCAGAAAAGGGCTGGAGCCCAATCTGTTACTGTGAAGCAAATTTACTAAAAGCATAACAGGCTAAAGCCCAATTTGCGGTCCAGTCCACGCGATTGCCACTCCATTTTGCACCCTAGTTCTTTTCCACTTCAAATGCTAGAGGTATGCTAGAGAGAGAAACAGAGGAGAGAGAAACAATGGAGTTCGAGAAGAGGAAGGAAGCAACACTTGCATTCATGAATTCACCAGAGCCTGATAAATCTCCAAAAGGCACAGTGGACACACCCATCTTACCTCTACTCAAGACCCTCAACTCACATCCCTCTTACTTCACTACCAGTTCATGCTCTGGCCGAATCTCCATCCTCTCCCAACCCACCGCCGCCGCCGCCGCCGCCGCCGCCGCTACCACTACCAAGAAAAAGGCCAAAGGCGGCACGTGGCTTTACATAACCCACGACCCAACTGACCCTGAATCAGTCCTCAACCTCCTATTCCCCACCAACCCAACTCAGCCTCCCCTAATCCACCTCTCCGATCTCGTCTTCCGATTCGAACCCCTAATAATCGCCGTCGAATGCAAAGACGTCTCCTCAGCTCAGTTCTTAGTATCTCTAGCTATCTCTTCTGGGTTCAGGGAATCGGGTATTACGAGTGTCAACAAAAGAGTGATCTTAGCTATTCGTTGTTCCATACGATTGGAAGTGCCGTTGGGTGATAACGAGCGGCTCATGGTGTCGCCGGAGTATATTCGGTACCTTGTTGGGATTGCGAACGAGAAGATGGAGGCGAATAGGCGAAGAACGGATAGTTTTCTTAATGCACTGATAAGCCATGGTTTTACTGGAATTGAAGTCTCGGAGAGTGTTAATGGACCTTCGGTCAATGCAAAAGGTGATATTAATGGTGGTTCGAAGCACATCGAGATTCAGAATTCAGAGTGTCATCTGAATTCTTATAGTAAAGGGAACAAGGGAGATGCAAAATCCGTAGGAATAGATGCAGACGCGCAATTTGGTATACTTAATATTTAACTGTTCTTGTAATTGATTTGATAATGAATGTAATATAGCGAGTATGGTTTAAACTTGTGACCTGTTGGTGGTCAATCTTATCTTACTTTAGCTATGACTGAAGGAGTATGTTATGTATGACAGTTTTGGTTAAAGTTTTCGAACTAACAATTTTTTGAATAATTGGCATGTTTGATTATACATTTAAGCAACTGTGGGTCTTCTAATCTCACATAAGTTTGCTATATATTAGAACATCTATCATTCGAGAATGCTCAGTCGGGATGTTAACATTGAAGTTGATTATAAGGTCTTGTATGGAAAACAGGATTCTAATTGGCATATCATTCTTACTATCTGTTGACGGCTAGTGGGAGTTTTGCACAGTAAGCATCCATATGCAGTAATGAGAGTTATGCTCCAAAATGCAGTAATGAGCGTTATACTTTACTTTTTACACTCTTTCTCAGAAGAATGTTGCCATTCTTGATTCTCAGTTTTGGCGATTCAATGTGGCCTAACAGTCTTGTTTGGTTCCCCTTCCCTCAGCACCGGTCTAACATAACTTGTTGACACTTGACAGCCATGATGTTTATTGTATATCTGTTTTACTTAACAAGTTGCAAATAGAAAATTATAATGCCTAATAATTCCATTTGCAAAGTGATTTTAGGGATGCCATGTGTGTGTTTGTGTATACAAGTGACATTGTTTTGCTTTACGTATATACTTATACGCATGCAAACATGTATGTTGAAGAAATATATTCTAAATTAACTGTATTAATAGTACACATACTTAAATTACTTACTCCTATTTTTAATGTAGATGTTTATTTAAATGTTGAATCTGATGAATGTAAAAAATAAACAAATTTTTAATTATTAATTAAGAGCCAAACAAATCTGACACAATAGGAGGAATACTTTTGAATCTTAGAAATTTATGCTTAGGTGGAAGCTTCACTGATTTGATGTAGTTGCATGGATAGTTTGGTTGTACTATCACATACTAATATATGTTTGATTGCAGGACTCTTTCCTTTTAAATGTGACAGCAAATTTGAATCTTTGAATCACTGGCAGGATCATTAGGAGTTCCAGGTACCACTCTGTCTATTATTCCAATGGTGATTGTTGGCGAACCTGTTGAGAAGCTTCTCCTTTGGGGTCACTCTGCTTGTCCTTTGGGTAACCCAAATCACAAAAGAATTCTCATTTTTGGTGGTTTTGGAGGTATGGGAAGACATGCAAGGAGAAATGATTCTATACTGCTTGATCCACTGGATGGTAAGTTAGAAGCAATCAGTGTTCAGGGCACTCCATCTCCACGCTTGGGTCACACGTCTTCTGTAATAGGAGATTTTATGTTTGTTATTGGAGGCAGGGCTGATCCAATGAATATTCTGAATGAGGTCTGGGTTCTTAATACAGTGAAGAATGAATGGAATTTGCTAGAATTTACTGGCAGTGTGTTTCCTCCTAGGTAATGCCTTTATTTTATTGATGCTTCAATTGTTTTTCTGCCTGTTTTAAATTTTGGTTATTCGTGATCCTATGGAAATTAAATATAACCTCAACACTGTTTATAAGATCTAATTTTCTGTTGCGTTTCTGTCTTTTCTTCTGAAAAACCAGTCTAAAGTCAAATATTTGGAAGAAGAGAAGTTTCTGTTAACTAACTTCTTGGTTTAGATTTGAAGCAATTTAATTTATTTTAAAATCTTTCAGAACAGATTTCTCATCTTTCTGTGTCCATTTATATTTCCTGTATACATCTAACATAGTATTGATTTTATACAGGCATCGGCATGCAGCAGCAGTTGTAGGCTCAAAAATATATGTATTTGGTGGAATTCTCAATGATGTAATTTCTTCGTCATTATGTGTCCTTGATATAAACAATTTGCAGTGGACTGAGATATGCATCCAGGGGAAATGGCCATGCCCTCGTCATTCTCATTCATTGGTGGCATTTGGGTCTAGGTTATTTATGTTTGGAGGATATGATGGCGAGAAAGCACTAGGAGACCTTTACAGTTTTGATGTTCAAACATGTCTATGGAAAAAGGAAAAGATGGCAGGGAGGACTCCATATGCAAGGTTCTCACACTCAATGTTTGTTTATAAGAATTATCTTGGAATTGTAGGGGGATGTCCTGTCAGACAACATTATCAAGAGTTGTCATTACTTGATCTGCATTCCCATTTGTGGAAGCATGTGATGCTGAATTCTGTTGGCAAAGATCTTTTTGTTCGTTGCACAGCAAGTGTTGTTGGCGATGATCTAGTAATGATAGGCGGTGGGGCAGCTTGTTATGCTTTTGGAACAAAGTTTAGTGAACCAATGAAAATCAACTTGCTTCCAGTAACGCCCTTAGATGATCATTTTGTGCCTGCTGAATCTGGAGAAAAGCATGTTGTTTACCAAGATGAAGGGGTGGTAGTAGAGAGAAAGAATGGTGATTTTCAATTTTCACAGAATAAAACTGAACAAATATCAAATAATGGCCCTTTGGATCCTGAGGTTGAAGAATCTTGCAAATATGTTGGACGTCAGATGGTTGATTCGCATTGGGTTCTACAACTTGAAAGGCAATATGCGAAATTGGGGAAGGACATATTGAAAATTTTTGGATGGTTAGATGTTGCGAGAAAGGTTTATCCCCAGGAAGACGGGATACATATTTGTTTCCCTGTCACAGAAGAATTTTGTGCTGTCTACTGCAATAAGCAACATCATTCGGTAAATGAGTTCAAAAGAATGGATGGCCTTCAACCATGGAAATCATCAGAGAGAGAGGGGTTTTTATTAAATGATATCTCCTGTTCAAAAGCTTTGAATGTTCTAATAGCATGTGGTGCCACTAAACTTCTGGACGAGGTTGTTAAAGTAAAAAAGTTTCCAAACTCTCCTCTAAAAATAATGACTGAAGCTGTAGCCTCTTTAGTAAAGCATCGAAACCTACCCGCACAACTTTTAGAGCAGCTACCCACAAGGTTTATGTTTCATTGCTTTGTCTTTCTTTGATGCCTGTTTGCCGGTTCAACACGAGCTGCATTTTATATTACATTACAAAACTGTTACTTATGTATTTATTCATTATTAATTTTCTTTTTTCTTTATTTTGGCGAGACCTTGATATAAATGTTTCTGGTGCCTATGTTGTTCTATCAATTAAAGCTTTGTCGAACACCATGATACATTTCATTTTAAAAACAGTTTTTTTCTAACTCAGATGGGAGCGACTAGGGGATATTAATGTGATTCCAGTGACGTCGTTCAGGGATCCAATTTGGGACTCAATTGGGGAGGAGCTTTGGCCAACCGTTGCAAAATCTCTTGGTACTCGTCGGCTTGCTCGACAAGTAAGCTGTATTCACAAAACTGTATCCATGCTCTTGCATCTGCTCGTTGATCAATATATTTTAAAGCATATTTCTTTATGCAACTTTTTTGTATATTTTCTGTATGTTTTTCAGCCGCTATTGGTACATGTGGTAGCAGTTGGATTTTGTAATGTGGGTGGGAATGTTGGTAGATACTAAAATGGATTAATGATACTAATTATGAGTTGAATGCGATTGTGACAATAGTGCAAATCAGACTATCTCTACTGTAATTACTAATTAGCTATGCACTCGTGCATTTCTGGACCATATCATCCACTCAAACAATCCATCTAGATCCTTTTTTGACGAGGACTGTTATTTCACACCATCTCAAAGGCTTTTCATCTATATGACTGGCTAATTCTTTGATTTCTCCTGATTGTGAAGTTGATTTGGATGTGAAATTTCTACTCACGTACTAAAATCTAATGTTGGATAAGGAGCACAAAACATATCTGGAAGATAATGTAGTATATTGTGGAGAAATGGACATCTGAGAAGTATCCGTTCCTAATTTCAAACATACTTCATAATGCAGTATACACAGACTGTATGCTTCTGTTCTTGGAGACTTGGATTTGACCCGGTAGAGATAGCTAATCATTAGTTTTGAACAGTAGGCAACTTGATCTACGTAATGATATTTATCTTAATCACTATGTTTGTTTTTGTTTCGAAGCCAATGATGCCACAGCCATGTATGTTGCTATAGATATTACAAAGTGGCCACCCATACTGATTGACTTAAATTGGACGATACCCCACTAATAAATTTATATTTGAAAATGGTTGAAATTTCAACCTAGAAATCAAATACATTGTTCTTTCAGAGTAAGTTAAAGTGTCCCTCAATTTTGACATGCCATAATGTCTTATTTTGTGTTTTGATTTAGAGATTAATTGGCTTTTTGTTAATAAAATAGCCTTATACTTTTTAGGGTCGAGTTGCATCTACTGGAACAAGGGACAGTAATTTGGAGATTCTTGTGGGAGACAATGGTTGGGTTGATCACCGTGAAAATGGAATTCTTTATTCTTTTGATGCAACCAAGTGCATGTTCTCTTGGGGAAATTATTCTGAGAAGCTTCGCATGGCCTGTCTAGATTGTAGGGATCAAGTTGTTGTAGATTTGTTTGCTGGCATTGGATATTTTGTGTTACCATTCCTCGTCAGGTATACTGTGATTATCATTCTAGTACATTGTTTCGGTATGAAATTTTATCTTACAAATCCTTTTACACATGCTTTGATTATCATATTGGTATTATTGTTTTTCAGTAATCCCTCTTATACCTCCGATTTTTGCTTTGCTAAATCCTTTTTGAAGGATCATTTAGATTTTAGTTTTATACAGTTCTTGAAGTGGACATATTCTACTATCTGAAATCCAAGGTCTGATCTAGTATCAATAGGATTGTCTAACAATCATATGGGAACCTCTTTTTGATATGTATTTCGCACTTAGAAAAGTGGAAGTAGAAGAAGAGAAAAATAGATGTGAATGAGTGTTAGAGATTGGATCTAAACCTATAATTTGATGGGATCCAGAGAAAAATTTGGTTAATATGTTAATCTCGAGTCTTATCATATTTATTGTTTTTCCTTTACATGCTTCCCTGGCAAAGTGTTAATCTCCCCACTCCCCTTTTCCCTTTTAATTGATCATGACTGAAGTGTTTTGTTGTGCTAGTATATACTTTATTCATTCAATGAGTGGACATTTGGTTGGAATAACTGTTACCAATGCCATTACATGATTAATTTTACACCTATAGCATTCCTAATTTCTAACCTTGTTTTTTTTTTTTTTTTAATTATTATTTTTATTATTATTATTATTTTTTTTTCTTTCTTTCTTTCTCTCTTGGTGTTGTATAATGTTGATAACATTGGTTGATCAGGGCAAATGCGAAACTGGTGTATGCATGTGAGTGGAATCCCCATGCTATTGACGCACTTCAGCGTAACCTTCATGCTAATTCTGTGGCTGATCGTTGTGTGATACTTGAAGGAGATAACCGGATCACAGCTCCTAAAGTATGACCCCTGGCTTTATTTGTTTAGTATCTAGTTCGTTTGTATCTGTAACTGGATTTTCCAATAAACTTGGGCTGTCAAGCTTGATCCAAATCATTGCAACTTGATCCTTCATATAGTTCCAATTAGGCTTTTTTATTTTATATTTTTGGGATCTTGTAACAGTTTATTAGAGGAAGCCTAAAACTGTAGTGACAGTATATTCAGAGAGCAGTTTACACATGCATAATGTGCATGTGAAGTGTCAGGAGTCCTTGTAAGTGATTTGCTGTGTAGGTTATTAGATGACCAGGTTGGGGTTCTTTATACATGGACAAACGTATCAAAAAGCTACAAGTAAAAAATCTAATGCTACTTCCAAGATGTCTGGCCATTGAGATTATACCTCCTATTTCAAGACAGTACTACTGAAATGACCTGGACTTGGTTCATTTCATGCCTTGGATGGCAGTCTAACTAATTCATGTAGCATCTTTTGATGATGATTTTCCACTTGATTAAAACACGGCTGTAGAGGTTGCTAGGAGTAAGAAGCTTGGGGCCTTGATGATTTTATTAGGATGCGAGCTTGGATAACATTATGAATTGTGATGATATTACATGTTCTGTTCACAAGAGGATGTGTAGGGCTTTATTAATTTCACTCTGGGTTTTTTTTTTTTTTTCGAAAAACAGGGTGTTGCTGATCGGGTCTGTCTTGGTCTCCTGCCAACAAGTGAAGGCAGTTGGGCCACTGCTGTAAAGGCATTAAGGTGTTTTATCTAATCACTCTTACAGATTTTACCTCTATGATTTTGTGTCCTTGGGTTTGTCATGATTACAGCTTACAACATGTTAATTTAGAACATTTTCTCACATCATGAGGTGAAAAATAAAAACTTGGATGGCTAACCTGTACTTTAGGGATGCAAAGAAGTCTAAGCCAAGGTGACCTTTCAGTTGCATAAGCTCAGCTCAAAATTTTATGAGCTCTAAATATGTGATCAAGCTTGGCTTGTTTATCTTTACATAAATCTCAAACAATTTTAACTCAGATAATTTTGATTCGAACTTCAAAATTTTGGGTTTCTCTAGTGTCTTTAAAATGCTGTTTTGAATATCAAGCTGTGTTCAAATTCCAATCAGCATGTACATAAGTTTCAAAATGTGATCAAACTTGTCCCGCTTTTTCCCAAGTCAATCTTTACAAGCCTCTAACCGAGCTGATATGGAACCAAGCCCGATTAGCTTCTTTTCATCTTTTGTCTTACAGCCTATTTGTTGCAGAGTCGAAACTTCTTTCACAAGACATCTTTGACCACTTGACTTTAAATTGCTTCATGTAAATCATAGTTGGTTTGTTACCATAGTTGACTGACAAGTCTGTACCATGTTCTAGCACGCCTAGAAGCTGTCAACAAGCCTAGTAATTTATGTTTGGTACTTGAATACAATCCACTTGAAGTGCTAAAATGAGTACGGCCAATTAACGTGCATGCTCAAAAATCTACTGAGGAACTGATGAAATCACAGGTTTTCTCAACCCAAAAGAATAGAATTCCTCGAAAAAAATTGCTTTAATTTAAAGAGAGGAACTTCTCACATTGGAAAATCCTTATTCCTTTTGCACCAAATGGTCTGTAATAGACAGAGAGGCTGCTGTATTCTACACCTTCCTGACTTTCGTCTTCTAATAATCCACTCTCCAACCATCCAGCAGACCCAACTGTTCTTGGCATGATTCCCTGATCCCAATTAAGGAAAGAAAAAAGACTCCATAGCACCCACCAGATGAGGAGATTCATCCTCCTCTTTACACATGCAACACCTGTTAGCCATACAAGCAAACAAAGGGTCCTCATATTTATTTCACTTAATTCATCGACTACTTCTAAATAAAGAACTTAGAAGTTATAAGCTATAAATTGCATCATCACTAAAACGGAGAATTGTATTGGATTTTATAAGTCTTTATTTTATAGTATATCATTTCATGCGGCAACTCGGCGTGATTTGTTCTGATGCAGTATATAATCCATGGATGAATCTGGCCAGTTACTCGGAACTTGCATGTGAGAGAAATGGTAAATTTCACTAAAATCTTAGATTACCTTGTCAAGGTGGATCCACCCATGGATTAAATTACATTGTCCCGTATATGATTTGTCAACAAGGTTTTCTGTTTTCATTTTTTGGACAAGAGAAGAGTCTTTCAGTTTGAATTTCCACCTTGTTTCATCTGTGTGTTCTTTTCTTTTTCAGTGAGCTCCGTGCATCTCTCTCTCTCTCTCTCTCTCTCTCTCTCTCCTGGGTTTCTACTTGTATTTAGTGGCTTTGTTTCCCTTTAAATATCTTTCCTACTTGTTTTTATGCCAAGTTCTTACCCACTTGTGCCAACCCCTTGAGGTTTGCATCTTTTTCACTTCTGTGTCTAAGTTATCCATGGTAATGCTAATAATGCAGGAGTGAGGGTGGGATATTACATGTGCATGGGAATGTGAGGGACTCGGAGGTAGATTCGTGGACAGGACATGTCTCAAAATCGATACATGAAATCGCTGTATCTGAAGGTATCATATCCCCAGCTTATGGCAAGTGCCTTGGACATGTTGATCAAAATTTGATGGATAGCAAACAGTTCAGAGAGTATAATGCTGCTGAGGGTCTTCCTTTTTTTTTTTTTTGGCTTGGATATATGAGGTTGATACTGTTAAAATTTGGTTTATTTGCAGGCTACTGTTGGGAAATTGCAATAGAACATCTTGAGAGAGTAAAATGGTATGCCCCGCACATTCGCCATATTGTTGCAGATCTAGGATGCAAACAGGTTCAGAGATAACATGCCAAGTGGTGTGTTGCTTAAAAGTGCAAATTAGGCTGCTGCATGACAAAATCATGGCTGTGAACCTGTGGTTTGATGCTGCACGAATGGCATCTGACTGGTGCACGTCATTGTACCCAATTCCAGATTCGCCTTTTTTCTCCACGTAGGGTCTCTTAAGTACCCATAATCCACGTTGGGCCTCTTAAAATTTCCTGTGAGCTGTCCCAAGATTTAAAGGATTTCTGCAGATACTTGTTTGGGAAAAGAGATGGCCAATACTGAAATTTTTTACAAGAGGGAAAGATGAGCTTGGAGGTGATGACCGTTGGGAATATTTCAAAATAGGCAAATGCAGTTTGGAGAGAAGCCGTGGTATTAAATACTTGGGAAATTTGATGTGGAGAGTTGTAGATGGTTGCTTTTTTGTTCCTCTGGACTGCAAAATTGTTTAAGCACATGCTTCATGCTTAATGTCACTTGAAGAAACTTTCAATTTTTTGACTCTCAGAGAGGGTGGAATATATTTTATTTCTTCATAGAGGAAGTATCTCCGCAGGTGAAGCTAATTTGATATTCACAAATTTTTAAATTGAAAGTACTCGAAGTAGATGATATTCACAAAAATAATCATGGGAACATCAAGCAAACATCAACAATATCTCACCTCTAATAAGTCAAATCATTGGGGTTGCAAATTTTGCTTTTATTGGCAATCTCTCAAATAACGTCCAAAAAAAAAAAAAAATAAGGTAGTCTCTTATAATCTTCAATTCATTAGCCATCAATAACGGATTGAATAAAACTAATTTCTTACAATAATAGCACTAATAATTAAAATACAAAGAATTATCACTTTTTCCATCAGTGAATAATGTTATCAAAAGAGTTTTATCGTAACAAAAGAAGGTTCTGTCACTCGTATTTTAATATTCAATTGATAATATTACTCTTAATTTGATCTCCAAATGTGATCAGACTTGTGTTTATGCATGTATATTCATTTATAAGCTAGGCTCTTTGTTTTTTTTTCTTCCTAAGCAATCTCTAGTCTCCCTTGGTTCATTGACGTGTCCACTACTCCTAAAATTAAGGAATGCAATAAGACATTGTAGCTCACTGTTTCATTGACGAATCCCACTAAACAACTTCTTATATCTAATTATTGTTGGAGAAACAAATAACATAAGCGCAAATTTGTATATAGGTGTGCCATTGATACTTGTCTCCGTTATCACGAATCTTTAACAATTTATTAAGTGATCATAATCATTCTCAATATTGTAAAATTTTGAAGAAGAATAATGATACACCTTTTGAATTTGAAAAATGTTTAATAAAAATGTAACGACCCTAAATTGTTACCATTTAAAAAAAAAATATCTCCCCTAAAAAAATCGGCCTACCACAACCTATTTAAAAGAACTTTAAACCTATCCCAACACAAATATCATATAATATACTCCATGGTGGTACAACCACATACTATATCATCCAAATATCATATTTACAGTCCCAAAATATAATTACAATAACAAGAGCTCACAAATCTCTATACCAAATATAACAAACTAAGATTTAACCAAATAATATGGGACGTAATACAAAAATAGCAAAAAGAAGTCTTCTAAACCAAATTAGGCCTATGGTGGAAAGTCATCCGCAACTTCTTTCCCGTTTCTTAAAAAAAATTATTAAATAATAGGGTGAGTATAAAGCTCAGTAGGTAGCACTTAAGACACGCATCTTGTGTCCTTGTGAATCTATACAAAGAATAGATCAATAGGAACAGGGATCATACAATGTCGGGATAATACAACATTTCAACCAAACTCAAGTGCAAACAATACAATACCATGGAATGCAAATGCATGCCGATATCGCTCCCCATTTTCACATTTCAAACCATCACTTTCAAACTGTTAATACAACCCGCCCTTTGGTGACCCCGCAGCCGCACGAAAGGAGGATTGGCTACTGTCTCTAGACTTTGGGTAACCCTGCAGCGTCATCGAGGGGCCCAGATAGCTCAACCACGCTAGGACGACTCCCTAGTCCCCTCTAGGCTATATTAACACTCCGGCCCTTTGGTACCCCCGCGGCGACCGGGTTTTCATAAAACCATTTCGTAAAAACTCTTTCCCAAAATTTCCCTTTTTGTTCCAAAACAATCTCCCATTTCATGCCCAATATAAGTGCATAAGTGCATCAGTACCATGAATATACTCATCATTCCACAAACAACTCAATTTAAGTAAGCAAGGCATAATTTCAAAGAATTTCTCAAGGAATTTCAACATGCTCTTTTACAACAATACATTTAGCCTAACGAACATATATAAATCATCACATAGGCAAGTTTTCCACATAAAACATTTAATACAAGCTCTCACATAACCACATACACATGTTCTAACTACTTCTAAACTACAACTAGCACAAATAAGCATTAACTACAACAATTTAAGAGATGTAATTCATATAGAGCAAGAAAATTGTGAATTAAGAGCCCCTATTTCTAAACTCAACAAAACCCTTGAAATGGGTCTTTAATTTCGAACTCCCTAGAAAGCACCAAATCTGAAATTGCTTATACTAGCACGTAGAGTTTGTCGTGGGCATTGTTTTGCCTCAAACGACTCTCAAATCTATCAAGGATTGAGAGAGTAATCACAATTCAAAGTCGGCTTCCCAAGTTAAAAGAAAAAGAAAAGAGTAAATGAGAAAATGAAAAGCAGGAAGTGCTCTCTAGAAAGTGTGAGTGGTGGGTTCCACCAATTTTTTTTTTTTTTTTTTTTTTTATTTAAATCACACCACATACATATAATTATATACACATATGTGCACGCCCGCGCATATATATATTGACACGACATTACAAAAAAAATGTAAGTGAATGTGAACTCAAACACACAGTAATAAGTAAGGTGATGATCTCATGTGATGGAACTCACGTACTTTGGACATTCTTTTAATTGGGATTGTATCCTCAATGACTTGGATGGTTCAAGAGCTACGGACCGGTCCAACGTGTCTATCAAAATGGATCGGAGTGTATTGCTAAAAATGCGCCTGGAAGCTGGAATTAGTTTTCAAGTCAATTTTTAACTCTCTAAAAAACTAAAATTGTGTGCCGAGTTGGTTTACAAGGCTATTTATATGAATCCGAATAGAATTTTAGGGTGAGAGGAATTCAATTAATTGAATAAAATTGTGCCTTTGGAAGAGAGATCAAGTGGAAGAGAATTGTTTATTTGATTACTGGTGTTGTTTTTGGGTTTTGCCGCAACACCTATTAACAGCTTTCAGCAGTTTCCTCTTCAACCTACAAGTGTTAGCCAGAGACGACTAGTGTTTAATTGCGTCTGTTTTGCACTTCATGCAGATATGTCAAAAAAGTCAGAAGCATCAAAATCATAACTCCAATCCATTAAAAAAAGTTTGGATCCATATCTATATACATATATTTTTTTATTTGCAGTTTTGTCTCTATTTGGATTACTTAAGAACAACCCATGAATCAAAATGAAGCAAAGTCGGTGAGCATTAGTGAGTAGACAGAGAGATCGATGGGTTCCAAAGCTATCTTCTTCTTTGCTATCTTGTCCTTCTCATCACTGGTGTCTGTCAAACCTGCAGCTTTTGCAGAAAATGAGGTGGACCCAGGTCTTGTTATGAACTTCTACAAAGATTCATGCCCTCAGGCTGAAGACATCATCACAGAACAAGTCAAGCTTCTCTACAAGCGCCACAAAAACACTGCGTTCTCTTGGCTCAGAAACATCTTCCATGATTGTGCTGTTCAAGTATTTACTACTAATTATATGCCAAACAGAACTCATCTTATGTATCTTTTTCTTTTCTTGAATAAAATATATATGTGTGACATATATCTGTTTTGTATTTGTGGTTATAGTCATGTGATGCTTCACTATTGCTGGATTCAACGAGGAGGAGTTTGTCAGAGAAGGAGACAGATAGGAGCTTTGGGCTGAGAAACTTTAGGTACCTTGACACCATTAAAGAAGCTGTTGAGAGAGAGTGCCCTGGTGTTGTTTCCTGTGCAGATATCCTTGTTTTGTCTGCTAGGGATGGCATTGTTTCGGTAATTTACTTCAATTTCCCCTTTATTTACCTAACAATCTTGTATGTGTTCTGTGTATTTCACACCTTGCATGTGATGTGGTTGGTTTTCTTGATTTACTCTGTTTTTCACACAAGGTGTTTCTTACAATACATCTGACTCTGGACACTGTTTTCATCTTGATTCCAACTGTTTGTATGTGCACACAACACTAGACCTATCTAAAGACAAATTCAGAATTTGTGAAGAAGTTAGGTCTCTTGATTCAACAATTCATTTATATGAGTATATATATATATATAGAGAGAGAGAGAGAGAGAGTTGACATGATTCTCTCCTGTAATCAAGTAACATTTGATTCGGTTTTATAATCAGTTAACAGCTGCAACAATTATTTGAATTCAAATTCAAAAGGATTTTGTTCAATCCATTAGGTGGGTTCCAGTAATCTTTTAGAGCATGTATGGCTAATACTATCCCTGTATCCAAATTGTTATCCATTATTTGTTTAGGCTTTGAAATGTTCCACTTATTTAACTAGTACTACTTTTTTTGTGACTTCAAAAAAGGGTTGCTGTAAAAAAAAAAAAATTGTGGGGTAACATGAAATTGGTGCTTTAGTTTGTCTGTGTTATTTATGTGGCTTTAGAAATCTCTTGCTAAGGAAGAAGAAAAGAAAGAGGTGGCAAAAGTAAAAACACAAAGAAGTGTTACTTTCTGATATGTAAGATCAGCGAGTCCTTTCAATGAACAAAGTAACAGTGGATATTTATTTATCAATAGAATTTGATGGTATTTATATTTTTAAAAGTAGGACTTCATTGCATTTTTCCCAACAAAAAAAAAAATAAAATCTCGGTGCTGGTATATAATAATTCTTTGTTTCTCTTCTAGTTATTGACTCTCTGGAAAACTCCCAAAATGAAAATCTTTAACATCTTGCTTGCAGTTAGGAGGCCCTCATATTCCTCTTAAAACCGGACGAAGAGATGGTAGGAAGAGCAGAGCAGATGTCCTTGAGCAATACCTCCCAGACCACAATGAGAGCATCTCTGTTGTCCTTGAAAAGTTTGGAGAAATGGGTATTGACACCCCTGGAGTTGTTGCCTTGCTAGGTATAAATCATTCATCAACATCATGCATGCACTTTCATATATTCATAGTATTGGTTCGTGATTACTTTCAGACTCGAAAACAAGTGTTGCCTCAAAAACTCATTAAGATTATCGCCTTTTACCATTGTATCAAGCAATAACCCAATTGGGTAATTATAATTTGGACTAGTGAAACCAAAATTTAATTGTGTTCCACAGGTGCTCATAGCGTTGGTCGAACCCACTGTGTCAAGTTGGTGCACCGCTTATACCCAGAGGTGGACCCTGTGCTCCACCCTGGCCATGTCGAGCACATGCTGCACAAGTGCCCAGACCCGATCCCAGACCCGAAAGCCGTGCAATATGTGAGGAATGACCGTGGCACACCCATGGTCCTAGACAACAACTATTACAGGAACATATTGGACAACAAAGGATTATTGATAGTGGATCACCAACTAGCCAGAGACAAGAGGACAAAGCCTTATGTGAAGAAAATGGCCAAGAGCCAAGACTACTTTTTCAAGGAGTTTGCAAGAGCCATCACCATTCTCTCCGAGAACAATCCTCTCACTGGCACAAAGGGTGAGATCAGAAAGCAATGCAATGTTGCCAACAAGCACCACTAGAAGAGCTTTTGCTACAAGCCCAACTCTACTTCTCTTCTATGTACTGTGTGAAGAAGAAGCTAAAGAGTGATATAATAAAATGGGTTGTTTTATTAAGCAGTGGTGGTTCTTGTGAGTGGCATGAAAGATGGATATAGAAAATGTTGGGATGTCTGCATGCATGTATGATGGTGGTGATGGTTGCATGGTGATTTTTGTTGATAGCTCATGCACATGTTGTTCTCCATTTTATACGGCAGTATTTTGGCTACATATATGGATCAAAATGGAATTCAATGAAAAGGACCCATCCTCATTCATTCTTCTCCAAGAAAGTAAAATGACAAAGAAAGTATCTTAAGCCCTTAAAACTTTTCAAGACAAATAATAGAAAAGAAGTTCAATAAATAAAAGACAAGATTTCCTTACATAAGAAAACATAACTTTATGTATGTTTATGTATTAATTAATCTTCTGGTAGGTAGAGAATTATGTTATATGGAGTCCAGAAAAAAGAGATGGGAGTATATGGCAGACCTTGTACGTGTGTGTGTGTCTGTGTGAGAGAGAGAGAGAGAGAGAGAGAGAGAGATTCTCTTGTAATTCTTATGTCTGCCAAGACTACATAACTGATGCTATTTGGGGGAAAATGTAATTAATATTATAAAAGACAGATAATGAAATATGCTTTAGGTTGTGTTGTAAATCATAATGCTCCTTGAATATAAAGAATGAATTATATACACTAATTTCGTATATTTTCTCCATCGTTCTTTTCTCCCTAATCAAAATTATTATTTTTCCCCACAATAAAAGACACAAGGTTTAGTTTTCTTCTATTTTTTCTCCTTTCCCATTCCATGTACCATTATGAGATAATTAAGGGGGGAAATATAGAATTTTAAATTCCCATTGTTTAGTTCAGAGTACCATATTTAACCCCAACCAAGTCAAGTAGTTATATTAGGCTCAATAGAGTTCCTTTTCTGTTTATGGCATCCAAATAATGAAAATTCTATAGGGAGTTTGCACTTCTTTTTCTTTTACCAAACAGCGAATAGCAAACAATAGTTCTGCACAAGCTGCTATGGCATTTTATTAATTTTCACAACCACTAACTTTCTTACTCCGATGTCTAAATACCCTTATTTTACAACATAAACTTCAACTCATGTATTGACAACCGCATGAAATTCGCATACCTACTCAACAAGGATTGGTAAGAGACATTGTCACATTGGAGAATAAAGATAATTATGAAACTGGATATGCACAAACTCGCACACACTTCACTACCATCCCAAGCGCTCACAAAATTTTAAACTAGTAGTCTGGCCTACTCTACTCGCAATTTTTTGAGGTTGAAATGCCAAAGGATGTTAAGGAACACCAACCAGAACAATGGTATCCTCATGCTACCTGGTGAAGTGGTACGACTCATGTGAACCCGGAAATCGCTGTTGGTCATTCTACCAGAACTGAGACTGATGGAATGGAACACTACATCCAAGGGATTAGTGCATCAATGAAACTAAAAGAGCTTTCCTGGCTGTTTTGTTCCACTTCTCATCATTGCGCAGAACTCCTCATAATTGATCCTCCCATCCTATAAAAGTCCAAAAGAATCAGTAGACTGAGTACCAAGATGACTTCACAAGGGAAGTTGCAAATATTTGAATTTTAGAACAACTTACATTATCCGTATCCACCTCTGAAATTATTTCCCTGATAGTGTCTTCATCACCCATTCCATACTCCTTCATGGCAATTTCCAGTTCATCTCTTGTAATAAAGCTGCCATGGCATCCAAAAGGACCAAGTCAATTCAGGGACATCTCAATTCATTTGCAGCACTAATTTATTAGTAAAATTCGATAACACAGACTTAAAACATGTCAACTAGGAAACGAGTTTTTGACGCAAAATATTTGCCCCAATCATGTCAGTACTATATATCAGTAAATAATTATGAAACAAAAAATTGTAATCAATAGGATATCCGTCTCTCGGTTTTTATAAGATTCTAAAAATTTATCCCCATGGTCACACTGAATATATATTTGTACAAAAAGGTACTACCTATGTTCCATAGAAATAAATTCGTTTAAGTTGTTCAAAAGTAAGGGATCAAGTTAGGAGTCAAGAGTGCACGAACAACAGGACTATTAACAACACAGAAAGTTTGTGGACTCACCCGCTGTTATCCTTGTCAAAATACCGAAATGCTTTAAATAGATGCTCATCTCTTTCTAGTTTGTGTCTATGCATTGTCGCAGTAATGAATTCAATGTAGTCAATCGTTCCATTTCCATCCACGTCAGCCTAAAATGTAGAACATGTTAAGCCTTATCCAAGAATACAGTTGACTATCAGATACAAGGAATTATAAAGAAGATAGATCCAATTTTTATTAGGTCCACGATAACTTACAGCTTCCATGAGTTGCTGGACTTCAGCCTCTGATAGCTTTGACCCAAGCCGAGCCAATCCTGTCCTTAATTCTTCGTAAGTGATTGTGCCACTCTTGTCTGTGTCCATGTTTGTGAACATTGCTTTAAGACCTTTGATTTCTTCCTCAGATAGATTCTCTGCAATGACCTAGCATAATTTCAAAAAAGAAGTATTATAATTATTAGCAAAAGATGGATGATGGATGAATCTATGTAATTATAAAAATAAACTATTGGCAATTGCAAGCATAATAATAGAATGTTGGTATCCTTCAAGATCTAGCTGAGTTGGCATAGAGTCTCTAGGTCTGCGTTCAAATCCCTGGGGTATCGAGCCTTCAGCCTGGGCTTACCTGACACCCGCGGTTTGAGTGTGATTGTGGATATCCGAAGGGATTAATCCCATCCCCAAATAGAGTGGGAACAACTTCCATTTTATGTTATTCCAATGATATTAGTTTAATTATTTATTTTAAGAGAGGGGAGAACGAAGTTTATTAAACGAAAGCCAGTATATACCACTTGACTTATACATTTGACTTCCCAAGGTTTGTGTTAAGACAAAACCTAAGATCTATCCTAAGGCAATAAACAAGTCAAACAAGACTGTCAACACAAGGTTTGCCTGGTTTAGCAATACGCCTTCTCAGTTCCTTCACAATGGGACTGATATGAATTTATAATCTCTGAGAAAAGGGTTAGATTCTTCTATCGCATCAACACTCAATAAACTTGAAATTGAATGCTCCACAAAAACAGATAAGCCTGGTGAAACTACTGATATAAATATTGCCACAATAATCCTCCGGTAAAACTCCCAATCAAAAATATTGAAGTGGTATTCAGTATATAGCCATTACTTTGCAGGAAAAGCAAGTTGTCAGAAATATCATATGGGGCAGAAACTTACAATTTATTTTTCTTTTCAGAAAATAAAAAGACGAAATCAATATCCACCCCATTGGATGAACAATGCCATTTAGAGTATGCATTTACCATGACAGATTATTAACAGTTTCTAAAATTATCTTTATACATTTGAATATTAGTGAGAGGTTCCAATCATCCTGGAGATGTGCTGCAATTTTTGAAGAGATGGGGAGATATTGGCTTTACTACATCGTGCATTTATGGATTAAATACCTCAAAAAATGATAAGATGCCCTCATACAAAACAAAGGAGCAATTCATCGCAAAATAGCATTTTATATTTAAATATTTTTAGCTAAGAAGATATATAAAAGCTCACCTTCAAAGCAAGTTTCTTCAGTTTGTTCATTGCTCTGAATTGCTTCATTCTAGAGAGCACTGCACTATCTATTGGTTTATCGGATGCTTCCCCACCTTCTTTTATCCATGGGTGCTCTTAATCAACAACCACAAATGGAAATTGTAAATCAGAAAAAAATCCAAAATACATAAGCAAGCTAAATACTAGAAAAACTTTCTTATATGTAAATAACTAAACACTGGTTAATCAGTATACTTAATTAGAAACATCCAGAAGAGAAACCAATTCCATGAATAATAGGTTTTCCATGACATAAGCGCAAAGTATTAAGTATGCAGTTTAGACATGGTGGTTAATTTTCCAAATAGAGGAAAACAAGGAGTAAAGTACCAAGAACTTGTGCCGAAGTAATCCTCTTCCTTGGGTCCCGTGTCAACATATTTCGAACTAGGTCTTTGGCACTGTCCGATATTGATGGCCAAGGTTGGCTTTCAAAATCAATATCATCTTTCCGTATGGCGTCAAATATTCCTTTTTCAGTTTCTGAAACACAAATCCAGTGCAATATATTACTACATAATCTAGTAAAGTAGGACAAAAAAAATCCTGCATGCAAGAAAACATGACAATTCTAGCAATAAGCCAATAATTCAGATATTTGTTTTACCAGCCCAAAATGGAGGCACACCACTGAGTAGAATATACAAAATAACTCCAGCACTCCAAATATCTATTTCCTTTCCATAACTACGCTGCAATACTTCAGGGGCAACATAGTAAGCACTGCCAACTATATCACGGTACACCTTCCCTGATATCAGTTTTACAAAAGGTCAGTAATCCAAGATTTATATGTGGATTATACATGGCAACATAGTAGAGAATGCGACAAGCAAAATTAGGGATGCCACTTGAGCAGGCAAACACAATTACAACCCAGTCATTGGACGGGTTTGGACAAATGTTTCTGCTGCTCACGTTGGCCTTCGTTTGAAAATTTCTGACCCAACATTTGAGTTGGACTTAAACAAAGGTCCGAGGAAGCTGGAGCGCAACCCAATAAACCATTCCAAGCCTAACTTAAATTCAGAAAATTAAACTTGGTTGGATCAGATGGACTCTGGTTTGGAGGTTGGTCTAAACTTGGGCTCGGCTGAGAGTTTAATACCTCAGTTGAGCTCTGTTTGACCCATCAAACCCCCTGAGTTGCATCCTACCCAAAATCCAATATGACAAAAAGACAATAACAAAAGACAATCATGGGAAGACAAAAAGTGCCATATGGAATACATGTATAAATGATTCGTTTAAGATAAATCCTCTAAGTCCTATGCTTGCTGTGAGTTAAAAAAAAAAAATTAAACTTTCTTCATAAGCCATATGACATTCTCCTTGTAATGCATCTAGGAGCCACTGCAAATGAAAATCTTAAAAAATATGAAAGTTAAAGGTAATTCTAATTATCATGCAATATCTTAGTTTAACAAATTCACGAATGATGGGTGTGCTAATACCGTTCCAATCAATTAAACAATAGAAGCAAATGAAAGAGCCTTGCTTATTTCTGTGTATTGATGACAACCAGATCACAAGTTACAATGCTTTAATTGTAGATAGGTTGAATATTTATTCAGGCAGGTTTGTGGCATAAAAAAAATCTAAAATAAAGGCTACTCATCAAAATCATTATAGTAACAACCAATATATGTGATTTGTATTTTAGATCTTCTGAGATGAACTCAAAGTTTAAAGCAATACGCACTGCTTCTTTAGAAGCATGCACTGAAGGCACACATATTTATGTTTTCAATAAATTGGAGTTTATGACATCTCATCAGAAAAAGACATTACTAAATCATACCGTCAATCAGTAAGCAGCTGAACACATCCCGGATGGATCATGGCCACAGATAACCTTTTTTTTTTTTACCTGATCATTTACCCCACTTCAAAAAGTAAGTAGGATCTTCCAGTAGCCAAAACTTAGTCACTCACCAAAGCATATCCCAAGTAACAACCCAAAATCAAATTTATATTAACCAAATTATGTTGTACCATGAGTCCCATTAACCAAATTTTCAACTGTCAAAGCCGCTAGAATGATTTTTATGCATATATGCCCTTATACAACTGACCCACAGCATTTTAGGAATAGACCTGCTAGTTAAACAGTAGTAATCTTTTTGGACTAAAATTTGTTATAAGACATCATGAGATGCAAGTAAATGCTGCTATTTGCCAGGTTGAACAAAAACTTTAGGATATCAAGCTACATCTCAAGGGATTTCTAAAGAGAATTAATCAGACTTTACTGAGAAATTAACACCAGAAAAGTTTTTACTTCTTATATATTTATATATATTTGAGGGATAAGTACACAATGGTGCATTTAGCACATTGACGAAAATACTAATAAGACAATTAAAAGGGAGGGTGAGATCAGAGGTTCGATTCTCATTGCCAATAAATGAAATATTGCACATTGGATATGGTGTCCAGTCTGCTGACAGAGAGTTGTACTCAAGAAAAGGGACTAGCCATTGCCAGAAATTCATAGACATTGACAAGGTACAGGTTTGTAAATATTCTGAGGCCAGTTACTCAAGCAGGTTTAGTTCTACATAAGGTTATGGAGTGAAATGTTATTTGGGCGAATATAGTGTTCCTCTTCTCTCTCTACCAATCCTCGAACTCTTGACCTAAGGGTTGACAACACAAGCCAACTCTTAAGCCAGAGAGGCCAAAAGAGGACCAGTGGGTAACATAGTGTTGGCACTGGCTAAAACTGGTGTCACATCGTTAGCAATCTCTAGACATCTTAGGAATGGGCATGGGCATCAAAGGGAATATGAAGTTTCCACGGAATCCCAGAACCCATGAACAGTTCTATTTAAGGAACACTATGCCACAAAGCTGTGTGAGAAACTGATTGCCCCAGTCCGAGGCTTATCAGGTTATCAGGGAACTAGATATCCTTTGTGTGCTTGGCATGGGAGTTAGTTCTGGATTTGGTCATGCTTATGAGAGTTTGAAACAAAGTGACATAGAAATGCAATCAACCCAATGTTTATGCTTCAGTGTTACGTGTGTGAATGTCATGTCAGAAGGAGCCCACAAGACGCAGGTGCCATGTATGAGCTGTCACTTATATATTTGCCTACTATGAGCACAAGAGTTGCATTACGGGTGCATAATCTCAGAAGTTTGACTATGGCATACAAAAACCCGTGAGGGATATGGGTGACAAGACGTAGATATTGGTAGAGGTGCATCATGATGCTAATTTCCACGAGTGCATTTTGAAAGCAATATTGATCAGGGAATATGTCACCCTCAACAGCATAAAGCTAGGGTATGCCTCATAAATAAAATGCTTGCTATGCTGGAATTCTTATGAGTGGAATTGTTAGCTATCCTCTATAACACTTGAGAAGGACTGTTTAAGGGATAGAATGGAAGTAGTTTGTCCATCAAAGGTTTAATTTGGCGCAAGTTCATGACCATTACCAAAACAAAGAGAGGAAAAAAGAAGAAGACTATGATAATGAGCAGATAAATAGAAAGGTTTGCCAGTTCGACAACTCGGGGATTAACCCTTTATCATTATACGTGGCAATTGCCAGTGCTACTATCAAATCTCTTGTGTTGTTTTAAGTAACATTTCAATGTAATTTGGCACCAACAAACTGTAATTTATGGCATTAAAGAGTTTATGCACATTGCACACTTTGACCAAATTACTAAAAAAGTTCACGAATGAGCCAATTTCTTAAGAAATGGATATCACTCAGATAATGAAGCTCACAAAAACTTATAAATTCTAATAGTATATCTTTCAATATCCACAACATAAGAGGACAAGAAAATAACCTTCTTCTATGAAGACGGACAGCCCAAAATCGGTTGCCTTCAACATTGCTCCTTCATCTTTACTGGACAGCAAGAAATTCTCTGGCTTGAGGTCCCGATGCATCACACCCATAAAATGGCAGATGTGCACAACATTCACAATGGACCTGCAAATTGATGAGGCAGCCCTCTCGGAATAATGACCCCGAGCAATTATCCGATCAAAGAGCTCCCCACCGGCACAAAGCTCCATCACAAGGTGCACAGATTGCCTATCCTCATAACAACCTTTAAATTCCACAATGTTTGGCTGCCCACTCAAATGCTGCATAATCTGAAACTCTCTCTTAATATCATCCTTGTCACTTTTAGTGACAAGTTTCCTTTTCAGTATTGACTTGCAAGCATAGGTGTGACCAGTTGAAATCTCAGTACAGAGATAAGTCACTCCAAATTGACCCCTACCCAGTTCTTTCCCAAGAGTGTAGCGTGACTTGACGTCTTCAAATGGCTTACCCAATATGGTGTTGGCATTTGGGGGTACAGTTTTCAATGGAGATGATGAGATTGGTGGGTGTGGCTGATATGAAGATGAGATTGGTGGTTGTGGCTGATTAGGCCTGTTTGGTTGGGGTTGATTGTACTGGGTTGATGGTTTTTGATGACTCCGAACAACTGGTTGTTGGTAATTTTGTTGATACCCAGTAGTACCAGTGCCTATTCCTGATCTATACCCACCATTAAGATCTGTTTCTGAAACCTTTTTCTTGCTGAAACAACCACCCATTTTTGCAGTCTAGTTGAATCCAGATCAGAGAAAGGGTATACAAAGTTGATTTTGTTGTAAAAAAACCAAATTCGGGAATTGAGATTTATGGGATGCTTTAAGAAAAATCAGATGATAAAGAATTCAACTTTGCATACGAACAGGGGGACAAAGAGATGAGAATCACTGAAAATGGAACCAGACAGGATCTCTGATTTAACAGGATTTAAGCAAAACCCAGATCAGATTTGAGTAATTGAAGCTCATTTTTTGAGAGAATATTACTGCACCAAAAAAAGTCGACCAGAGAGTTACCATTAACTTATATTATCACTTCAACTCCTAAAAGTAAAATATTTTATTTTTGGCAGGAAAATGATTGTGGAATTTTGGATATCTAGGATTTGAGGAAGTAAACCAAAAAATAAGCAATAAATTGTAATGAATGGTGTTTATACTTTGTATAGGTTTTTCTAATTTTTCTTCTAAAGTTTATTTATTATTGTTTTTATTTTTTGTGGGAAAAGAGAGTTCTTTTTTCTTTTTTTAAGGGCCGTGTAAAATACACAACCACGTAAACATATTTTCTCTCTCCTCCCTCTTTTCCACTCGCGGTTCTCTTTCAATAAGGTTAGAACTATTTGACCATATTTTATTTATTTATTTTTTAATAAACATAGTTTGATTTATCACTTTTGTTTGATCTTATCTTCTGTTATAACTATTCAACCATATTTTATTTATTTATTTTTTAATAAATATAGTTTGATTTTTCACTTTTGTTTGATTTTATCTTCTGCAATCGTTGTAGATTTTAAGTTTTTTTTAGATTTTTTTATCCTTTTACATTCTATTCTAATGAGAAAAATATGTATTAGCTAGCTAAAAAGTAGATATATATTTTAATCATGTTTTTATATAATTGTTGATATAAAATATTTGATTACTAGCTAGCAAAATATTAGATATATAGTAGTTTAATCACGTTTTTATATAATTGTTGATATAAAACATGTAATTTCTACATATTTGAATCTTATTTTATTATTTGTTATTAAGTTAGAATTCTGGTGGTGGCAGGAAAGGTTTGTTATTGACGGGAATGGAAAGTAAAATATAAGGGAAATTTTATTTTTTTTTTTTTATTATTATTTTTTTTTTTCTAATTGAGGGGGATTAGGACGTGGGATTTAATCGCGAAAAAGTAAAGTAAATCAAGTAAGTTTGTAAGAGTTATGTAAGGTCTTGGTATGACACGTTGTTGGTTAGTTGTTATTAAAAGATTTTTTTTACATAAAAGGTATAAAATAATCATTAGAGCTAAAAAATAGATAGTATAAAATTTTTGTGTATTCTAACACATTAAATTTACACAAAAATATATATACAACGATTGAAAATGAACAATTAATAGCATCATTTTCAATCGTTGTATATATATTTTAGTAAAAAAAGACAAAAAGTAATCTTAAACAAAAACCAAGTGTGAAAAGGGGATGGAGTTTTTTTTAAGTACAATAGACAAAAGTAATCTAAACAAAAACCACGTGTGAAAAGGGTATTGAATTTTATTATTATTTTTTAAAAAAGAAAAAGAAAAGAAAAGAAAAACTTTTGAATTACCATTAATGAAAAGAGTATCATTATCGTTAAAACACGTTAGCTTAATCTTGTCATAAGTTTAAGGCCGAAGCCAAATTATCATATTCTTTATTTTTTCAAATAAAATATGAATTAACAACAAATTATTAGATGAGACTAACACCTAACTCAAATATAATTTAATGTGGGACAAGTCTCTCTTATTAGATTCTTTTCCATCCGAACTCATAACGCCTTGTTATGGTTAGGCTACCCTGCTTACCCGAAAAGGCTCTCCGAAACCCTTCCGAGCGAGAGGCTTAGAGTGACACTGAATTAAAGAATGAGTCTAATTTTTATATCAACTGTAATGGGTCGGGTGATTCACAATTCGACCCAAAAACTTAAGCTATTAGATGAGACTAACACCCAACCTAAATGTATCCATTCACTTCCCCATCCGTATCCGATATAAGACAAGTCCCCCTTGTTACACTAGGATTCTTTATCGGAGCGTCGACAAATAACCACCATTAATAGCTCTGATGGCATGTCCGAAACCACCATTAATAGCTCAGATGGCATGTCCGAGTATTGGGCTAGTGCCTTGTTTGCTTGTTTCTTAAACAGACTGTCTGGTCGAAGGCCCACTCTGGAATTCTTTTATATTTATATCAATTGGTTAAAATTGCGAAAAATAAAAACATTGAATTTGAATTTCTTTACCCAAAAAAAAACATTGAATTTGAAGTATTTAGGGCTTAAAATCAACCATAACACAATTTGCTATTTTTTTTTTTTTCCGTAAATCAATTTGCCAACTTAATTCAAGAAGATGTACTACAAAGTTGAATGTAATTAAACTTTTCTTAGACGAGATTGCCAAACATCCATTTTGGATCAAAAAGCAGAATTAGGCAAAGCCTATTTGCTAAAACAATTGGGCCTATTAAACGATCTAGGAATCCAACCCACTTTGAAGTTGAAATGGGCCTGCAAGATATGCTTGATTTCGTCCACTAAGCCATTAATTGAAGAGTGAAGATCAAATCTAAAAACACAGCTCAACCATAAAACAATTAAAATAGTAGTTTAATGCCTCAATGAGAGACAAGGCCACATACAAATCATCTCATTATATTAATTATATATTTTATTAATTAAATTTTGTTTATTGTATTAATTATCAAATAAATAATGTATTGGTCTATACAAGTTGACAATTAAAGTGACACCTTAAATCCCGCCCATACAAGTTATCTCAATATATTAACTATATATTTCTTTTATGAATGTATTGTTATTCTTTATTTATTGTATTACTTATTAAATAAATACAACTTCTCTCCTATTGGTCAATACAATTTTTTTAAAAAAATTATTATCATTATGAAGAACTATATCTTTGACGTAAAATTCTAACCGAAGAATTTTATACTTTAGTTATGTTTTAAGTGATAAAGATATGGTCCACTTAAAAATTATTCAAGGGTAGATAAAACTTCAGTTAAATTTTTAGACCAAACACATCAGCTTAAATATCATTTTTCTATTGTTGTTTCATTTTTTTTTTTTACTTTCAACAATCTAACACCATTCGAGCTTCTTCTAATTTTTAAATTCTCTTGGATATCAATACTTGTTGTAACATTATATTTCTCTTGAACTTTGTAATTTATTGACTTAGACTTTGTAATTTATTAATTTTCCTACACATTAATTACCTGCACAATTAAATCACTACCTCTTAAGCAAAAAATTAAAATATATATTGTTTTTATATTTCCTTGAGTTTATTGCAAATTTAGTAGAGAGAATGTTTTTGAAATAAAAATTATTACTACTGTATAAACATAGTTAATTTGAAAAGACCTAATTTAACTATTTCGCTTTAGGCTTTCAACACTGTTAAGCCGATCTTGCGCTTACACCCTCCATTGTGATACTATTATACCAGGTCAATCCTCTGTCTCACACACACATACATAGTGGTTTTCAACTGCTTCTGCGTGAGCAAGAAGCGATATATTGACATTAAATTGTAACATTAAGATCTAATCTTACAGTTAATTGAAGGAATAATTTTTTAAAAAAATTAAAATTCCTTTCATTAGATATTATTTGTGAAATGACTATAAGGCTAGCTTCTTAAAAAGAAATCTCATTAATTTTGGACTGCTGCACGGCTTCCACCATGGTGATCACCACCTCCATTAATTTTGGAGGGAGGGGTGGGCCAGGGGTGGCCATGCCCCTCTAAATTTTGTGCAAAATTTTCTTATTAGTACTAAATTATATATATTAATAGTCATTTTCTATATAAAAATTAAATTGGCTCCCCAAATTTTTTTGCAAAATCTATTTATGGTACTAAATTATAGTTATTAATGGTAATTTTTCTAAAAACTAAAGTTAGTTCTTCAAATTTTTTGTAAAACCCTATTTATGGTACTAAATTATAGTTACTAATGGTGATTTTTATATAAAAATTATAGCTTGTCTCTCCCAAATTCTAAAAAAAAAAATCTATTTATGGTTTACCATATTATTATTGAATGTGGTTTGTGAATGAAATTACTTATAACCCTTCCAATTCGAATAAACATCTTGCTTCAAAAAAATTCAAAATTTGATAATAAAAAAAAACACACATTATTATAGTTACTAATGGTGATTTTTTATATAAAAATTAAATCTTGCCTTTTCCAAATTCTAAGAAAATTTCTATTTATGGTTTACCTAATGATTATTTAATGTGGTTTGTGAATGAATTTTTATTTTTTTATTTTATTTTTATAGATATGGTTTGTGAATAAAATTACTTATAACCCTTCACATTTGAATAAATCTATTGCTTTAATAAATTCAAAATATAATAATAATAATAATAATAATGATCACCATTATTATGATAATTGATAGGCGCTCAAAAGTGCTCATTTAAGCCCCTTAATCTTGAATGTTCTACGACCTTATTCTATCTTATTTTCCCATTTTAGTCTAATTTCATGTTATTTCCCTTTTCAGGCACTTATCCACAAAATATGTCAATTGAACTGAATTAAAGCATACAAGATGCAATCTCAAGCTCAGTGGAAGAAAGGAGCAAAGTGGAAGCAAAGTGGTGAAAAACAGCCTTCTTCGATCGATTGAACTCAAGCTTCGATCGATCTCACAGTGATCGATCCAACCATACCATGATCGATCAAATCTTTTGTCCTTATTCTCAACAAAATATCTTCTTCGATCGATCCAACATTTCCTTCGATCAATCGAACCCCTTTGATCTTATCCTCACCTACCACTTTTGTCCTTTTCCCAAAAATATCTCAGCCTTGTCATTATCCGAAAAAGTACGCCGCCAAGGTTCGATCGATCCAAGCAACCTCGTGATCAATCGAATTGCCTCAAGTGACGTGAAAAGTTGATTTCAAGCCAAATTAAATGTGTGCTCAGGGTGTAATCATTTGGAGGTCCTAGTGCACGAGGACTAACCATGGGTGTGACATTTGAGCTATCTATATAAGGATTTTGGCTATTTTGAATAAATGAGGTTGGTTAGTTAGAGAGACTGGGCTAGAGATTAGAGAAAAAATACACCAATTAGAAAAAGTTCTTCCTCTCATTTAGGGTTTTTACCAAGGAGGAAGATGAGTTCTATCATGCAGATAGCCCTTGAAGGTTGGATGACAACATCAATGAGTGGTTAAACCATCTCTTAGGGCTAAAAATAGCCCTTAGTATGCCTCATAGACCTTGATGTTTTGTAATTAATAGGGATTAGTGTTGTAGTTTTT